GTAACACACATGCATAGATGTTTTTGTAAAAGACCCCTTATGAGACCCAGGGTTTTTCCTGCGTTCAAAATTGCGTGGCGGCCGCCTCCACCTAATTTTGTGCCGCCCCCGGCCAGAGCGATTGATTTCGCTCAACACAGCGTAAAGCTTCAGCTGTGTTGATTGAGCGTACGATGTCCCTCTGCAGCAGCAACGTATTTTAACTGCAGTTGCAGCGTTGCGCCACTATAGAGGCGCTATATCAACAGCAGTGCACCGGAAAGACCTGAAGCATCTACCGAAGAAGAAACGGATCGAATCAAGTTTTTTTTCCTGCTAGTTGGTGCCATAGACATAATAAAAGATAGACCCCGCATCGGCCGCTACCACGAATGGGCGCTGTCGAGAAATGCGGCCGCCATCTTGGTCCGGTCATCCACCTTACTCTGCACCGCTGTTTAACCGGCGGAATGAAGTCTGAGCGCATTAAATGAATCATAGTTCGCTCAATACTACGTAATTTTCTTTTCTGCAAATGCCATTCAAAGAGGCATGATAGAGGCCATATTTTTTTTGGCGTTTTCAAATACTCAGCATGAATAAAATGATATTTTAGAACATGGCAGCAGTGGCTGTATTATAGTATAACAATTCATCAAGGATATATCTAGGTTTAGAGCTAGGTTCCTGCTATGTCTCAATAATTATTAATAACTGGCGGTTTTAATAGGCCAATTGAGTATATATTGATTTGATTATGTTTTATTTAGTTTAATTTTATTTATCCATTTGTAGACACACACAAATAATGTCATATAGAAGCACTATTTTAATAACTGGAAAATACACACAAAGAAATACACACAAATATATAGCCTACATATCAAAACAATTTAAACACAAGAACAGCATGACAGGACAGCATCTAAGCTACATATCAATTTGCTTGTTGGCTACATAGCACAGAAGAATCACTTGCTGTGAATTTCTCCCTCTAACAGCAATCTCCCACTTCTTCCTCAAGTTTTTGTCCTTAGGAAATCTTCAAAATGAAACAGGAGATCACCACAAAGAAATCTTTAATAAAACAAATAATAAAACAGACCTCACTTTCTTCCTTCTTCTTTCTATTTTATTTCTTAACGTTTCTTAGAACCTCTCTCAAACAAAAGTTTTTCAATCTAATGCAAATCTGTTGATAACAGAGCAAAGTTGCTATTATTGTGAATAAGCTAGCTGTTCGCAAATGCTGTTTCCTTTTTGGAGTTGACCGATAGTCTTCCTCTTTGGCCTACAAATGACTCTACAGTCAAGTGTAATGTTGAAAAAAGGTTTAATCATAACTGTGAAAAGTTATTCCTTGAGCCCTGTTCTCTGCTGTCCGCCTGTTGGCACAGGAATACGCCGCACAGTGCTCCGGCATCGCTGAATGAATGAATGAATGAATGAATATGATTGACCGGAGCGTATGGGAGGCTTGACCTGACCAAGATGGCGGCCGCATTTCTCGCTGCGCAGCACCCCCAGCGGGGTCTACCCTTTATTATGTCTATGGTTGGTGCTATCGGCGTCCTGATTTTCCCTGGCGGATGGTACAAACAGGTAAGTACTGCTTGTCTTTTTTGCATCCAAGCATGACGTGTTTATTTAAAAAAAAAGTTTCCTCTGTTTTTTAGCGTTGCAGTTATGACAGGCAAAATCAGCCAGTACTTTAAAAAGCGACCTTGCGAGGAGGAAAGTCAAGAGTCCAGGTGAAACACAGCAGAGAAAAAACGTAACAGGCAGTTAAAATGCTATAATTCATGGTGCTGACAACGTGGAAATTTGTGTCAGGTCTGAAAGTACTTCACAAGGGACTGGTGATCGCGAGGGTCAGAATGCAGGACAGGACGAGTCGGCGAGGCGAGGGTAATTAATTAATTAGTTTCCAATTAGGAGCATAACAACGCAAAGCCTACGTGTACGTGGTTTTTATTTCTCTTTGCAGATCTTCTCAAAAGCACAGAGCCAGTGGCTTTAACAAGCAGTGGCTCAATCAATTTACCTGGCTCAGGCATACTGAGGAAGGCATGCACTGCTATTTATGCCAAAAGCACTGTGCCCCAACACAGCAGGCAATTGCTGCCTCCTTAGTGAGACAGCCATCAACCAACTACAGGCTGGACACATTAAAAAGACATGAGGTGACAGCCATTCACAAAGCAGCAGAAGAGAAGGAGAAGTATATTAAAGATGGTAGTACCTAAAAAAACTCAACTAATAAAGTTACAAAAACTAAAATAACATAGTTTAGATAGTTTAAGAAATAATTGGTTGTCGTTTTTTTTTAGGGAGGACACTGTAGCGTATATATAATATATGATTGAAAACACTATCACTCTTCATGTCTGTATCAGAATAAAAACAAAAATACTTAATGCATGATGAATTGTTTTGTTTAAGGTGAAGACACCTCTGTGGAACAGACTGAAGGAGAGGCACTTGGATGTCTGTTGTAAGGTGGCCATTGATGGACCAGACCAGGAGGCCTTGGACTACAAGGAGTGCATGAGGAGGTTCTACAGAATGAAAAAGAGGAGGCTGAAATGTTCTGTCTCGTTGTGAGATGTGTGGATGAAGTGTACTTTCAATTTAAAGTTGCCAGCTGATTTGTGTATGTATATAGATTTAATAAATGAATGCTTTAACATGATAATGGTCACACTCTTTTTTGAACTCTTAACTTAAAGTATGTTGCCTGTAAAAGAAAGTGAGTCAGTTGAATTTACAAATACATGCACGTCATGGCGCATGGTCAGGATGGTGCCACCTCTGCCTCAATTTGAGCCAGGAAAAACCCTGGAGACCTGTGGTACATCAGACAAACCCCCAAAGTCATACATTAGGTCAGGCCAGCAACATTTTAGCATCACACTCATCTTTTATCAAGACTTTTCCAACATCTGGCACCAACATTACTCCAAAAGCTACTGGATTTCTTGGTTGTAGATACTGTGTTATGCTAGTTTCAGCTTACAGAGGTCTTGCAAGCTCCCTTATCCTTTATACCTGGGGTTGGCAACTAGCTGCCCGTGGGCCAAATCAGGCCAACCAAACATGAAATGTGGCTCCTTATATCGCTTTGATAATAAATTCAATTTATATATTTTTTGTAACAACTGCTTGAAAATCAATTAAATGCATCTGAAATGCAACCTCAACTACAGCGTGAGCATGTCTAATAAAAGGAGCACCAGGGATTGCGAACAAAGGGAATATTTTTTGGGGTGGAGCAGTCCTCAAATCTGGACCTCCAATATCAGCACTCCAATACAAGCAGTCCATTCCAGACTCTGCTCCAGCACCTCTATCCAGCATGTAGAGCCCATGTAATCACAACAACTGTGTGTACTAAGGTACTGACAAAGTACCAAGGAGTAGGAGTGATGTCGGACCTGTGGCAGTGTTTTCCGTTCAAGTCCAATAAGACATTGTAGCTGAGTGCAAAACTTGTCATGCGCAAGTTTGTGCCAATATCGGATCAATATCGGTTTTGGCCGATATTGAAGGCTACAATATCTGTGTCGGATCGGAAGAAAAAAAGTTGTATCAGGACACCCCTAGCCAAAAAGGCTTATCATAATACATTTTACTACATCCATGCATCGCAAAAACCAAGTGAAATCACATCTGTGGCGTTTTTTGTTTCTGACATTCCTCCAAACACAAGGTGGCACAGTTGAATGTTCTGGCCCTCCATGTATGGCCCGATACCAAGACTAGTTGCCGACCCCTGCTCTATATAATAAACACATTTTGGTTTTACATGTGAACTTTTATTTTTCAGCTCAGTCCAAGGTGGTTACAATGAAACCACGTATGGCAATGCAGCTGAGAGACATAACTTTGTGTCTGGGCTCTATGTTCGGCTGCTCAATATCTGGTAAATACTTTGGCACACTGTGAGGAAACCCTTCAAAGAAGTGTGTGTTTTCAGCAGTGTTTATACCTGTAAGTCAGATGTTAATGTATGTTTCCAATGGTTTGATGAGTTAAAATTACAGACCTACTTCTTTTAGTTTAAGGATCCAAATTCTCTGAAATGTATGCCCTTAAATTTGTAGGCGTCAGCTATCTTGACTCGAGACATTGATATCTCCACAGTGTCTGAACATTTATTAATCTTTCAAACTGCATTACAAGTGACAATCTCCCTTTGCTCTTTTGAAATTTGGACAGTTAAAGAAAGCCTTATCTGGTGGAGATTAGCCTCTATAAGACGGCGCTGAGCCGTCCCCAGGGACATAAAGGCTTAAAAGACTCTTTTTGTGCACAGTAAGAGCTCTATAGTAATGTGTAAAATTAATGGCTTTAGCTTGTAAAACATTGATGCTCTTTACATTTTTCTTTTCTATCAGGGAAACTGTTGAAAAAAGTTGTGCACCTTTGTGAGTTCACCAAGCAGAGTCACAGTCCCACGTTTCTCAAATGCAAGATTTCAGTCAGTGCTATTTCTTCGAAGAGGCATTTTAATTATGGTTTCCAGTATTACCCTCTCAAAAGGGAATATCACTGTCTCTGCAGCTCAATAAAATAAATTGTTCCTTGCTCTCAGCCTTTTATCCAAAATTCTCTAAATCTCCTGTTCCCTTCACATTGATAATTCATTAAAAAAAAAAAGTCTTAAGCAAAACCAACCACAAGGCTTTGTACCATGTTTCTCCATTTGCCTCATGTTTCTGTCCCTGAGCCTGTGAGTGTGGTCATGATTTTATGCATGTGCACATGAACATTTTAACTGTGGCTCACGCTTCATTGCAGCCTTTGGTCATGTCATTGTTTTACACAGAGACCTTTTATGGAGTTCAGATTGTTTGGGGATTTGGAGACCATCAGCACAATTGGCAAAGGCATAATGAATGTTACTGTATTTTCTCTTCCTCTTGTGTGGACAGGTTTGCCGTTTTGCAAAAAGCTTTAAATCCAATGAAGCTGAGCGTCTTTGCTTGAGCTGTGGATGTAAGAAACGGCTGACACACAAATCAACATTTATTAAATTCTAGTTTATTTTTTTGCATATCCAAAACTTATTTTTGCACATTTTCTCACCAGAGAGGCAGATAAAGAGGAAACATAGCATGAACAAGAGCTCCTATTGCATTTAATATGAGAAGTGCAAGTAGAATAGAATCTAAAAGGATTAAGCAGGCACATTGACAACAAAATATCAAAGGCTTTCAAAGTGAAATAAAGAATTCCTCGTGGGTGATAAGAGCTGAGGGTCACAGAGATCAGGGGGATAATTGAAGTGTAAAATCTGGTTTGTAAGCTTTGACAGTGTGCAGGAAAGTGTAACTCTACAGGGTAATTCAGAGTAATCTTATTCTACGGTTAAGAAGGGAGTGTTACCAGTCCTCTGCAGGGGCGTCTGCTGGTCACGTATAAAACCGGCTTTTACAACACACAGATATTGTTACAAAAACTCTAGACCTGCTGGATTTTCCTGGGCAGCCATTTGAACAGGGTCTTGTATAGCTTTTTGCTTTTCACCTTGGACTTCTTGTATCTCTTAATGATGAGATTTCGGAGCAGGCCAAAGTTCAGGGGCTGGGTCAGGTGCATGGAGAAAGCATTATTTCCTCTCGCTGAATGATTCAGGACTTCCAAAAAGCGTCTTTCCTGCTGCCTGAAGTCGTACTCCACACTGGACAGACAGATATGAAGCAAAAAAAAAAAGAAAAAAATCAGTTGAAAACAAACGTGATTCTAGATATAATCTTTAAAAATGTAGCTCCTGCTAAATTGAATGCTGTCAGATTTGCTTTCTCAGCTACATTTCACTCTGCTTCCAGTTGTTTTTCCCCATGTGGGAAGCTCTTGTCTTGTCAGGTTTCAAAGTGGTTGATTAGTTTTGGCAGGTAGACATTCAGGGTTTCTTCTTTTCTCAAGGTGCTCACATCTTGTCTGAATATCTTTATCTCCCACTTGGCCTTTAAGGACCAGATGCCAAGACACTGCAGTCAGCAATCAACTTATGTAACATCTTTTTGTCATGCAAAAGCGGTTTAGAGAATTAGTGGATCAAGAGGAATGCTTTGAATATTTCAAGCTAAAGACTGTTTTTTGATTTTGCTTTGTACAGCACCGGGTTTTTCCCCCCAAAAGATGATGAGAAGATTTATATTCCTTAGCCTCTTTTAGCCCCCTTTACACATCCAGTTTTTCTGGGACAATTGTTTTTTATCTTCATTTTTCTGTTGCCTCCACCTGATGCAACATTCCAGCTAATGAGTGCAAACCGAGATGGAATACCAGAGCTAAGCACTTTTGCATGCTGAGTCTTGAAGAACGTGCTTAAATCTCAAGGCTGCAGTCAAACATTATATGACCCCCAATTCCATAAGAGTTGAACTTGTATGAAATGTTGTGCACAGTGCAAAGTAGGGGTGGGAATCAGTAGTGGCCCCACGATACGATATTATCACAATACTTGAGCCACGATGCAATATTGTTGCGGTTTTTAACATTTTGTAATACATTGAGTTTTGCAATACAATATATTGTGATTTGTACAATTTTTCAAATGTTTGGCTATTTTAGCATTTATCTTTCCTTTATGTTTGTCTTACTTACACAGTATTTTATTTTCATGTAGCACATCTTGCAAACCTTGGATATATTTGTTGTACTAACTTTCTCCTGCTCTATGATGTCACCTCTGCCAACCTCACTGGACAAACAGTGGATTTTATTTTTCCATTATCATAAATTTGACTTCATATGAACAATTAATTGCGATACTATGCTGTATCGATTTTTTTCTGTTAAAAAATGTTAAAAATTAAAAACAAGTCATTTTTTTTTAAATGAAAAATGTATGCTCATTTTGAATTTGATGCAAGCAATGTCTTTCAAAACTAAAAAAATAAATCAACTCTTCATTTAACATCACCTTGCAAATGTTCAGGCACCAAGAGGACTGGTTTCTGGGTTTTGGAGGAGAAATTACATCCCATTCTTGCCTGATATAAAAAATCAGCTACTCAACAGTTTAGAGTCTCCTTTGTTGTAATTTTTGTGTCATGATGCACTGACTGTGTTTAATAGATGGCAAGCTGGCACTGCAGGCAGACTAGTTTGGCACACAGATGCGTCTACTACAGAGCCCTGCTGTGTTAATGTGTGTAAAAAATTTAGTTTGGTGTCTTGTTGAATTTGCTCCAAAATCTACATATGCACTTATCATCTGGCATCAAGGGTGCTTTCCTTTATGTCTAAGCTAGCTGTGGCGTAAAAACGTATACATCCGAAGACCAGTACAGATGCTGGCTTTTGAACTGTGCACTGATAAAAAGCCTGGTGGTCCCTCTCCTCTAGTGCAAGGGGGCAACATCAGTGATTCCCAAAATGATTGCCCAGTTCCCCCCTTTGCCTCAGTCCATTTTAAATCTACAGTTCCAGGCATTTTCGTGTGGTTTACTTTTTGTACGGTACAGTCTTAACCTACTTTAATGAATGAAGCAACAAACTGTGTACATCAACAACCATTATCTGATTTAAATTTGAGCTAATGCACTGATTTCCACTGCAGAGCCATGTTTGTGTTTAAAGCATTGCTGCCTGGGTCACTGTTATTTTCTGGAATCACTGCGCTATTTCCTGTATACCCATCTTCATTTTTGGAAAAACAATTTATTTAAGTGTTTTGTTGTCTCTGTCCCAACCAAAACAACCACATTTATCAGTTTCAATGGTTGAAAGGTTGTCTTTGCCCTATTTTCAATTACACATAGGCTTTAAATTAATTAGCAAACCATCCAATTCTGTTTTATGGACATTTTCCATGGCATTCTATTTCTTATTGAATTGTGGTTGTACATCAGTTTCATTATCTCAATGTGTCACACAGTATAGTTCTTGAAGATATACCAGCATAAATCAGTGTCTTTATTTCTGACTAAAAATGCAAATTTTAGGTTTTCACTGATTGAAAATGCAACAGATTGAAAAAGTAGGATGCCTCATTTCCAAATGAATATATGAATAAAATCTGCTACGCTAGAAAGATAGCACATCAACATATTTTCATTTGCTTTCCTTTAGTTTGCTCATAAACAATGCATACAATAACTACAGCAAGGTGACCATTGAAAATCAATTGTGCAGTCTGCCTGGGACTGACTTTGTTCCTCTGTGGCAGCTTTAATTTTAGAGAGTCTCAATCTCAATCTGTGTAAATCTGCTGTGTGAACAGATTGAGTCACAATCGGTCCGTGCTTAAGTTTGACAGTTGCTCCAAAAAGAATTATGGTTTTGCTGTGAGAGGAAAATGTAATCTCCATGTGTATTCTGAGCAGGAAACAAATGAGGAGTAAGGAGCTTTTCATTTGGTAAGCTGCCCGTACAGTAAGTCATTCCTTTTTAGTGAAGTGATGGGAGACCGCTGGCAGAGAACTGCCCAGCAACTGGGATGCCAAATGGGTTTAATCTAAATCAATTGTCTCAGGCACAAAAGAAACTTTAAATAAACTTGAGTTTCGAAAACCCCCCTTGAATAAAGTGAACCATTGGGGTTTTGCTGTCAAAATATTTAGTAGTCATTTTGAGAGCAGCTTGTAACACATCTACCTAACAGACTTGACATAAAATATTGATTCATTCAAATGTTTTGAACTCACACAAGTGAATCTAAAAGCAAATGTCTTGTCCTCAACTTCGTAGACAACATTGAGCAGAAAGAAAAAGCAATTTCACCCTATAAATTCATGATTTTCTGCAACAATAGTTTTTCATTTCAGCAAGAACTCACTTCCTGTGCTGCTTCGATCACTTATCAGTTTAAATATTGCATGCAGGCAAAATTGGCAATTTCTCCATTATCTCACCTGTATACAATACAAGCAGTCTTCTGGCAGGTTGAGCAGTTTTTAAGGTCCTGCCCAGTGTTGTAGCATCGCCGCCTGGAACACAAAAAGCAAGTAATTTAAAAAGCACACAGTAAATAAGTGCACTATATTCTCCGAGTTTATCCTCTCCTCTGCAGGCTGCTGCTGCAGTGATCAGATGTATAACATGCATTTTACCTCAGACTTCAGTCAGTTACATGGAGACGGTTATTCTGATCATGACCTCAGAGCCAGTCATTCCTTATTAGCACACACCAGTGGATGAGAATGATTGACAAAGACACGTTGCCAGAAGGCGGTTTTAATTCTAGTTATTCGTCCCAGAAGAGTATGAGCCTAAATAAATCTCTCTGAAACCTGCCCTGTGATGTTCCTGAGCAGGTCTCTGTCACACTGCCACATGCTTTAACATACCTGTCTGCAAACTTGCAACAATGGCTTCATATTATCATGTAAGAATGTGATTAACTGCATATTTATAGAGCACACACCTGGAAACAACTTAACATATGTAAACTTTCAAAAGGGGTTTGTAACACTTGTCACACCCTAAATATCTAACCCTGGTTGTTTTCCCCCGAAGGCTTTGTTTAGGATGTGGTGGATCGACATCAGAAACAAGGTCCATGTCTGAAAATTTCCTGCGTGTTGAGGTAATAAAAAACTCAGGCACATCCATGTATTATTATTATTTTTTATGATTCATGGTTCACTGAGCAACTTTACCTTTAGGGTGAGCATATTTTTTTGTATGCTAGGCATCAGAGAACACAGAAATGACATCACGACAGGCAAAAATGCCAATGTAGAAAAACTAATTTCAATAGTCATGAACATATCATTTGATCCATCTTCTGCGTACAAATGTCAATATCATCTTGAATGATTTTGGAGGATGACAAGATATTTGACTGACTTGAGCCATCTTGGTTGTTATGAAACAAAAAGTAAAACTAATTAGATGCAGAGACAAAAATTAACTGACATCAATAATCTGGACTATTCCACCTATTTTTAATCCCTGAAGTCTTCCTCATGTAACACCTAAGTTTTGGTATATGATTTAGGTTTTAAATCTAGCACATGGCTTTTGTTAAAAAAAAACAGTGTTAAGGGATAGTAAGATTAGCGGGACAACTTCTGCTGTGCCTCTTGAATATGTTTAATGTCTGCCATGGCTCAAGTACAACAACTACAAAACGCCACCTACTGTGATACATCATTTTACTGCAGTGAGCAGCTCCGCCAGTAAACATTAGTATCCATAAAGCCAGAGTGCACTTTTTCAAATGGAACTCTTGTGAACTAATGGGCTACACATATATATATATATATATATATATATATATATATATATATATATATATATACATTTATTTATATATTTGTAGACTTAAGTTAGATTTCAGACTTGGATACTACGATGGGAAGGAGTTTCAAACCCACATTTCCTATTGTGGTGAATGGACTTTATTTGACTCACCAGCATAGGCACTAAACAGGAATTAAAGTTTATGGTTAAACATCGGCATTGTGCTTAAAAATAAATATCTGCTTCTTTTTTCTTTGCCTATATTCACAGTCTGATAAATACTACTTTTGTTGTCATCTTAACTAATTGCCATTTATGTTAGTCCGGAAAGAGATGTGTGTTTTTGGGAGATGGAAGTTTGGGAGAAATGCATAAAATAACACAAAAATGTTAATCTTACTTAAAAACTAACCAGGGAACAGCAGTGAATTTTTTAGAGCTGCATGTTATATAGATAAATTATACCACCATACAGTACATCTGTAGGAGCAAACTGAAAGTTGGCATCAATATTTAGGCTGTTGCAAAGAGCTTTCCATTGCAATCACAGTGATCAATAGTTTCTCCATTATGATAAGCTAAAAAATCCTTTAAAGAATACACAAACACATAAAAAAAGTTTTATAGATTGCAAAGTGCAGGTGAACTTTAAAGCCATCGAGTAGCAGATGTTTTCACTCTGGAAAGTCAAAGATCAGCACTGCAGAACTGCTTGTTTAAGTAATGCACTACACCAGAATCTGGCAAAAAGCTACACCTGTATTGCCCTGAAGGTAGTGTATATCAATAATTCATAAGTCATATCCCACCCTGCAGGTTTTATATTGCAGTCAGACTGTTAGGTAAATCTTTAATAAGCATTGTGGAAAAACTTTGTTTCAATTTCATATTTTTCACAAGATTAAAAACATTACCCCTGTAACTCAGATTCATCTCACCTTCACCATATTCACACACACCCTCACTTTCTCTCCCTCACACACACCTTCTTACCCGCTGATGGGAGTGTGACATGTCTCCAGGTCATGGATAATGTTAAGCAGAGTGGTTATCCTGTCCTTGTTGGCTGCCAGGCTGGCCTCCACTGTTTCCAGCTTCTGCTGCAGGGCTGCTGATTTGGAGCACTGTGGGGAGGGATGCAGCAGCAGAGCGGCTTCAGCCGGGTGGGAGTGAGCCAGGCGGGGGTCCTCTGGGCACAACAGAAGGGGAGCTGGGCTAAAGTTTGAATCCGGTCTGATGATTGCTTCTGCCTTGCAGGTCTGGAGGCGGGGAAAGGATGCCAAGTGCATTGTTGATGATTGCAACGTGGGATCACGTTCAGGGCCTGTGTGCGAACAAAGCTGTCCCTTGCTGGTAACGGGGGCTGGTGCAGTAAAAGAAAGCTCTGACTGTGTGTGTGCTTCTGTTAGTGATGGAGTATTTGAATAAGAGGTTTGCTGGACTGATGATTCGATTACAGGCTGGATGTGTGCATTTTCCAGTGCAAGGTTTATTTGCGCTATGACAGAGGGCGTTGACTTGTTTGGATATGACTCTTCCTCTGCATTGGATTTAAGTTTAATATTCGCATGCCTGACTGATGCTCCCAAGGCAAACTTTTCTGTGTTCGGATTGGTCTCCTGGGCTCTTTCCTCTGGTGGGCATGCACCACAGCGTTCCTCTTGCTCAGCTCCTGTGCACCCTTCACAACGTGCAAGTCTTTGTTGTTCTGTGTATGTGTAACCCTGCAGACTAGAGCTGCTAGACTTCATTAGGGAAATGTTGTTCAGCCGGCCAGTGACCTGTGATAAATTTGAACTTTCATGGTCTTTTGACTCATACTGAGCTAATTCATTGATTAGATTACCATTGAATTTGGTTTTGTCAGCGTGTGAGCCACTGTTTGGAATAACGGTTGATTTGCTGTTGCTTGCATGAACGCCTCTGATTTGGCTTCCTGACACATTTCGCGGCTCAGAAAACGCAACCGGAGTTGTTTTTGAGTTAATCCGCCGATTGAAAATAACATTAGATAAACCTGATTCATTACTCGTTTGAGTTTTTATGTCTGTTGCTTGTTGGTTTTTCTGGGACGATGCATTAAGACTAACTTCTTTGCTGTTTTTTGTCGCATCTGCTGATTGAAGTGAACTTGTACCTGAAGAACAGACACTACTTTGGTTTTCTGCCAATGTAGATGAAGAGGCTGGAGCTGTGGGAGGTGAACTTTTGAGATTGATTGAGGAGTTCCTGAGGGTTTTATTTTTGTATAGAGGGCTGTTGCATGTGGATGTGGAAGTGGCAGCTGCTCTTGAAGGCAACCTAGCTCTTGAATCTCTGTATTTTGTGGCATTTGGAGATGCTGTAGACACATAAAGTGCAGGTTCAGACTTTGAGGAGGTAGGTCTAATTAGATGAATTTCGACAAAGACAGTTTGATGTTTGGTGCTTGTGTGAAGAACTTGATCTGAGTCTGAGCTTTGACTCAAAGTGGGCTGCGGGACAATAGCGCTGTGAGATTGATGCAGTATATTTGTTTGAGATGTATTTGGAAGGATGTCAGGAAAAGGCGATTCACCGGATGATTTGTCGTCGACGTTTGTACCTGACTTTTCTTGTGTTTTATGGCCTGGATCTGATGAAGTACGAGGTGGCCTTGCAGGTGGAGGTCGTGCAGCTGCTTCTGGTTTATGAATGGAGTCTTTTGCACTGACTGCCCGAGATAAGGTGGGACATTTAGGGGTCATTGGAGGGCTATTAGGTGCACGTGCTGCCATGTTTACTCTTGATGCGTGCAGTGAAGGTGGGATTTTCTGTGCAGCTTCAGTGACTTTAGCAGGTATACTTTCAGTCGACATTACCACAGAGTTAAGGACACTAGTTGTTTGGTGTGTGTTAGTAGTGGATGGGTTCACCATTCCTGCAGCTGTTGTGTACGAAAAAGATGGCGGAGAAAGAGGAGCAGCGTGTACGGACACGCACACATTTTTTAGCATATTAAGCTGTGCCGAGTTCTGCTCTGATATTTTGATAGGTTTAGGGTAAGTATGTGATTGAGGGTAGTTTGATTTTGTCGCCGTAGCCATCTGAGGCGCCAGTGTTAGGCTCACCGGACGTGGGATTTTAGGGCCACGCAAAGACGGATTTGGAGACGATTTTATTCCTACGTTGTCTTGCCTTGTTTCAATGGTTGCCTTAGTGACGGTGATGGTTTTAGCTTGGAGGATGGTTGTTGGTTGGGTTGATGTTGCTTTACTTGCAGTATGCGTCTGTGATAAAGTGACGACGTGGGCTCTGGAGTGCACGGGGCAAGCTGGGTGTGGTGTTTGGGGAGTCTTTAGTTCTTCACTGAGATGTACCATATGTGGATGAGTTGTAATGGTTGGTCTATTGTCTTGAGATGTGTTGCTTTGTGGGGTTTCAATTTGACTTGGCATTTGGTTGTTCTCAGTATTGGGCATCTGGGTAGTTGAAAGCAAGGTGAGGGTTGGTTTCAGGGGTTTCTCTTCGAGACCACCATCTGCTAACAGTCTGCCCTCTCTCAAAGCGCCAAATCCAGTGGTTAAATACTGTCTTCCACCACAGTTGCCGCATATTTTCTTTTGCATACCAAATGCTCTCTGTTCAGATAACAGCAGTGCGTTCCCAGTCTGCTCCCCATAATCACTTTGTGGTCTTATTTGGTCTCTTCCATGAGACTTAGCGCCCCTCCCAGGCTCTGCTTCATCATTGTGAACGCTAATTCCACCAATTGCTTCAGAGTCAACGACACTGCCATTGGTGTAGCGGGAAGCAGGTTTTGATTTAGGCTTGGCATTCCCTGCGAAGTTTGGGTTGGTCTTGATTGCTCTGGCAAAGCAATAAGTCCCACTTCTGTTCCTTTGAGCGCAGGTCACATCCTCAGAGGCCTCACCTCCAAGTGCTTTGAAAGTCACTTCCTTTTTGGTCTTTGAATCTCCACTTTTCTGCTTCAAAATAGCCCTTTTCTCCTTATCACTCCTTGTTAGCAGTAATATCTCCTTGTACTCCGTTTCTGTGGTAATGTAGCTGTTGGATGTTTGAGCAATGCTATCTGATGGAGTCGAGAGAGGATCAGTTAACTGCTGCACCGTGGGTGGCCTGCCTATCCCTGGAGATGTCTGAACACCAACGCTGCATTGAGGACCCCACGTCTGCAGCAGCAGGGCTCCTCCGCTTCTGTCTCCTCCCGTCGTCCTCCAACCACGCACTCCAACCAGGGCGGGAACACCTAAAACTGGAACTGGAGTTGTCAGATCTGCCGCTCTTCTCCCCATCCCTTGTCTGAGTGACTCAAAAGTCTGAGAACTGAAGAGGGCTGTGTTGTTTCCACACCATTACATCCGTCTAAAAGTAAGAGAGGGATAAGTTTATGATGAGATGGTTCTGTGGAAGAAACTCGTGAGTAAGCAGGACAAGTAGAAACAAAACAAAGAGCTAGAACTGAGACAAGGGCTTGCTTCAATGCCGCAGTAATGAAGGATAACTGGAGTGTCAAAAATCTTTGGCACATTAGGCGATAAGACAGAACTAATTACGCTTTCAATATTAAACTTTCCTGACGTGGTGTGACTGGATAGGAAATAGAATCTGCTCATGCTGATAATAAAGGGGAAAGTGTTCTATATTATATTAGCATTTCAAACACACTGCATATAGATCTCCTCTCAATGTCTGACAGCACAAAGACTAATTTATTTGTGGACACATTTTAAAACTAAAGCTCCTGTGATGATCTCTCTCCTCCTCTCTTTCTCCTCTTTCTCTGTAGTTGGAATGTTTGTCATAGCGAGCAGCTTTCACTCTGTTGTCCTCCACATTCAGCTCACCTTGGAAAGCAGCCAGAATGTATACACTGATGATACAGTATAGACTTCATTAAGCTGTGTGTGCATTTAAGTGGAACACACTTTCACAGGGGTGGCATTTTGTGTGAGTCCATGCAACCCAGGGGTGCCAGCTTTCTTTTGTGTGCAGGAGGTCATCTTAACAATTTAATCAAAACAGCAAAAGGGCTGCCGTGTGCATTTTCTGCAGGTAAGCATGCATTTGATTGTCTTCATGAAACATAGTTCTAATGAACACTTGATCGTGCAAGCATTAATTTTTCACATTTCCATGCAAACACATCCTGACAGGACTCCCTTCAATCTCCTCCATCCCCCTACATTTTTCAACCAGGGATGTCAGAATCATGAAAAAAAACATTAAGTCATGCCATATTTTGTCTGTCCTGCCGGCCGGTATTACTCGAGCTGGGTCAATGACCTATGTTTGTTGTCATCCTCTAACAGTAAGAGACAACTGTCCTGCTCTGTTAAGACACCATTAAATCCCCCTTTGGCGAAGGAGATAAGAGACATTATCTTGTGTTGCCACACACGGGTAAAATGGACAGGACTTAAGGAAAGAGCTGTTCCTGCTTTCACAGGATTTATACCTGATGGGGTTTTGCGATAGCTTTAGATTGCTTACCTGTTTGGGATGCTGCTGCTGCAAGATGACTTTTATCCTGAGTCCAAATGTAAAGAGTCACTTTTGGGTTTTCTCTCAGGACCTGGAGGTTTGGAGTGACTTTGTCGTGATATTTCAAGTCCCTTCGTGGTGGAATTCAAACTCAGAAGGAGCCTGCAGGCATTCAATTGTGCAGAGCAAAGCTGTTTTAATGAGCCCTCTTCTCCTCCTCCGCTCAGACTCTGAACTGATCTACCTTTTATTGATCAGGCATAAAAGCAAGCTGTGTCCTTCTTGTTCTCCTCTTTTCTTGTTTTGGTGCTGCTACTCCATGCTCACTCCATAATCACAACACAGCAGTATGCTGCTACAGTATGCTGCCCTCCAATACACTCTGTCCTACTATGGCTTGCCTTTTTGCCTCCTCCTCCTCTCTCTCTCTCTCTCTCTCTCTCTATCTGTCTTTCTTTCTTTCTCTCCCCCCCTCTCTCCTCCCCCCCTCTCTCTCTGTTGCTGCCACTATCCTCCCTCCTAGCTTTCATGTACCCTGATCTACAGCTGGGTGGAGAAAGCAGAGGAGAGCAAGGGAGAGAAGGAGAGAGGGAGGAAGTGACTTGCATCAGTGGGGTAGGGACTGTGTGTAAATTACTACACAAGTTAAAAAGCAGAAAAATGACCAGGAAAAATTGAAAAAAAAGAAAGACCAGTTGAAATGTAAACAAATTAGGGGTGGTTTGAAAAGGCTGTAAGAAAAAAATGTTGTAGTGCAAGTCTATGCAGTATATATATATTTTTTTAACTCAGCTGGTAAAGTATCCTAAGACTGTCACTGCTATTATTGTCCATGCAATCTTGCAAATCTATTCTCATTCTGTCATCTTCTCCTGTTTTCTTTTCCGGCAACCTACAGAAGTAAGCAGGAAAAGCTTGACTCTGATTGGCTGTTGTGACTCACATTTCCGTTATGTTTGATCAAGTAAATATGCTCACAGCTGATCACCGTGATCGAACTGAAATTCATCACGATCATAAATCACGATCATATAATAGCCCAGTCCAACTTACACATATGATTTGTTTTTTGTGTACATTATGTTGTATACAATACATGTTGCAAAAACTAAGCTAAAGCTTCAGTCCTTCACGCCATTGTGTCATTGGACAGTCGACTGACATGATTAAATGTTTATGTTCCTAAAGAGTAGTGAAGCACTCATACAGTAACATCAAAATTAATGACTGAATTTTTGTCCTCTTACCTAAAATGCTCCGGTTGTTCGGTTTCTCTGTCTAAAAGATACTTTGTTAGAAAACGTACTTCTTTTGCTGATTCTACTCTAGTATCAGTGACCGTGAGAACCAAACAATATGAATGAAGGAAATTGTCTAAAAGAAAGAAAGAAAAAAAAAAAACTCCATCATCTTAGATTTTACAGCCAGACTTTATCAACAGAGTTCAAAACAGCCACTTCTAGGCAAGTAGCAACACTTTTTTAGTGGAAAATCTGACATGAGCACTGACACTAGAACTCATTTTTATTGAAATGACCCATCTTTTCACCAATAACCCTAGTTTTCTATGTGGTTCATGACGAGGCTTCACTATGAGACTGAGACTTTCTAAAATCAGTAAAAAAAATCCCTTACTGTGCCTTTAATGGATCAAATTTAACCGACCAATGTTAAATAACCTTGAAGATACTGAGAGATGTTTTTGTATAGTGGTTATGAAACTGACATGTCTCAATACAACCTACAAAAAATGAATAAGCATACTAAGTAATATAAAACTAACTATTACAAGTAAATTGGATGCTGGACAGTAAAAATGAGGCTGGATGAGATTAAATCACTGGTAATCTTAAACACTGGACCAGCTTAAAAGAAAACATGGTCCTCAGGAGTTATAGTTGAATGTTTCTATTTCAGTAATGAGGCATTTGACGGAACCTGGTTATTTCTGGGCTTCAACATTGGATAAGTACGTTGTGGAGGAAATTTCATGCACTTTAGTTTCTAACTGGATAAATGTACCCGTGACACAGTTTTCATGCTTCATAGAGCAGTCTCATCTGGGATTTGAACTTGAAACTTCTAGCACCCCAAGCAAGAATCATAGCCCAGTCTGACCAATAAGCTTGATTTATACCTACTTTTGTTTCAAAGGATTTATCATATTGATATCACACATAAAAAATAAAAATAAAAAAAAAAACATCACAAATCCACCCAAATCTTTACTGGCAGAGTTAAGAGGGTTGAGTAATATTGTAAGCAATCTAATGAATGTTCACTTGTAATGAAGAAAAATAATTAAGACCACATTTGCTGCATAAGAATGACACATAGATTGAACCTGGACATTAAAATTAAATTACTTAATGCATATATTCCCTTCAAACATGATTTCATCTCTAATAAAAGGACGGAAGAGCACTTATGATTTAATTTATCCATAATATGACTTCAGGCTACTGTATTTATAGAGCCTTGTCATTTATCCAGTCCTCTCGATTAGAGTGATCAGCACAAAGCAGCCCCAAAGCTCTACTAAACTGTCCCACAGAGTTAAGCTCTGTCACATTGAATCTTCATTCTGCACTTCAGCAAAAAACAATAGTGTAGCGTGATTCAGGAGTTGTGTGCGAAAAATAATCAGGACTCATTAACACAAAGTCAATGAAAGTCATTTCAAAGTTGATGATCAAAAACTCCCCCTATTTATTTATTCACTTTGAAATCCCCCACAAAGCCAGTGGATGACAGCAACACTGAGCAGTTGGTGGGTTTTATTGAACCCGCTCACAGGATGAATCAACTCTGCTGTTTGGGTTTAATGAGAGTAATCTCTCTGCTTCTGATTAAGAGATAGAAAACACTTTTAGGGTCTGTTCAAAATAGAAATGTGACTATAAAGAGACATTGAAAATTAGACTAAAGATTTAACTTAAAGACCTGTTCAAAGTTACATAAACAATACACTTGGTAACCACTTTATGCTGATTGACAGTAAGATATCCATCACATAAACTGGACACCTATAAATTAGACTTTTACAACATTAGAAATAAAGAGACTCATATATTTCCTTTAATCGTCTTGGAAAAAATAAATAAATTTGGTGTCACGTATGCCAGAAAGCTCAGCTAAAAAGAAAATTGAATGTAACTTACAGCAATTATTGTCATTTTGTGCTATCTTCTGAACAAAATGACACACAAGCTACAGGAAGTACTGTGCGCCTTTGAACAAAATGGTACTCAGTCCTTTTTTAGTGAACATCTCTGTTCACTGGTCCTCTAGCTGCATCAGGCTGCCACGGACACAACATGACCTGACATTTGTTTGTGGAAATCTCGATGCCTGTTTGGGGATAATGACTCGGCCGGTCAGCTGGCTAGTCTGCATATGAAACTTGCTGTCAAAGTACATTTATTTTATGTAGCCAGTGTAATTAAATGTTTATTACCTGGCTGTGTGAAATACTTTATTCTGTCTGGTTGAACCTTGAAAAACAGGGATAAGTTTTCAGCAGCAGTAGAAGTGCTAGGGACAACATGATCACATCATCACTGTTCATTTCTGTTTCATAACCTAAAACTCCTCACATTCACTTTAAGGAGATAGCCAGGTGGTCATTCAGAAAGTGAGGGATAGGCATCACTTACTGCAGTGGTTTTCAATCCAGTCCTCGAGCCAGGGATGTTTCCCTGCTCCAACACACCTGATTCAAATGATCAGGTCGTTATTAAGCCATTACAGAGCTTGATAACGAGCTGATCATTTGAATCAGGTGTGTTGGAGCAGGGAAACATCCAAAACATGCAGGACAGGGGGGTCTCGAGGACTGTATTGAGAACCACTGACTTACTGTGTCTTGATTTTAGTTTGCACTATTCGTTACTCTTTATTAAAGGGATATTCCAGCGTATCATGCGGTCGTTACTAAAGTTGGTATAACTAGAGAAGCAAGCAGTCGGCAACATTTACCTCTCGACTGGGTGTCTAACTCGGTGTTACGGTGTGTTTGACCCAAACTTAATTTCATGCCGGAATATCCCTATAAGCTTACTAATATGCAGTGTAATATACTGTCTAATGGGTGGATAGACACACTGTGAGTTGCACCAGCTGTAGCTTGACCCAGCTGTATTTCCTCAAGTAGTGACCTTTATTTCCACAGAAATAATTTTCAGGTCTTAGTCAGATGTAGGTGTTACAAAGAAAATGAGCTTATGGCTCCCTGAAACATTGAGATTTTGATCAAAAAACACAAGATAACAAAATGGTCTTGTTCTTTTGGCTAGTAACCATAGTATACATGTCGTAGAAATTTACCATGAGGTGTCAGAGATTGTCATCTATACCTCTGATAGCAGAGACCAGATTGGGTCCTTCTCTGATATCACTAATGAAATTTCATGTCCACAAATAAGAACGTATTTATTATGAATCCTGGTATCTCTGTAAGGTTTGTAGCAGGCACCACTTTCCCACCCTGTTGGTTTTGTCTTGGGCTACTCACCTGTTCCCATTTTAATAAAACGTCCTCCGCTAAACTACTCTGCTTGGGAAAAAAACAGAAACTCTTAAGACTAACATGTTAGAGGGATTTGCTCACACCAGATAACTTTTCTAGATCATTAAGGCTTTATGATTTTTAAACTCCCTGTCCATAGCTCAACTGCACACATAATATCATGTCCCTGTGGTTTACTGTAAACATTTATAACATTTTTTATACCATTACTGAGGACCTTTAGAAATAACAGGTGGTTTAGAGAGTGTGCTGATAGTTTTCGGTCATTAATAATATTTACTGTTAATGTGTTGAAATAGGTTGAGGATGCTTGCATGTGCTGAGCACATTAGATTGCACTCATATTCCATCACCGCAGCCCAGGGGAACGAGACGCTGACTTTGTGAATAGGAAATTGTTCCATAGCCTCAAGGTGATTACACAACACTGTATCAATGAGAGTACCTACTGTGCCTTAATAATGTGGCACAACAGTTTTACTGTCACTGCAAGAGGCCTGTGTGTTTTTGCGTTTATCCCTCCTAATAGTTTGTTCTTCTGCAATGAAGTGATGTAATATTAGTAATACACCCTTGTATTTTCTTTTTCAGTCTTTTTCATCAGACCCTAAAGGCAGATTGTTGATAGGAGCTTATAATGAGGTCCAGGTGGAGCTCATAGAACCACATTATGGGTTAATTAACACCCACGAGGGAGATGCTGCAGATGTGGTGGACCTGGAAGGCAGAGCTTTTTGCATTTGTAATCCCATGGTGACACCCCAAAACAAGTTAATAAGAATTGTTTACTAAAATTTCTTAACTTTTAAGACATAAAATCTACCATCAGATGTGTCCCTTGTGAATAAAAAACATTTAACATGACACAGAATTGAAGTTAAAGCTTGCGAGACTGCATCTGATTTATAAAACTAGCCCTCTTTGCTCAAGACCAGAGAGGTGTCTTGCACTGAATTTCACCATAGCAAGAAGTAAAGGGAACACACCAAGGACATTTCATTGTTCAGTTTGATTCATTTAATATGGAATGTAAGAGCTGAATAAACGAACAGGATTCAAGTCATGTAAAGCTGCTGTTATAAAAACGGCCACAAGGGGGCAGATGAGCATCAAGCAGATATCTTCAAGGCATAAGTTTAGAGTTCCAGTAAAATGGGGACTACTGGAACATGGTAAAGTATTAATCATATATCTGCTTTGTTTAAACAGACTATTTCAAACTGTCTTGTAATAATGACAGCATAAAGGATTAACAAGTAAGATGGTAATAAATGTAAATGTAAATGTACTTGATTTCTGATTGAAAGGATAAACAGTAGAATGCCAGTGATGAGAACTTTTATTACCACGAGAACCATTTATTACATTTGAATTAGTTTCAATACAAAGTTTTAATCAAGTAAATAGTTAAGTATTAACTATTAGGTTTGTGCTGTTCAAGTCTGATATTTTTATACTCAAGCAGCTTTCAAGAAGCAAACAAAGGTACATCTTTTAAGTTCATTACCCCAATTAGACTCAGACTCAGACTTTTTATTGTCATTGTACGAGGCATACAACGAAATTAAAACAGCTTGGAGTGGTGTTTTACTAAGAAAGTGAAGTAAAAAAAGTAGAATAAAACATGAAATAAAATAGTACAAAATAAAAAAAGAATAAAATAGAATAGACTATGTATAGTCTATTCTATATATAGACTATATATATATATATATACACACACACACAATGTATGTATATATAGACAATTAGCACACTTATGAAAAAAATGCTCTGCTAATTATCCACTGCATCATTGTTAACCAGGTACTCTTTCTTCTTACATTTGTATAAAACTGTTGAAAAGTGTGGTTTTTGTGTTAAATAGTAAATTAACAATGTGGGTCAATTGCATGAATTTTTTTCCGACAGTAGGTGTCAGTATTGCTGAAGAGATACCCCCTTTAGAGAGGTGTGAATGGATAGATTCTCCACTCCACAGACAGATGGGGCTCATGGCACAAACATGATCAGACCCCCCTTTTTATCTAGAGAGTGCTGAACACCAGGACTCTTTGTTCAAATGGGGGAAAAGATCAAGTTCCCATGAATCTAAGCCTCTGGAGCTGCAGACTCTCACCCCGAGTTCACAGCAAAAGTCAGGGCTCAGCTCATTCCTCTAAATGAGTGGTATGGTCTGTTCCCTGGCTTGTTTTCTCTCCATTATCGGTCATTTTTGTGAATGCACCATGTGTTTCCCATCAAGTGTCCCACGATGTTTTATTCAGAATTGAAAAATTCCAGGATGTGTTGAAACTGTGTTCTTTTTTGGACTTGGACAAGTTCAAAACAGATGGAAAGTGTGCAATACTTGTGTTGTTTTTCAAACTCTCTAGCAGAACAAAATGTTCCAATTCACCGGCTGAGATTTGATGGAAGACATGTAAGAATTTAATGTCTTTGATTAAAATATTACTGACGCAGTTTTATAAGGACATAAATTATTATATTATACAATGCAGTAGAAATAACAGTAAACATTGCAGGAGACAGGCTGCGGTGTTTCATGAAATCATATTGTAACAAAAGTTTGATGATAACTAGTTTAAATTTGTCATCAATCCATGTTTATTTTAATAGTATCAGTCAGGTCATTGATAAATGATGCCATTTCAGCCAGGCATCCAATATCTTACTTTGATCATTTATAATTTATTCATCTAGATGATGCCAAAGTTTTACAGTCAATAAGAAACATTAAAAATCAACAGCATCACTGTAAGACAGGATGTTGTCAAGAGAGATAAATAAAACTGCGCTGTTTTTAATCTGCCTGTTTCAAAGTCCATTTTCTCAATCATTGTTGTCCCTCCAGTGTCTTACACCATTTGTAATTGGGCTGATTCAGAATAAATAGGAATAAAATAGCCTTTTTTAACTTTAATGTGTTTATATTGAATGCTCACAGGGTGATTTTAAAGTATTTAAGCTGGTTTAATTTTGTTTTTTTTTTCTGCTTTAAATTTGTCAAAAGTAAATGATTAATTTTTTAAAGAATAATTATTTCCACATGCTGTCAACAGACTTGTTTGAGATTAATCTATTCTCATGAAAGGAGGTAAGAAAATTATAAAACACAGATGCCTGAAAAGTAGCTGTACTTATAAAATCCAGAAGACTCTGGTCAATCTCTCACTTGGTAAGTGGCCAACTTTGTTAATCATAAATGAAGAGTAGGCATTCCCGTGATGAAGATGTACTTCAAGTCAGAGGCTCCTCATCCACTTATCTATTAGAGGAAATTAAGTCAGAACACAACTTGAATATTAAGATATTTAAGAAAAACTTTATTTGTGACTTATAAACAAAACACATTGATACCAGATTGATGAAATCATAAGAATCACTATTATCACCTTTACAATGATGAGCAGGTGTACAAAAAAAGTTATTAACAGATCTGCACTGTCACAGTCCACGGGGATGTGACTCACCGCCACACCCAGTGACTGAGGAACATTCACTATACACAAGCAGAGAATACATCAACTTTATTTTTTTTTCACATATTTTCATGTATTTTCATTTTTTTTTATTCCTTTTCTCTTTTTATTGAATCTACAGGGTAAGGGATAGATATGAAGGGTGAGTAAATGATTTGATTTCCACAATAGTGTTTGATCATCATTTTGAAGCTTAACACAACTTTAAGGACTGATCTTCTTACCTATGAAAATCATATGGGTATAAACTGAAAACAAAAAAAGCATTTCATAGCATAACACAATAGCATTATGTATATCTAGAAGATTAAAGTCATTTTCAACAGGATAAAAAATGTGATTCTTTTAGGTTTTTCCACAATTTACTGTTTCGCAATAGCGTATATTTTATGTATGTATGTATACGTGTGTGTATGTGTGGATGAGAGTGGTTTTTTTTACATGTGTGTGAATCGTCTTTGAGAATGTGTATCAGAGGTATATGTATTCCAATACGCATTTCCCAGTGGAAAAACATATCTATGTATATATAGTATTTATATAGTATCTGTTTCCTTTGCTTATAACATGCAAACAGCCACTTGGTGATCTGACAGCACAGAAGTACACCTGAAGGACAGAGGGGGCAGAGAAAGAGAGAGAGACAGAGAGGGAGAGAGAGAGAGAAGACGAAGGGAGGAAATGTGTGCATGGGAGAGATTGAGCCTTATAGCAGCACCTATATACCCCTACAGTGACTGGTAAGATGATGGTCTAAAGAAAGGAACACTGAGGTGAGATTTTATGACACTTTACATCATCTTGATGCTGGTCCAATATCTACTAACCTTTCTCTACCACACTAGACCTGGGCTTTACACTATCAGGCTCAAAGAAAGCTGTAAATCTCACACACTACACTTAGGTCAGGGAAATCTCAGAGCTGGTTGGATATCGTCTGATAACCATTTAGCCTCTTGGGGCTACAGGCAATATTTCAGGGCTTCAGCAGTCATTTAATCTGCAAGACTAGGACTCTTTCCTGGTCACTGCTAACAGTCTGAACTTGCAATACAGGATGCAAAAATTGTGTTCAAGTTGACAGGCAACAGCAAAAACATTATAGTTACTATCTACCCTTTTATCAGATTGTAATCAAAAGAGATGGATAAAATGTGTTAAATCACTGCATAAAAATTTTTATAAAATCATTGCAACAGTAGCCTCTGAATTCAGCGACCTATCACGGTTGATGCAGTCGGCTCCTTTTGCTCCCCATTGAACTGTTTTCTTGCAACACTTCCCTAAAAAGTGAAACCAAATCAACTCCAACGCCATAAATTTATCTCTCGTCCCCAGATTCTGCTTTAATTTGAAGGTTTGTCCCATGAAACACATCCCCTCTATCATAAATCCTTTTGTTTTCATGCAGCACATAGGCAAAGTTATGTAAAATAGTAAGTTACTGCCAGCTGTTACTATCAACTTGTGTTAATCTTTGCTCTTTCGCTGCATGGTACCATTGTCCCTGATTCGTCCGTCTATCATTTCAACTTTCAGTGCTATAGACTGTCAACAGCACGCTTCACCTCCATTAATCCATCAGTACTTCTCCCCCCTTCTTCCAATCAACCATCAACCTCTTCCCACTGCTGCCTCACTTATTTTCCAAGTGTTTTTTAGCTGGCCCAAGTCTATCAGTCGTCACTAATGGCTCACACACTCACACACAGAAATAACCGCAACACCTGCTGTTCTGCTCGCGCTAAACAGGGCTGGCTTGCCCCCATTAACTCTGCACTAGTTTCTTTATCATCTACGCTGGAGCTACATGATATAGTGTAATGACTGCTATCTTCTTGTCCCTTCATCTTGTCTCATTATATCCACCACAGCATTGTCTCAGTTTTCGCTAAACTGTCAGGCGACGTTACGATGCAAAGCGCGCAACCAATCCCAGAGATGACAGAGCTGTCAACAGTGAGCAATCAGGAGAGACACGCCTAACCTAACAAAGGATGTATGCCTGTGTGTGCAACTGTAGTTTGTATGTGTGTGTCTGTTAATACGCAAATGCACGCATGTTACCGTGGATGCGACGGCACAGTTCATTGAAGGAGAGTGACTAGAAAAGATGTCGTCTGACTGTGTTGACTTCAAGAAGCAGGAGTAGAGGGAAGAAACAGGCAGCGGGCTAAGCGAATCCTACAAGTGCTGAAGCATTCGAGGCAGTGATGCAGGGCTTGAAGAACAACTACGAAACATTCAGAGACAGAAGTAGAGGGTCAGGCTTGAACAGAAATGAAGCAACAAGCAACGTTCCTGCTTCTTAGCCATATAATACACTCTCAAAGTATAGACAACACTGGCCTTCAGTCTTTCTAGAGAGGGAAAATTGATATTTTTGTGTATATTTGTGTATTTGTATGTCTGGATGTAGCAGAGTGTGTGTGTGTTTTGTTGTGTATATGAGAGTGTCAGTGTTTATGTAGAACAACATGTGCGTCAGACTGGGTGAGACCCGTTGACCTGTGCCATGTTCTAAAAGAGACAAGGTCAGAGGTCGGTTGCATCAGCTGCACGTAGGTTCCCTATTTAAATCCAAAGTCATAGTGACTCATCCCCATTCACGCATTGCTAAAACACAAGCGGTATCACCACAAAACTGAACCGTAAGTAACAACTAAATAGCTAGGCAAGCAATAAAGCAGGTGCAAATGATACAGAGTCACACAATTGCACTCACTAACAGTAAAAGCAAGTTTTTTTTTTCTTCTATTTTTGCACACAGTGTATCTTTTCTCTAGAGCTTTCATGCCATTTTGCAATTTAAAGGACTAGCAGGTAGATTTTTTCTAGATGTCTCCACCCATTGCCTACCAATTGATCTTTACTGATGACTAATTATCAGTTTGGTGTTAATTGTTTTTCTCCTCAAGCAGAATTTGGATTCAACCGAATTACAGACATTGAAATTAACATGTTTGCACTTGCTTGATAATGTTCACCATTATTTTTGTGTTGAATTTGTTTAGGGAAGTATTGTTAGGATGATGACTTACAGATTTTTTTACCTGGATGAATTTCTAGCAATGGAAAAGTCTTTGTGTTGGTTTTATAATAATTAAAATATGGCCACTTGAGTTAGCTAAATGGTATGCAGTGATTTTGAGTACATCATATTGGTAGAGAATGGGCCAAAACAGCCAAAAACCCACCATTATCCTTTAAGAGTCAAACATGGATCTACCAATCATCGTTTAATGCCAATCTAGTTATCTACAGCTTATTCTGGTTTACACCCCTCAGCAAGATTATGCTATTACTGACTGGATACTCGTATGATTCTTAATGTTATAACTAGTTTTAGCCGTACAGTCCCCCCCCTTACTACCCATGGTACAATCGAATTAAGTAACTTGCTAATTGCAAATCAACCAACAGTTATGAAGCCACTACTTTAAACCCTAATGTGGGAACAAACTTGCGCATAGTTGGTGCAACCCAGTCCAGGTCCTCCGCCTCTGCGATGTGCTATGTAACACTGAAACAGAGCTCTTTATTAGAGGGTGGTCCAGTTACCTTAGTCATCCAAAGGTATTAATCTCATGGTACATATACTGTATGTTGTTACTTTTTCGTTTTTATTTTCATTTTTTTTATATAAAAGACCACAATTTCTGAATTTCTACAAGGCCTCAGTAACTCTGGAAAAAAGCCTGTTTCATTTTTATTTCGTTTGGCTTTGACTTCACCTTTCAGTAGGTGAGCTAAAAAGGGGAAGGGGGCTGCATAAAGACAGAGATGCCAACTTGGGCAGCCTCAGCTGACAATGGTCAGATACAAATAGCACACCTTCTCAGGTGTTTTTTGTTTTTATCATACAAACAGGGGCAGCGAATCACAGAATGTAATCCATTTCAATTGAAAGTGTTTAATTTGGTCCAGTCTTTACATGAAGTCTGTTTACTTGGAGTATTTGTTTGCCATAAACTTATGACTTTTGGAGACCAAAGATATGGGCCAAATAAGCCAAGAGAGATTTTACTGTTTTGCAAGTTTGCATGGAGTAGGGAGCCAGGCCTGGTCTAATGAGGGTTTGGCCACTGTACAATGTCTATGCAAATATAATGCAAGCAGGCTCCCTCGGTTCTACAATATGCATTTGGCTTTTTTCTGGCTCTGTTTCTGGGATGGTGTTTTGTTGGTAGCTCTGTTCTTAAGTCACCCCTCCTCCTCTACTCATCCCCATCATCCTTTCCTTTCTCCTTCTTGTCCTTCTTGTCCTTCTTCTTCTTTTTCTTCTTCTTGGCCTCCTCCTTCTTGCCAAAGCTTATGAAGTCTCCTTTGTCGTCCACAGGGCCAGGGTCATGGCGGATAGAGATGATGGCTGGGGATCCAGGGATGATGAAGGCTTCAGGGGGAATCTCTCCGGGCTTCAGGGGCTGAGGAGGGCCGTAGCCTTGTTGGGCACCGTATCTGAATTGCCAGCTGTTGCAGTTGACTCCGGCGCCCACTGGGGGTGACAGCTCTCCACCACCCTCTCCATCTAAAGATGTAAATGAAAAAGAGGAAAAAAACATGAAAATTTGGACACAATATTTTATAGAAGGAGTGAGTCAATATTTTAGGGGGTCAGTTTAGGGGCTTTGTTGCTGAGAAGTAGCTGAAGCAATCAACAACTAATCAACAACCATTTCATGTAAGGTAAAATATGAAGCTGGAAGACAAAAAAAGAAAATTGTGCAGAAAACAATAATCCACCACATTAGAAGGAGTAAAAAAACTGGTCCAACTTGGAGTGAAATTGAATGTAAGTATCTCCCCAAAGTTAAACCAAAACATATGGAGCTCCCTTTACTGACTAGCAGCAGTACTGGTCATAAAGCCCGCCTTATAGTAGTTATTTGATGTTGTTAGAAGAGATCAACACCATGATTGACAGCTCTGTTTATAAATGCGGCTCTTGCAATGCAATGCAAGGCATGGGCGAGTATGAAATGGTGCTTCTTTCACTAAACTTTATTACGTTAGGCAAAAAAAGTCATGATTTTACAGTATCATAGTACTGCTGCTCATTGTGTTATTTTGAGATGTCTGGGACCCTGAAACTCAAGCCTATTCTCCAACCTAATCCAGATCACCAACAGGGGGTTGACATGAAGTTTAACACCATTGGAATGATATGACAGAAAATATTAAAGGCTCTCTAACCATGACTTTTTCAAAGTGCAAAAGTGAATGAACACATGAATGACCACTAACACTACAGTCATTGAACTCAACATAGATGTAAGTGTTAGCTTCACCAGAGTCTGTTGCTGTAGACTTTACAAACCTGTAAGAACTAAATGTGTGTTTGGGTTAAGGATGCTAGGTCACGTCGACCTTGTCACACATGGCTCTGCCAAAATTCGAAAGGAAATTTGGCAGAGCCGACCAGCGAGCAAAACATGTTTACAGAAAAAGTCACCTTGTTGGCTATCAGCCACCAATGTGAAGTACACTTAGGGGAAGATAACACTTCAGATGACCACTTACGTGAAAAACCATAGCTAACATCATTGGAGAAGTATAAAGGATTTGGGATTGTTTGGTTCTGGGTCCGTCGGCTGATTTGTCGTGAGATGCGGTTGATGCTGCAGACTGCAATAAAATTCCCGGGAGAAGGCTGCCAACTTGACTCTGACTTCTGGGTGGTTCATTTTTGCACCTTTGCATTTATGAAATCTGCCATAGTTCCTGGACTAGTAGGGAACCTCTGGATGAAAGGATTAAACTTGTGTTTGTAGATTTCCTATAAAAGCATGTTGACATGCTGCAGATCCTTCACCCTAACTTAAATACCAGACTTTAGCACCCAGGGTCTGATCCACAGATTAGTCAGAGGTCAGCTTCTTTTTCCCGTCAAGTGTCATGCAGTGTTTCTTATTTGGTTATTGAACTGGTTCCAAATGTGTTTCAACAGTTTTTTCCTGACTAGGATGGGTTTGACTTGAACAGTTAGGGGGGTGATAGTGCAACATTTGTGTTTTTCATCAGATCTTTCTGAAAGGAGGATAAACATTCCAATTCATGGACAGGGATTTCCAGGAAAACACTGAGGATTTTAATAATGTTGGGACACTGGTTTAAAGTAGTTATTTAATAATGCTTGCATGTACAAAGGCTGCATTAGCCCAGAGTTCAGCGACTACCCTTGGCCCTTTGTGGCATGACATCCCCCACACTCTTATCCCTGTTTTCAACTCTGTCCTCTCAGTGAAGGCAAGAAAAGCCCAAATTTACTCTTAAAAAATATATATAATATTAATGTCAGAGGGGGAAATGTTTAAAAGTTTAACACTTCCCTCTGGTTAAAAGGCTGAAATATATAATGAAATAAAAAGACAACCAATCTGTTCATCCCTGGCATATGGTAGGAACAGTCTGCTGAGGTAAAGTCCCTCCTTTATTACTTTTTACGATGTCAATTGTTTAAAAAAATGACTGTCCAGCTCGTCATGCTGTCCCTTATTCAGACATTTCCTTGTGTCTTTGAGATCCTTATAAAATCTGACATGTAAGGACCAACAGAAATCAAGCAAAAGTGAGTAGAGCGCCAGCCTGACAATGCAGCGATAGCCACAGGGAGTGGATATTTTCAGGACAGCGATTCAGCCGAGACCGCAGGAGGGAACACTAGAGAGGACTAACCTTCAAATCACGGGGATGTTTAACTCAGCAAAGGGATTTCTAGTTGTATCTGTATTTGGATGATGGCAGCAGCTTAATCCTGCTCTCATAGGAGTGCCAAAGACAGGGATTCAACCTTTAGTGCCTAAGCATTGATGTGACACAGAAAGGACCCCAAAAAGCAAGACAGAATAAGAAACTAATAAATAAGAAATCATCTGCTGAAGTGAAAACAAGATGAAGCTAGGTCAAAAGGTCAAAGATGCCAGAATGAAAAGGAACAAGGACTGTCAGAGGAGATGAGAAGGGAGAGGGAAAAAAGACAGCGAGAGAGAGAGTGTGAGGGAGAGAGAGGCAGCAAGAAAGATGGGGGTGGGCGGGTTTTGCAGACACGGTGCTCTCAGGCCCACACCAGTTCCCTCTGCACTGACCTACTTTCAGTCTGGATTTTATTTAGATCAAACACAGGCCCATGCGAAAAGATTCTGTTTGATTTTTCTTTGTAGGCTATTTATGACATTGCTGGAGCTCTGAAATGGTTTCAAACACCGTCCCATTGGGAAGAGCACTATTTTGAAAATACACACTTTTCATACACACTGTGTCCCTTTGAGTCCCCAAAATGAGCTCATGGAGGGTGAGACTAATTTACTCATAAAGAATATAATGAAGGCAGATGTAATGGACAATACCCCACAATCTACAAGAGAGCGCAGCCCTGCACGAAGTATACAGACCCCTGCTCGCCTTTCATAGAGCGCTGTTATATATTATTGAACCTTGACTCACTGAATATTGATCGTATGTTAACTCATGCAATCAAATTGTGTTGAAGCACTGATGGTTTCAAGTAAAGCAGCAGTGGTTTGGATAATTTTGCTCCAAAATAGCAGAGACATACCACGTGATGGAGAAGTCAGAACACGGTCCCACATAAATAATTTGTTGTCTTCTTAAAAATAGAAGTGTTCATTTTTAAGTTACATTAAATAATTAGTATGCAAAAGACCAGGATATCATGAGAAACCAGGACTGCAAAGAAAAATCCAGATTGAGCCCAGCTTTGGCTTTAACATTTATGTCTGCTGTTGCATTTTCACAAATAAATCCAAAAAGCTAATTGACCTTTGTGAATTAGCTTGTTCGATAATTAGCCTGTGTCAGATATCACCTTCTTATCTCACCCTCAGCAAGCAGAGTTGTTGCTTTAATGCTTTAATACTGTAGATCTGTCTCAGGGGATTATGACATGTGATGGTCTAGTCTGTCTGTTTGTTTTTTTTTTTAATCCTGGTATTAAACCCAGGAACTGGATCTGGTGTTTGAAATAAGTCCCATTCAGTGGCTCTCAGTGGTAAGGCAGGCACGATTGCACCCTGTGTGGAGGAGGACAAACGCGCTTAAAATAAGCTGAAAGGACAGCCGGTGATTTAAGGGAGATGTGCAAAAATACAGAGGGCCAGGGAGCTTTGAAAGCCAATGGCACAGTGGATGGCATCGCTGATCACATTGACTGTACCTCCATTTTATATAACTGACTCACTAATTTCTGTAACCTGGTGATATTCAGAGAAGGGGGATCTGACAGCAGGTTGCGGATTTTTAGAGAACAGTAATGTGATTATAAATAAGATTTAAAAATGGTCTTCTCGTCGTTATTAGTTCTCACCATTTCATTTTAAACTACAGCATCAAATCAAACCAAGTGTTGACATCAAATTCCTGCAGATTACTTTCACTAAGTCATTGAAGTGAGATGTTACTTTAAAGGGTGGTGCACAGGCTCATTAAAGGAGATATTAGGTGTATATCACATGAATTTCTGGCTATCTAAGACCCTGCTTACTGTGTACATCTGTCATGATGTGTTCTGTTAATTTAGTTGTTTCTAGTTGAGTGCATTTTTTGTATTGTTCCTAGTCTTCCTGCTCCCCTGTGATCCAGTCTTGTGAGTTTGTAGTTTGTGTTTGACCCCGTTTCCCTCCAGTTCTCTGTGTTTTATTCTTTATATCAGTTTTCAGTGTTTCCTGTTTTATTTTGTAGTCGATTCCTTGTGTTTCTAGTCTTTTTTTACTTCCCTAGTTTTCCCTCCCTCGTTAATCACTCATTAGTTTCACCTGTGTCTTGTCTGCCTCACCTGTTGCTCGTTTGCCAGTGTGTATATAGTCCCTGTCTTCTCCTCTCTCCTGTTTGGTTTATTGTGTGTGTGTGTTTGTCGGTCAGTGAGTGTCTTTCATAGTTGTTGTTGTTTCCCTAGTCTCCTTGTGGTTTTTTTCCCCCAGAGCCTTATTTTTGGGGGATTTTTTTTCTCCTTGTGTTTTTAAGGTAAGTTTTAGTTTTTTTCATTTAGTTCTTTTTAAATAAATCCTTTTTTTTAATCTGCATTTGGGTCATTTCCCTTTTGTTTAACTCTGGCTCGTGACAGAATCAAATATAGAGATCCAAGACAACACGTATTTAAGGAAAAAAAGGGAATCTTTAAACAGCTTTTAAGATTGACCTGCTTCCTAAATGAAACATTCAAGCTGTTGTCTGGTGATGTTGGTCTACTGTGGAAACTCAGCATTTCTTTAGATATTTCCAGGTTAATATGAACAACAATCTTCTTTAAAGTGACAAAGAAAGGTTTGGCCTCTGGAAGCGTGACTGTATTTACTAAATATCAAAAGATTAGCAAAAGCCTTTTGTGCAACTTTTGGAGATTCAAATGTCAAACATTTTATGAAATGTCAAATGTTCAGCTCCCTGAAATTTGATTGTGCTTCACAGATTTTATCTTACATTAAGGTAAAAAGTTAGAGCCAGATTAAAGGTTAAAAATATGGGATTTTGAGCCTTAAAGTACAAAAGTATGAGAATAAATTCTGTAGAATTAAGTTGAATAGATTAAGTTTTCAACTTACAAGAAGAAACTAACAAGCACAGACAGCAAAAGCTTGCACAAGCTGCCTATTAGCCCATCCTTCTCCATAATAGACTCATTGTCTTGTCTATCTAGAATTCTGCTTCCTATAACAATGTGGTGCTGATGTGTGAAAAGATTGGGTACTTGGTTATAAATAAAACCTTTTCCTACAATACAACTTCACAGGATGCTCCAAGTTTTTGATTTTTGTGGAGGCTGCTGGCTGTTCCTCTGATAATCCCACTCAACATACAGGCTAAGTTTATCCTAAAAGTATGACTTTTTTTAAATGCACAACTTCACTATCATAATTTTTGACTTCATACTAGTGAATTTATGACGTAATGCTCTTTCTTCAAAATCTCACAACTGTTTTTTCTGTATCGTGACCACAATACTACATAACATGATATAACCAAGTTTAGGTACAAGAAACAAAGTGATGTGTTCATTAAACTTTTGGTATCTGCAAATGTATAAAAAAATCCATTATCCGCTTTAGATTATATGTGTAAGTTTACAAGGCCTTATTTGGATATCTTAATACAGAAACCTTAGTGTGCAATGAACCATATTTACACACGTGGACAAAATTGTTGGTACCCCTCAGTTAAAGAAGGAAAAACCCACAATTCTCACTGAAATCACTTGAAACCTACAAAAGTAACAATAAATAAAAATTTATTGAAAATTAAATAATCAAAATCAGCCATTACTTTTGAATTGTTGATTAACATAATTATTTAAAAAAAACAAACTAATAGGGCTGGACAAAAATGATGGTACCCATAACTTAATATTTTGTTGCACAACCTTTTGAGGCAATCACTGCAATTAAACGATTTCTGTATTTGTCAATGAGCGTTCTGCAGCTGTCAACAGGTATTTTGGCCCACTCCTCATGAGTAAACTGCTCCAGTTGTCTCAGGTTTGATGGGTGTCTTCTCCAAATGGCATGTTTCAGCTCCTTCCACAGATGTTCAATGGGATTCAGATCTGGGCTCATGGAAGGCCACTTTAGAATAGTCCAACGCTTTTCTCTCAGCCATTCTTGGGTGTTTTTGGCTGTGTGTTTTGGATCGTTGTCCTGTTGGAAGACCCATGACCTGCGACTGAGACCAAGCTTTCTGACACTAGGCAGCACATTTCTCTCCAGAATGCCTTGATAGTTGTCAGATTTCATTTTACCTTGCACACATTCAAGACACCCTGTGCCAGATGCAGCAAAGCAGCCCCAAAACATTGCTGAGCCTCCTCCATGTTTCACCGTAGGGACAGTGTTCTTTTCTTCGTATGCTTGGTTTTTGAGTCTATGAACATAGAGTTGATGTGCCTTACCAAAAAGCTCCAGTTTGGTCTCATCTGTCCAAAGGACATTCTCCCAGAAGCTTTGTGGCTTGTCAACATGCATTTTTGCAAATTCCAGTCTCGCTTTTTTATGATTTTTTTTCAGCAGTGGTGTCCTCCTTGGTCGTCTCCCATGAAGTCCACTTTGGCTCAAACAACGACGAATGGTGCGATCTGACACTGATGTACCTTGGCCTTGGAGTTCACCTTTAATTTCTTTGGAGGTTGTCCTGGGCTCTTTGGATACAATTCGAACGATCTGTCTCTTCAATCTGTCATCAATTTTCCTCTTGCGGCCACATCCAGGGAGGTTGGCTACTGTCCCGTGGGTCTTGAACTTCTGAATAATATGAGCCACTGTTGTCACAGGAACTTCAAGCTGTGTAGAGATGGTTTTATAGCCTGCACCTTTAAGATGTTTGTCTATAATTTTTTTTCGGATGTCCTGGGACAATTCTCTCCGCTTTCTGTTGTCCATGTTCAGTGTGGTACACACCTTTTCACCAAACAGCAGAGTGCCTACTTGTCTCCCTTTAAATAGGCAGACTGACTGATTATGAGTTTGGAAACACCAGTGATGTCAATTAAAGGATACACCTGAGTTAATCATGTCACTCTGGTCAAATAGTTTTCAATCTTTTATAGAGGTACCATCATTTTTGTCCAGCCCTATTTCATTAGTTTGTTTTTTTTAAATAATTATGTTAATCAACATTTCAAACGTAATGGCTGATTTTGATTATTTAATTTTCAATAAATTTTTATTTATTGTTACTTTTGTAGGTTTCAAGTGATTTCAGTGAGAATTGTGGGTTTTTCCTTCTTTAACTGAGGGGTACCAACAATTTTGTCCACGTGTGTATATGTATATACTGTACACATGTATATAAGTTTATTTATCCTTTAATTTCTCTTTTGTATTTGCATTTACGCTGCTGTAATTTTGGAATTTTCTCCTGTGGGACTAACAGTTTTATCTTATCATGTCTTCCCTAATATAACCAAAGTGTGAGTGATCAACAATGGCAGTACCAATGTAGTGTTTGAAACTACATGACCAAAAGTGTATTATCCTTTGTGCAGGTTTGGTAACTTTGAGTTAAGCTTCACTCTGAAATATAATTATTGTAGCATAAAGTCATTGTGGTACAGTCTGCAGCTTATGTGCACCTTATGGGGCTGGAGCAGTTCATAAGCCTGTGACCACCTACATTGAAATGTCAAGAGGCTGTGAAGCGTCTAATCAAGTGCATATTGTCTTTGAGTCTTGGGACATCCCAGAGCTCTCTGTACTGTCTGTGACAAATCCAAACCTCTGACATTGTTTAATTAGATTCCTGACCCTGGTTCTGAACTGAGACACTCCTGCCTGTGTGTGTGTGTATACGTAGCAAAATTAATTCATTACTGGCATGTCCTGTTACAATTTGTACAAGTCTTATACAACTGTGAGGAGCTTTGCTGCTGTTTCTCCAACATAGAGGATTATTAGTTACTCTGCTGTTGATTCATATTAGCCCATATTTCAGAGGAAACATGCATTTGAAACGGATTATGGTGTAACATCTGGTAAGCAGGTCAGTGCGGCTCCTTGTAAGGAGGTTGCCATGACACCTGCTGTAGAAATGTAGGTGTTCGGAGCCTCGTTACGTGTAACCTGCTGTCCTACATTTTAAAACAGGCTGTGTTATTTCCTGTCTAGTCCAAGATACGGTTCCAATCAAAATGAATCCCTCTGGAGGTTTGTAGCGCATGCTCAAATCTGAGAGTAGTGTAGTAGCTAGTGTGAGTATATGCAACACATCACCCATTCAGCATTTGACAAATCAACCTAAAACCGTTTTCGACATTATTCTCTCTGAAATGCAGCCTTTTTCCCTTTTAATACCTGCCCTTGTCGAGTCCCCTTTCCTATTTTCTTCCCTTTTTTCCATCTCTAAATCTTCCATTCAGAGATATGAGCCGTTGCCATGGAAACTGCCTTCGCCCACTCCCCGCCGATGGAGGGTGCGGCTGCTGCAGCAATCTCTCAGTTAGACAGTGTTGCCAGGCAACAGGTCACATGGCGTTCCCTAGCAACAACACTACTGCAGGAACCTGCCAATCCTCTTAACCTTTCTCTTCCTCTATCCTCCCCCCACACCTCTCTTTTTTTCTCTCTCCCTCCATCCCCCTGTACATCTCCTTTGCTCTTCCTTCCCAAAACTGCTTTGAATGTTACCAGATCTTTCTTTTTTCCTTTTCTTTTTTAAACTTCCTTCTCCTTTCTTGCAGATAACAGCCTCTCTTCCCCCTCTGGCATCAGACAAATGTCTCCTCATCTGCAACATAGGTCACTTACATAAACACAGTTTTTTTTAGGGTGTCGCATTTAGATGCATCACAGCGTATCAGACAACTTCATCATGATAACAATTTGCTGCAGACGTGAAAATGTGTCACTGAAAAGACTCCACCTCTTCATGCATACTAAAGAGGATCAACCTGAAATTCAATGCATGTCTATGCCTAACACACGATTTCCTAATGCTAGAGTGCACCCCTAATATCTGCAGTATGCCATGCATCCTGTTTAAGAGACAATATTTGAGTCTTCATAGCTTTCCATCTGCTCTAAAAGATACACATTTTTCTGCAGCAAACTGGCACACAGATACTTAGAGACAGCTTGTACCTTGAATGATTCCCCAGCTTTCATTTTCCACAGAGAGAAGCTGACAGACAGGGAGACATATCCTGTCACTGACTCATCAAGTGATAGACTGTGATGCTACACCCCTCACCCTCAAGTCTCTACCTATGTTTTAATTCCTGCAGACTGACAGAAAATCAATGGCCGAGCTCGGCCGAAGGAACCAGGGAACAGCTCACAATGTTCCACATGCTGTTTTGAAATCTTAGTTACCAAGGTCTTCAGTAAAACTGACACAGGCTGTTAGTCATTAGCAAAGAACCAGCATCTGAGCAGGTTATCTCCAAGGCCAGTTGTTTGTGCATTTATTCTGTGTGGCTACATATTTTCACTCCGTACGCCCACTCAGGACATCTCATTTCTCATTAAAAAGCAGTTGCCTCTTTCAGTCTGCAGCTCTAACTGCTGCCAGCTGCTTTTATGGGAGGATACAGTTGTTTATCTGTGGCTCTGCACACGAGCCCCGGGCTTTTGGCACCTCGGTTAAGCTCTGTATGAACATCACACTGGAATTCAAGATCATGTAGATATTTAAAAGGACAGATCTGTCAAAAAGCAGCCACATTATCAGAGCCAAAGTTTAACAAAGATGAATTTAATGCACTTGATAGGATGTAATGCACTGATTGGATTCATAAATGGGACTCTGTTTTTTACTTGAATAGATATTGACAGTGAGGTGAACAGAGTAATGTAAATATTTGTCTGCGTTCTTGGTGAAAGTAATGACTCTATGATCTAAAAAAACAAAGTCCCTGTTTGTTTGCACTGGAATTTGAATTCTGACTATCCTCATGGTACAGTTGTGATGAAAAACTAAGAAAATTAAGAAAACTGTTCAAATTTACCACAAACTTTTCATCATGGCTGAACATGGAATCAGAGACTCTCCAGATAAACAGTCTGTACATTTACATGCACAGTTCAGTCGAGCTACAGTCATGGCTCTGTTAGGCGATTTATCTAGACTACTGTCCTTGTCTAAGTTTACAAGCACTAGGAAAAAATCAAATTATGAACAAAAAGCATGTCTGTAACTACTATGGTAGGTGCTGATATGCCCCCTGCCAGTTCATAACTATTGGGTCATCTCCCAGTTGACTTATTACGTATCAAAACAGCAGGCAAAACTTGATAGCGAGGGGCTAACAGGATATATGTAGACTGATAAAAACACTGTCACTTTTACAGCTCTGTACTATTTATCGTATAATAGGAAAGTTTTGTCTTTTATTAAAGCTTTTCTTCGTCTATCAAGGCTTTGCTTACTACCCAGCTTCCTAGCAACACATTTATGCTATTCAACTTCCATCTTAAAGCCTGGTGTACAAACACTAGTACCACCAGCCTTCGGTCATCCGTGCAGGTTAACGTTCACATGCCTGTGCTGGTTGTCATTGCTCTGGTTAACCTGACACAGCCTACATATAACTTTATCTCAAGATTTTTCCATCCAAGTACCAATCTTCTGGGTTACCAGATGCCATTTGCAATTTGGACTGATTTGCATTTGGGTAGTGGACCATAACAACATCATAGCGGTAGCTGCTAACAAGGCTACATAATACAAATACTTATGACTTGTTCAGTTGTTTAACCTTTCTGGTTTCCACTACTCAGGGAACAACTTTCTATCTTTTCATTAACTAAAGACACACTTCTCTTTACAATACCACTGTCAAGTCTGAATAGTCAATGTCAAGCTGGAGAGGTCAATGGTTGGCTTTGCACAAAAACAGAGCAAAATAACTAGCCTGACAAGCAAAAAGGGTAAAAAAAACATACTTCTGGACAGCAACTCTAACACTCAGTACGTCTTGTTTCTTCCATTCATAGTGTGCTTTTTTGCATACAAAAATACAAGAATTCAAGTGATGGGATCCCAGTAGTACAGAGCATGTACCCTCTTAAAACCGTATTAGTTTATGTTTCAGTTTTCCAACATGCCATTTTTAGGGTTAGTTTACGCCTCCTTGTTTACAAGAGGATTCTTTTTTCTTTCCCTGGTTTATTGTAGCTGTTTATGAGCAGCTGTGTTGATTCTCTTTGCCTCTAAGCAATAAGCGTCTAAGGGGTTACCAGTCACAAGTGTGAGAACTAGATCATAAACACTAATATTATGGGTTCCCACACATTATGCTTTAGAGACTCACCACAAACCAGAGGCTCAAAATACAACTTGCAGTGGGCAGTTAATTTACTCTCGGACCATCTGATATTTGTAAAACAATACTTTGGGTGACACATCACATTTGGACAATTTAACAATTCTTGGAAAAAAGGATTATACTGTATTTCAACAAATATTAGCCTGACATTTCTACACAACAGAGCTAAAAAAAACTGTTCTTTGAACTGAATCACAAGCTTTCTCTCAAAAATGTTGCCTAGTTGTTTTTATATAGATGTGTGAGTATAAAATTGTATTAAATTCTGTCTGATGTATTTGCTCAAAGTGTGTTTTCTCTCTCTATTTGTTGACTGCCAGACGTTTACTCACCAGCAGCACTGGACACTGTGGGCCAGTTCTGGACCAGCATCCCCTGGGCCCCCTGCATCACAGAGGACTCCTCCATGTGGACTGAGCTGAAAGGTAAAGCACATTAGTAGGTTAGTGACACATCTCGCATCAATTATTCTTTCAACCTAAACGCCTCTCTATCAAAACACTTGACTTCTAGGTGTTGATTATTTCCTCTTTGAAAAAAAGTCAAAACCACAGCTAGAATTGTCGACAAACATAAATCAGATTCTCTCAGTATCAACATTTCCAGCTGTGCTGCTTATTGTTTTAGGCCTCGACAGCTTAAGTTCCCCAACAATAGGGTGAGAAGTTCTGGAGTAATATAACCCATTTTGTGTGATTTACCCCTGTTTAAAAAACCCTAATGTTAGATTTTCAATATTATTTGTGTTGGATTATCTCCCAACCTTTGACAAATCCAAATGTTTCATGTGGAAAAGAGAAGTGACATAAATTCAGAAAAAGACTGTAAGAAATCTGACTGTTCTGGCAGGTCTCATAACTGGAAAAAAACACTCACTTTACTATTTTGTTCTATTTTTTAAAGCCTATGACTGTTTTCTTGGCAGCAACACCTAACACCCACCTGTCAGACTAACCAAATGTGCAGTTCAATATTAGGAAGTGGATGTCATTTCCCTGGCGTCTCTTGCATAATCTGCTTGCTGGTTTAATGTCTAACTTTAAAATGTGTTTTCTGGTTTATGGATTAAAATTTGAATCAGGTTTTAAATGTCGGCTGAAACACAAGTGACCATTGTCCAAATGATATAATCAAGTTCCTGTCAAGTGAGTTGGCAAACCGATTGTTTGTTACCATCCAGCTGACTCTGTCAATGCCATTTTGAAAGTTTTGTGACAGGTGCCTATACTGTATATCTCTGGTGGATTTCTTAAAGAATAAACTGTTAATGTGGTGTTGTTAAGAGTTTCTGTTACTCATCTTAGCATTACAGCCTCCAAGTTTTGTCTGCTGTGCATTCAGATTGTTGGTCTCTTTGTACATGCAAATCATTTTAAGGCCTTTGAGTTTGGCAAGATTAACACTTGTACACTTTTTTACACCATTTGGTCACTGGGTCTGTTTCAACTCTAGCAGGTGGGAAGTGAACAAAGCAGCAAAGTTTTAGCATAAGCAAATTCTCTTTAAAATGGTTTGGACTGTGGTCTATATCTATTATATAGGCACTGGTCTAGTATGATTCTACCCTGTCTTGCAAGAATGCATTTGTGGGTCTGACTTTTATCATCAGAACATGTGTATCTTTTCTCTGTCAGTGTTTTAATTTATGCAACTGGCATATATAACCCATTTAGAGTCATTAATTTTCTAAACATTTTCAGCTGATCTTGTTACAGAGTTATAATTTAGTAATGTGTGTAAAATGTAGGACACTAAAACACTCCAAATGGAAAATATTAAAAATTCAGGCTACAAGCAAAACATCGACTCTCTGGATGGCACCAAAGTGGAGTTCTTGAAGTTTTATGGACCCACACGTAACACCCCTATGAAACCACATTTTGTCCTTTTTACAGCTCTGTTTTTAAACAAATGAGCCATAACATGTTTTTAGTGAACTTTGAAGGTGGTTAAATGCATATTTCATTAAAGTTGGACACAGCCAGGCTACCAATGACCCTCTTTTTTGCTGTTTTAGCAAAGCTAACATAACTGGCTGATGGAGCTAACATCTGATTCACAGCGTCTGTCTGTAAAGGAGACAGTGAGGGAAAACCGAGTCCTTACCCAGAATCACTAGACCCTGACTTGTCAAAACTACATTATCCCTGAGTCTGCAGACTTTTTTAAAAATGCAGTTAGATTGGGAAACCTGAGATTTCACAAATCTGATACTGTGTTTTAAAAAGTATGAAAACTCTCTAGGCCAATCTAGTTTGGGTTTAGTGATTCTGATTAAGGACCTTGTTTCCTTCACTATTTCCTTTACAGACTAGTTAAAAAACTGTGAATGTGGAGCTATATTGTGTTTTGTCAGGTGCCTGTAAGTTCATATTTAACAGAGAGGACCCTGAAGTATGGAAGAGGTAATGTGCTGTGTGTACAGGGTCCAGCTCACCCTGTTTGAATTCTGATCTGCTATAACCTGCCCAGGATGTACTTTTTTTATATGTCTCAAATACAAAGCTACTACCACCAGCCAGTTATGCTCGCTCTGAACAAGGACTGAAAAAGGGGAAACTGTTAACCTGGGTCTGATCTCAGTCGAGACACTGTCTGAAAGTGTCCCTTTAATAAAACAACCCATCCACTATATATTAACCTAAGCTTCTTTCTTACTTCTTACTTTTAATTTTAATCATGTGAAATCTGTTTTGTTTCTTATGTGGAAAACAGTCCATTATCCTCACAGTGAGCTCTGTTGCCTTCTTGGAATAGGCAAAACTAGCTGTTAGCTAGCTGGACCTTTCCACTGGTCGTAATGTAAAACCTATTGAAGAGGAACTTATGAATCAGCGCCACATACAGTATATGAGCCAGTTTCTCAGTCCTGTCACTTTTCTTTTTCATTTATCAGTCTTTAAACACTGTTGTCTACCATGCTGTTTACCATACAGCCTTTTACTCTTGCTTAATCTTCAGTTGAATAGATTTCTTTTTCCTGTTACAGTTTAACCTCTCTTGTTTCTCTTTTTCCAACCAAAGTTGTACTCTTCATAGCAATCAGATCATTGCTATGGAGAATGCGGACCCATCAGAATCAGATATTAAACACATCTGTGTACCAAAATAAGAAAAACTCCACTTAAATTGGACCAAAGTACCTGAAATAAGTTGTATTTTGGGAGAATATTTGTGCAGTTTGTAAATATTAGGGGGAAAGCAAAGTAATAATAAAATTTTGCTTGCTTGATTTACAGTAATAAGCTAAAAACATCCTACGGTTTCTCTCAGACATAGTAACACTTAGAAAGTACAAACACACAGAAACATTCAATGATTGAAATCCTATCCATGAATTAAAAACATATTACTGAAATAACTACACAAAGTCAGGTGTAACTGCATGCATTTTCCGCTGGAGGCTTGGGTATTGCCTCCCATACATTTATAATGTATATAGCCCTTACTCTATAGGAGACGCTGACTGAAGCCTCTGCAATGCAGCACATCCTGAACCTATCTCAGACTGCAACACATCTAAAATGTTGAACAAGAGTTTTTTATGCATATAAAATAAGTGTGTATATTTTGAGCCGTGAGGGTTTTCTAGCTTTTACAACAAGCAAAGGTACTGGTGTAATGCGTGAGAGTGAGACTCAGCTAGGACCAGTAGTTTCTTACACTGACTGGCTACACCACGCAGTAATGTGGGTCAATTCTGGTGATCCTTCAGATCTGTGTGTAGTGTGATACATTACAGCATGCGTGTGTTGGGGCTAAGAGTTAATACGAGTGTGTGAAGGGTGTCTGTGTGTGTTACAGGCTCTGCCATTCCAGAGATGGCGGCGACAAATTGCGACGATGATTTATGTTAATCCATGTCATGTTACAGAGACTTGATGACATGATGCACATTATGATACCCTCCGCACCATAGAAATTAACACTAATATCCAATTAAATCAAACTTAGACAGAGCAGAAGACTGCACAACTGAGTGGTGAGCATTGTTAGCATGAAATTATGGAGATTCAGTGCAAATGATAAACATGTGGAGGTAAAACTCATTAGTCCCTGATGTTCCAGCTGTCCTCTTTTTAAATAAGCAAAACACTTCATTATGTATTTCAGTCCAACTTTTGAGAACAGATCATTACAGAATTAAAACTGACAGATGAAGACAAAAAAACTATTTCATACAGTTGTTTTCACATTCTCTAAATTCCACTATTCCCCATTTTGCAGTAATGAGATAGCTTACACGTGTAGTGCTTCATTAATCAGACAAAGAAGGGAATACTCAAATATTTTACTCTCTTACACAAAATTTTAATTTATACCCCTGATACACTTTTAACCCAAATCTTAGAAACCTGCTCATTATTGTAGTGAGATGCCAAATTTGAACCCATTAGCAAATGTTCCCTGTGACATAATTAGGCCTTGTTTTTGTCTAATAATTGCCAAATTGTGTTAAATCATACATGGTGTATACTTCTATCAATCTGTAATTGGGATTTGGTCAAGCAATAAGCCCAAATGAAGCTGTATGTGCAAAAACAGACTGCATGAAACTCCTCCAAGTGTGGCTTCAAGGAGGCTAAAATGTCCTCTGCTGTCTTCAACCTCATTCCTGGATAGAAAATATAGAAATACACACAGAAATGAACACATGTGTGCATGATGGTCAGTCATATGTGCAGACGCTGATGCATGTGTGCATCTGATAATCTGAGAAAGGTCATAGTCAGCTCGTTTGTCCTTCACGCTTCCTGCTTAAAGACTGTAACTGGGGGAAGCGACACTCAGAATGTAGATGACCTATATAGTATTACACTGCAGAGGAGGAGTGCTGTGCTTCCACTGAAGGGAGCGAGAAAAGAGGCTTTTCCCCAAAGGAAGAGGACAGGGTTAGGGGTTCAGACACATACTGAGGGGACTTTCATGTTTATCTTTAATGGTGGCAGATTCAGATTTTGCTGTGCTGTGTAATAGTGCCTTCTTTCATTTCTCATGCAGGTATCTGTGGGAAGTCTGAAATGTCCGTGAACATATCCTATGACGTACTACACATCCCAGCTGGGGTTTAAGAGTAATCAGACAAGGTTATGACACATGAGACAAGCAAGCAGGAGAAATAGGTGATACTTTTACCAGATGATCATATCGCAGAAGAGTTAAAGACAGAAAGTGCTTACCTCTGCACCCCTGCCCTCAAAGATGCAGAATATCGCCAGTCAGCATTAGGAGCTTTCGGCTGAGCGAGCAAGAGGTAAAGAGAGAGAGAGAAAGGAGGGGAAAAAGAGGAGGGAAAGAGAGAGAGTTTAGTTTGATCTCATACTGTGCAGATCCAGGCCGGGCCATGGTCTCATCAATTAATCATGATACACATCCCAGTTCTGGACGTGATAGGAACACTGCGATCGTCCCCTGTTTGCATGCACACACACACTCTCATGCATACATATTGATATCCACCCACAGTCACGGACACAGGATGACTTTAAAAAGACCACTAACTGAACACTGTATTGATGAGTTTTGGACACACTCACTTCATGGCTCTTTCAATGTGAGAGCCAGGAGAGTGATGCTCTTTCCCCGAGTGCCGGGCTGTTTGTATAGACTGATGTGAGTACATGTTTGTGTAAATCTGTCGACTCCACATGAACCTGCGTGGGCTGAGTGCTTGACACTCCCAGAAGACCTCTGGTATATTACTGCCTTGCAAAGCCAATAAGCAAGAGCAATAATCGCCATGGCAGCCACATCCTAGTCCTGGTCCTGTATACATGAGAGGGTAAACCCTTTACAGGTACTGCTAAGGTGTAGAGTTAAGCCAACTAATCAATAGAGTGTTCAAACTATTAACTGGTTGCATCATCTTATTACCTTTTGAATGATGAATATTCAAGAAGGATGCTCCATAATATCAGTGTATCATCAGCGGTTGATTTAACTCTGTTAGAGGCTTTTGAATCAAGTATTGGCCATGGCCTTTAAGTAAATATGTCCGCCAGTATGAGAGGTCAACTGCATATTGCATACATGATGAGGTTGTTTTGCTGAATCATTGTAATCCTTTTACTATTCAGGTCATTTAAAGGCATACACAACACACTCTGAAACAGTAGGTGGCTGTCTTTTCTTAAAACTCCTGTGAGAGGTTTTTAGCGGGTTATGAAACAGAGTGAAATTAACAGTGATGCCTCTTTATGACCTACAAGACCATTAGCAACAAGACTGACAATTTCTTTAATGTGATTTTTAAACCCTGAGACCACACACGCGTCAGGCAAGCTTAGCAAAGAAAAAAGCTGTTTCATTGTGTCTGCAGGGGCCAGAACATTGCACTATTGCACTACTACCTGCTTGTAATTTTCGTAACATTTGATGTTTAATGTTTGTACATAAAGGGCTAAATTTACCATGTATGTGTTTGCATACCTGGCCAATGAAGCTGACTCTGATTCAGAACTTAAACTGAAATAGAGTTACTGAAAGGAGCTTATAAGTTAAGAAGGTATCCTAATGTATGTTTCTAAAAACATGGTATTGCATGTGTGTCTCTACTTCGAATCATGACAATAAGACAATCACATTTAGTTTGTTTAACATGGACCAAGAGACACTGGATGATGTTTGCATTTAAGTGCAAAAATATTAATAAATCTGTATCGACAATCAGCCCAAATAAGTCGTGAGATGTTGGCCTAGCAGATGTCAGAATGTATTTCTCAGAGAAGCCATAAAATATTAATAGTATGAGTTTTCTGGCTAGAGGTTAAAAAAGACTAAATAAGTCTATCAATTGTTTTAAGGTTACAGCTTTCAGCTACTGACTTCATTAAGCTGAGACTTCTCATACATTTACCTGTCACATTACCAACATTTTCTTAATGATTAAGACTTCAAATCCAAATTGCTTCAACAGGGTAAAGAGTCATGTTTATAATGAGGTTTTCTCTCCTGGCGCTTTTTGTGAGTAACCCTTTTGTAATCACGCTCTTCCAGTGTGGCTAATGTGCACACGGACGCTGTGTGAAATGATTTAGAACATCTGTATGACAGCTCATGCTAAAATGTGTCAGCATCATGTGGGTTTTGACCTTGGACCTTGAGAGCGCTGAATAACAAAAGCTGCTCTGTACCCGCTCAGAAGTGGCAAGTGTTCCAGATAAAGGTGGCACATTATGTTCCCTATTTCCAATTCAGAGGGGAGTATTTTCTGCTGGTAGACCCAGCCTCTTTGACCAAATCTAATTTGCCGGGCTGAGGGACAGAGGCTGGAGGTTAATCTAATCTACATGGATACACTTGTCCTGGTACTGGAAGAGGTTTTCCTATAACTAATGTACTGGTGACTGGCAGCTGATAATGAAGATGATGCATCCAGTGATAACCTCTAAACTGTGGGAGACTTCTCCTTGACAATGGGATGTTTACAGCAATATCAATCCTGTTATTGAACATCTAATCCAGTCTATTCCTCTAGCATAAAGGCAGGATATCTATCATGAAGCCTAGAAGCTGGAAGTAAACCTAAACTCATCAAGAGTCAAGACATGAAGATGTAGGAGCAGGAAAATAGTGCATGCATGGCTGGAAAAGCAGATAAGCAGGATTTCCTCAGTGGGATAGTTAAGAATGAACAACAGCAATATTCTGAATTTAGACTTCTTTGTTTAGAGTGTTTAAGATTTGATTGCTTTTTTTTTTTTTTTTTGCATTTCTTGGGAAATTGGATATTACTTGTACAAACACTGTCACAAGATCACATACTGTTGTCTGGTGGGCCATTTTTTCAAGAGTTAAGATTATATCATTGCAGCATTTTGCACTGGTAATGCATCTTTGCAGACAAACAGACCATGACCTTTAAGACCCCTGTCACAGGCAACATCAGCTACTCCTGCAGGGCCTTTGATCAAGTCAGTTAACCCCCAAGTGCTCCACTGTAACAGTTTTACTCACACAGAGACACACTAACCCCCCCCCACACACACACGAGTCAAACCCACTAGCACAGAGAATGAGCAAGTACTGAAGACTACATGACCTGTTCTTAATGTAGATGTGATGACAACCCTCAAAGTGAAACACAAATCTCTGAATCATCAGAAATAACACAGGAGCCTGAAAAGCATCAGACCTGACACTAATGCAGAGTGAGTGCTGAGCTGGGCTGGGCTCAGCGACTGCACGGTACAAGTGGGAACTGAACAAAGAGAGATGAGGCCTGCAAGGATTCAATTCACTGCAGGAGGGGATCAAACTTGGCGTGAAGGAATATCATCGCCCTGCAGCACCAACATCTGACAAAATCAGTGCAAACTTTAGCGAAAGCCATAAAGAATCCTGTTTCACATGCATCTAAAATGGTCTACTGTTGTTTGTAATTACCTAAAATGTCATTCAATCTAACAACATAATGATTCATATCCTTCTAGTAATGTGTAGAAAGGTGGAGATGAAAAATTAATGACAAACCTCTGGGCAGATTTGCAGCGAGGCATCAGGCATACTCAGTCTGCGTACAAATCCACTTCCACTGGTGAAGAAGCGGTCAGCACCACTGCCCCAGGTGCCACTGATGGGACGTCCTGTGTTGTAGAACATGAACGTATCACTACCAGAGGTGGCGGTCAGACAGGTCTTGTAGCAGTAAGTCTTTGTGAGGGATCCATTCCCACGCACTTCGATGTAGTGAGGCTCAACTTTAAGGTCTCTACGAAGCACCACATTGTTATTAGGTTGTGCTCCGGCAGCTGCAGCAGCCCCACCAGCACTTACACTGCTGCTCCCACCATCTGGAGGGGGCTTCTGTGACCCACAGCAAGGGGAGCATGACCCAGGCTGGGTGCAGTAGGCGTGACACCGAACGATGGCCAACACCACCACAGTGACGAGGAACACGAAGGTGGTGGCGCTCAAAGCGACAATCAGGTAGAGAGTCACGTTGGAGAACAGCAGGGTGCTGTGGGGTTTCATGATCTTCCTGGTGTCAGGAACAGCTTTAGGTGGAACTTCCATGACGGCTACGTTGATGGTGGCGGTGGAGGAAAGGGCAGGCTGCCCGTGGTCCTTCACCAGAACAGTCAGAGTGAAGGAGGTGGAGTTGTCCTCCATGATCCTTCTAGTGGTCCTGATCTCACCGGTGTGTTCATGTACCTTGAACAAGTCCAGGTCAGTGGCTGTCTCCAGCACATAAACCAGCCAGGCATTTGGACCTGCGTCTGCATCATAGGCTACAACTTTGGTCACCAAGGCACCAGGCTCTGTGTTCTTTTGAACTGTTTCCAAGGAGCGTGTACCATTGCCGGGAGGGTTGACTATTAATGGTGCGTGATCGTTCTGATCCATGATGTAGATGTAGACGGTGGCAACTCGGCTGAGTGGGGGAATGCCCCCATCTTGAGCTTTGACCTGGAAGTGAAACTCTCTCAGTGATTCATAGTCAAAGGCTCGCAGGGCGTAAGCCTCGCCTGTATCGGCCTTCACAGACACATACGAGGTGACAGGGATGCCATGGTTGTTGTCATTGAGCACTGTGTAGGTGATGCGCGCATTTTCTTTAATGTCTGCATCCTGCGCTTTCACAGTACACAAAGAGGCCCCAGGGGCATTGTTCTCTGTCACATATACAGTGTAGGAAGTCTGCTCAAACCTGGGTGGGTTGTCATTCACATCGGCCACATCTACCTGTATGGTCTTCTGGGAGGAAAGGGGAGGGTTCCCACCATCTGTGGCACTCAGAGTGACATTGTAGGCATCGGTGGTCTCTCGGTCCAGAAAGGCAGAGGTAACCAGAGTGTAGTAATTTCTGAATGATTTGATCTTGAAAGGAAGGCCTGCTGGGATCTCCAAGCTCACCTGCTTGTTAGCGCCGGAGTCTCGATCAGTAACACTAATGAGGGCCACAACTGTGTCTGCACGGGCGTCCTCCCTCACAGGGCTCGACAGAGATGACAGCACTATCTGAGGGACATTGTCATTCACATCCACTACCTCCACCACCACCTTGCAGTGTGCTGCCATCGCCCCAGGGCCCTTATCCATCGCTTGGATGTACATCTCATAGGAGTTAGTCTCTTCATAATCAACATTGCTCCTCACTCTTATCTCTCCAGTGTTTGTGTCCATGCTGAACATCTGCCTCACTCTCTCTGGAGTGTAGCTGCTGAAAGAGTAATAAATCTCTCCATTGGTGCCCTCATCCAGATCAGTGGCATTCAGTTTAATTACCAGAGTGTCTTTGGGCGAGTTCTCTAACAGTTTCACCTTGTACACTGAGCTGTCAAACGTGGGGATATTGTCATTTGTGTCCAGGACCCGGACATTGATTGTAGCCGTGCCTGTTTTCTCTGGTGTCCCACCATCCACAGCACTTAGAATTAACTGGTGGTAAGGCGTCTGTTCTCGATCAATGGGCTTCTTGAGCACGAGCTCGATGTGCTTTGTATTGAGGGAGGGTTTGTTGGACACCAGAGCGAAATGGTCGTTGGTGCTCAGCTGATACATGCGCACAGAATTGGACCCAATGTCTGGATCTTCTGCATTTTCAATGGGGTAACGAGACCCTGGTAAAGCAGATTCTGTGATTTCCAGTTGGTACTCATCTCTGGGGAACTGCGGCGCATTATCATTGGCGTCCACAATCTCCACCTCGACATGGTGTACCTCAGAGGGGTTTTCAACCATCACCTCCAGATTAATGAGGCAGGTGTTTGATAGATCACACAATGCCTCCCTGTCAATCCTCTCATTGACAAGTAATTTCCCATTTTTGGGGTTGACAATCACATAGCGTTTGCCGCTGTTAGAGGTTACCTTAATTTTTCGGGTGGCGAGCTTTCGAATATCCAGCCCCAAGTCATGCGCCAAATCACCGACCAGTGCCCCATTTTCCAGTTCTTCTGTGATAGAATATCGTAACTGTCCAAACGAAAGGCCACAAAACAAGGAAAATATCACAAAATAAAAAGGCACATTATTCCCTATCCAGTTGCATATCCCCGCCACAGCCATTGCAAGCTCATAGGATCCGCAGACGGATTAAACGCAGCCTTCCGCCTTTTTAGCTTGCAGTATCTTGCATCCCAGCACCTCATTAAGGTGGGCTAATTGGTCTTCTGGTAATGAAACAGTAGCGGCTCATCCATTGTGTTACCCGGCTGAGGTGAATCCTCTCCAGCGCACCCATATTTCCTTTGTCCGTGATGCGCTTTTTGTCTCCAGTGCGCGCTGCTGACGGGTGTGTTTCCCTGCCGCTGGAGCTGTGAGATCTGTAAAGACAGGGGAATTTTCAACAAATTAAACCGGAAAAGTGTGTGTTTCCTTCAAAATAATTTAGCAGAAAGCGTCACCTCCTTTCCCTCAGCTAATTCAGTTTGCTTACTTATGCCGAGAAACTCAAGACACGTCAAAATGCATGTTGGCACCGTTAAATACTGAAATAGAGAGTTTTTCTAGAGTGTTTATTGAATTTCTCATTGTCCTTTCACATAACTTGCAAGTTTATATAAGTTATTAACAGGATCAACGAGTTATTGGCGCTCCAGTGCAAATCGTTTCCATTTAATTTTGTTTTAAAGTGCATGATACCTTGTATATTTGCAGAGTATTTCATTAAAAGCTTAAAGTAGAATGAATACGCATCAACCAAGCTTTTATTTTGAAAGTACATACGGAAATGGGGCAATGAAATGACGCTGACTTGACTGTATGAGGACAGTATCCCACCCTAGCGCGCTCTCAGACTCCTGCTCTCTCCTCTTCACTGTGGCGCAGCTCCCCTCCTCCTTCTCCCCCCACCCTTTTCTCTCCTCTCATCCCTTCATGGCGATGTCGGTGTCGGGGTCTGAAGCTAATAGACGACCAACACATGAATGCACCCCCTCCATATGACCATAAATATACATGTAGTGTAGTCCACTACACCACTCATTCATTAAAAAAATCACAATTACGGTGCAGCACGTGGCTGGAAAACATCTTTGTTAAAATCAGTGAAATGGAAAATGTAGCCCAAATACGTGGATGAACCATTGAATTCACCGGTGTTGAATTTATCCAGACTCATGCTGCTCCTGAAGGCAAGGTCACAACCAATCTGCAAATAGTCAGCATCACATCTCCTCCTTTTAAATGAGAGACACAAGCTGGAAACAATCGCAGCCACACACACACGCAGAGAGACACATGTTTGGGGACATGCTCATGTTTGTCTCTTTGTCTGGACTGGAATCGTAAGGATGGGTAATTCGCCGGTAGCGATTCTGTGGCGCAGCCCACCGCATGGCGAGCATTTGGGCAAAGCGCAGCAGAATGAAAGCATTGCACTGACAATCACAAGCTTCCCTCCACATGGATCACTGTCAGTGGTAGACCCCGGACTGTCAGGTCACATAATCGTATTTAAGATGCCCGTGGTGGACCCCACAAAGCAGGAGTCTCATGTTCTCTCTAAAGGCTATAGCAGCCCATATCTCCCGAGGAGAGGCATGATATAGGGTTATATATGGGCACGGAGACAAGAAAGATGACAGCCTGCTAAAATCGACTTATGAATTTGAAAACAAATAATGAGACTGGACGTGGTGCAGAGCTGAAGTGTTTGTCTTTGTCTGAGAACAATCCAGCCTGTTTCTCTGATTGCAAAATTCACATTAATTGTAAATAAATGCAACAGTTACCCCCTCCCTGACAGATTTTTGATGAATTTCTAGGAACTAGCTCCCCAACCCTTCATTTGAGGGACAACATGTTAAAATTGTGGATACATAAGCACTTCACCACAGTGGTATGGGGTTTGCATATCCTCCCAGGTGGAAGATTTAGATTGTCCACAGGTGTTAATGTGTTACATGGAAAAATAACCCAGGGGTTTAAAGATGGGAGGGGGGAAATTGTGTGAAGCTTTCAGGTTTGTGCAAAAAAAGGGTATTTTGAATCCTCAGGGCCTTAAATGCAAACATCTGGTGACAAAATGCACAAGATTTTGCAGCCATGGACAACACCAATACAACACCTCTCAGATATTTTAACTGTTATTATAGCTCTTAGAGAGGCGTTGATTGCCACTTTTGTAACATTTTGTCGCAATATGATGCGACAAGAGAATAAAATTCATAAATTAACATGCTTTTATCACTTTACCATTGAGTCAATTGGAAATTTGTGTTTGACCTACTTTCTCTTAACGCATTATGCATCCCCCCATATGATTTAGGATGATTCACCTGTTTCATTGTTGTAGGCATTTCATCAAATTCCAGCCGTTCCCCCCAATTGCGTGTGGTTGATGACAAAGGTACGCAGGATTTACTGTGTTTTGGTAACACAGCTGCTTCAGTGACCTATTTCACAGACTGTTTCTTTATGCAGAGGTGAGCCAGGTGCCCTCAGTGAGAGCTGATAGAGCACATCTGTTGAAGTTAAGTGCTTCCTGCCCACATGGGATTGTGTTGCTGCTTGCTGTTTCTGTTTTATTGATTGGTACTTTTTTTGGTCAGTGCCGAGCTTGAAGAGAACTCGTTTTGGCATTATTAGGAAGTTTAAGTACATCATTCTAACACTCTATATACTTGTCCTCCCTTTCTTGCCTTGTTTTTGGTGAAATCTCACTGTTCTTTTACTACAAGGTTGGGTTAGGTTGTCGCTGCAGCCAAATTATGTGACCAGATGACATACAAAAAAAAATGCATGCTCATCCTCACACATACGCCACATCATACATTTAATTTACATTATTAATTCACACACAACCTCACATCAATCTTGCAAACCTCTTTTGTTTGTATTTGATCATCTGAACCACTGTACAACCTTTTTCATTTTTACTCTTTTACCAAATCTATCATGTTTTAGAGCTTCTTGACTGAAATATTCCAAATTTGGGCCTTTCAGTCTTTTTCTAGGTGATTGAAGATGGGGCCACACCCTCATGTGAATATATCTTTCAAACCAGTAGCTCTATAAGCTCCATGATGTAGTCAAACATGCAAGAGGGAAACCAAGGTGAAAAATGACCAGTGACAGAAACATATTGATTTAGAAAAACTCTATGTGGCAATGAGTGAGAGTGTTAGCTTGTTTCTTTCTTGTTGATATTTAGTAATTGCCCTGAACCAGAATGATACATGTACTCACCATGTTTTTTTCTGAAATGGTTGTTTCCTACGAATTAAAACAGCATCAAATAGTTTTCTTACAAGAATAATCATAAGAATATTTTTTTCTTGAAACCTGATTTTTGCTAACCTTACATGGACAGAAAAAAAGCAATGTGAAACAAAGACATAGGACCCTCTTCAAAAGCTCTCAGTCAGTGTCACCTGTATGCAGAGCCGGCCGCCCAGGCCTCAATGGGGCCCTAAGCAGAATTTGTTTTTGGGGCCCTCTATTTCTGCCTATAATATTGATTGTTGATCATTCACACACCTTCACAAATCTCTTTGATTAACATTCCCTGACATGCAAACATACCTTTATCTTGGCGTTTTTTTTCTCTTCTTCCTCTTTTTCTCTGCTCCTGAAGGATATGTCAGGCACATAACGGTAACGGAGCTTTGACATATTGGCAGTAAGAATCATAGGTCTGCATCAGCAACAGCACTAAAATGTTTTTACTTTATTTTATTTTTACAATAATATATATTTGATCATACAGAAAGCATCACTCATACATGCAAAAAATATAATTGTTTTTCTTTTTTCTTTTTGATTGCTTTTGGGGCCCCTTATTAGCTGCGGAGCCCTAAACAGGCACTCAGATCGCTTATGCCTTGGGCCGGCTCCGCCTGTGTGGTTTTCTAGTGTCCAGAGAGGTGGCGAGGGGTGTCGCTGACCCCTTGAAATCTGATTGGCTGCCTCCGGAGTGTCCAGAAGTTCTATATCATGATTAGCCAATGGTCATATAAGAGGAGGGATTAATGCTAACAACCAACCATTTGGGCTGTGCAAGTGGCACTTTTTTTGTTAGTGCATGAAATTACAACTTTAGACGAACATCCCCCTCTTGTGCGTATAATAGAATAAATCAAGAACATTTATGTGTCTATGTCAGTGCCCCCACTGCACTCACACACACTCTCCTTTATGAACAGAGTAAGGTTTCAATCACTGCACAAGAGCTCAAAAATAGCAACACCAACAGTTAAACTATACTATTTTCTCCTCTGTGTTTTTATGGAGTACAGGTTTTATAGTACAGATAAAAGCAGGTCAAACTTAAAAACACTGACTGGCATGCCATAGAGAATCAAACAATTGTGTATATGAAAGAGTCCAATGCTGTTATTTTAGTTGATTGATAAGTCTACCTCATAGGCAAATGACACCATCATTAATCTCTGTCTTAAGTGTCAAATAGTGCAAAGAGTTTCAGAAAATATCCTTATGTTAATCTGTTAAACTTGAATTTTAAAGGGAGCATATTGAAGAAGCAAGTGAGTCATAATAAGGAGACTAAAGAGGAATTGCTAGGTCAGTAGTCATGGCTCCCTTGTGTGAGATTTGGGGTAGAGTCCAAAGATAACAACATTATAATCAGGCAGTGAAGGAATTAGAGGCCTTGTGTTCATGTACCAAAAAAGAAACTGGAGAGACACCACGGAATATTTAACAGGCACTGCTTTTAGTTCAGCAAAGAGGAATATTGGCTGTAAACTACATCTTTGTTTCAGCAACAAAACAACTATGAATAAAATCATCTGTAGCAAAAATCACACTGTGCCCAGCCAGGCTGCACTATTTTTGGCCAAAGCTGAGGGAGTCTAGGAAATCCGTCCAAAACAGACAAGCAAAGTCGGTCACAACATCTGGCAGGGCAAGGCTGTTCTGATAGCCTTGAGCAGATAGATCCCTGCCTGAATGCATCTTATGGAGAAGAGCAGTGAGGGTTTCTTTGAGGAGTCTTTACTGGGTCAACTGGACCACAGGAACATGTTACTATAAATTAGTTTTATTCCAGGGTTTCCCAAGTGGATACCAAATTCAAACAACTGTATATTATACAGAAATTGAGAAAAATCTGTGAAATCAAAATGTTGAAAATCAAAAGGGCTTACATACTGTATGTATACATTTTAATGCACTACTCAATCATCTTTCATCTCTCTCTCAAAGCTAATTTGGCAATTATGTACCCTTCACATAGACTGACCAAATCATGTCAGCAGTGTCATTTAGGCTCCTAAACTGAAGAAGTATGATCTCAAATGTTATAGTTTATATTAAGTATTTCTTTGCTGCACTGTTCTGTAACATGCCTGGGTTTGTTAGTCACCACTTGCTCTGAAAAATAGATACACAGTGTGAAAAACGCACCAAGAATTTTACTGGCTGGTAGTGTAATTTGATCATTATTCCAAGTTGCCATGACTTTGCAAATGTGCAAATAATGCGATCTCTGCACACATTCACAGTCTGATCAGCAACAACATCAGTGGAATAGGAATCACTACAAACATATGGACCTCTGACATTCGTCCAGTGAGCATGCTTAATTTGACAGTTTAGTGGCTGGATTATGGCTTGAAATGGAAAAAGACATTATTACATGCACAGCAGTGCTTCAGTTCACAGCAAAGAAAACACTGTGCTTTGTTTCCGTGTATGAACAATAAGGATTACATTTGGAATGGTAAGGTATGCGATATCAACCCACTGAGTAATAGACAGCAATTAGACATCTATTTTTTTTAAAACCTAATTTCAACCGTCTAGATTCTGTTATTTTTAGACAGAATTTAGACATTGCATTAATGTATGTTAACCCATTATTTGATAACTATTTATTTCAAAAAGCAACTGTGAGTTGCACAACTGATCTCCAAGTACTTAACCAAAGTAATTATCATAGTCGTTGAGCAATATACTGTTTAGTATAGATATAGACTTCAATTTCAATTTTAGACTTGTGGTAGCCTGATTTTAGACCAGTCGTCTAGGCTACATTTAGACTTCTATCAGACCTCTTTTAGACCAAAAAATGCTCAGTGGGAACATATGAATACTGTACATATATGCCTTTACTCTCTTAATCCAAGCCTCCCTTACCCTTAGCTGTGTGTAAACAACAAATTTCAAAATATAACATAATGCATCAGTAGCCTTTTCATATCATACATCCCAGTTTGCCAACAATTTTTGTCATCTGAAGTTTAGTTTAGTTTAACCATAACACTGCAGACTGTTGCATTTAATACTAGCTGTATTTCTGAACACAAGAACATACATCCAGCGTGACACAGTGCCAGTAAAATTTACTTCCTACTAACTAAACATAATGCATAGTCCAATGGCAGTAAGTGGCAGATCTTGTGTTGTATATAATTCATCCCTTCAAATGACCCTTAATATTATATTTCACCTCCACATTGACTGTATCAGAGAGATCGCACAATAAGTGTGACATTCAAGGTATTGGTACAGACATAAATGTGCACCCACACTCACTCTATACACACTGCTGATTGTTCACCTGCTCAGCTATAGGAACCATTTTAGGTTTGTTTCATAAGACTCAGAAAACAGTGTTTCCATAGCAACAGGAATTTGATGACTGTTTCAGTGCCAGCTGTGTTAACATTATGCATTTGATGTACTGTCCCCACACATAGCTGTTTATCAACATGTCACCACAAAGCGAATGCTGAAAAAAAATCTGTTATACATGCCTAAAAGACAGAGATTTATATTTATTTGTGCAAATACACCTTTTTTTTAAGTTAGGGTTATACTTAGCAGGATGAAGTAGTGGCTGCAAAAACAGCTGCAATGTCCTCAAGCAAGTGTCTGTCTGTCCATCTGTCCATCATGTGCGATACCCATTGTCAGAAGAGTCAAACTCCCTAGAGTGCCTTTTGCAGAATTAATCTTTACACTGATCCACTTTTCTTTACATTTTCTTTCAACAGTCACCGGCATTGTGCTGCATGTAACTTGCATGCATTCATCTGAAACAAACCCAGAATGGCCAGCATTAACTAGCACAGCAGTGACCCCATGGCAAGGGCAGCCACACATAGAACAACCTGCCACAGGCGCCACTCAAGATAGAGTCGGAATCTCCATGCACTTAACTCCATCGTACAACTTCTACATCAGCCTGGCCCCCAGATCAGACTTGAAAAGTCCCTGGTTCCCCTGTGAATGTGAGTCCTGTTTCTTATTCATGTTCACACTTCTGTATATAAATATTACAATAATCACGACATGAATTCTCTCTAATCTGCAGCAGCGTTTGCCTCATCAAAACAAGATCGTACAGGCGTTAAATAAAAGCAACAAGACAGACGTTGTCTGTGGAGATAAAGAGTGTAAAAACTCAGAGTTTGCAGATGCTGTAATAGATTTGTTTTCCTGTCTGGTCCAGTGTGTGTCTCGAGATCAGAGCGACAACCTGTTCATTTCCATTTCTGCTGAGATGCAAAAACTGTTTTATCACTCTACACTCGGTCTGTGGCAGCTTAGACACGAGATAAGAACAAATGACGCATCAATCCTGCCTCTGATTCTGCTCCAGTGACACATTACTTCACTCTTAGCTTCAGACCCTTTTGCTCTATCCTTCCAGCTGTGAGGAAAACCCTGGCTCTAGGTGTTAGGACTCCACTTGACCCCATTGTGCATCTTCTCCAGCCAGGGTGTCCTCTCTGCTCATCTGACTCACTCGTGCAAGTGGGTCACGCACCCTCAGCTTGTCTCATACTATGACTTAGATTGTTGCAGTTGTATTTGCAAGATAGTTTAAAGGAGTAAAGCAAAAATCACAATGGTAGGAGTGGGGATAAAATGATTCAACAGCATGGAGACATCGTGATTAGGTTGGCGTCCGCATGAGAGTAGTGATTTGAGCAACTGTGGCATCACTTATTGGTACAACTTTGCAGCGCAGATTTCTACATCTTTGTTGTCGCTACATTGTTTTTGTTACCAAACTAGATAAGAAATAGCAAAAGTGAACACAGATTCAACCACTGAGCTTGAAAAAATGTCATTAATTTGCTTTTAACCGCAAATCAATTGCAGTTCAATGATACAGTAAAGCCTTATAAAAGCAGAGTATTAGTTTGTTTGCTCAAAAACCACATAACAATTATGTGCATAACAGCTATGTATATGGTGTGTACTGATAATAATTATGTCCAAATCCTTTCTCACACATAGGGTAACTGCTACATAATCCCACTTTTTTGTGCTCTTCTCACTCTCCCTCGCAAAATTATCTTCCCACTCCAGATGGCAGCTCTCTGACTGATCTGACCTGTTGTTAATTGCTTTAAATTTTCTTTTCCTCTTAATGTGAATATGGGTTTGGTAGTGCAGTTCTTACCGGTATGTGGCTAAGAGTAGTTTCTTTGCAGTTTTAATAGTTTTATATGTGTGTGTGCGCGTGTGAGTGCATCCAGTTCAGCTGGACTGCCAGACTCTTATAGCTTTCAGTGATTCATGGCAGCTGTCAAATTACTACAAAAACTCTGGGTTGTGACATTCTCTGTTTATGTTGCTGCAAACAAGACTGAGCCAAATGTTTCTGCTGTTGTGACTGTAACAATGACTCACTGCTAAGTCTCACATCCTCCAAACCTCCAGCACAGACAGAGGGCACCAGAGAGCACGTCCTCCTGATGTCCCACTGCATGCTACATTTTAAAATGACTGCTGCTTTCCACAGTCTTAAGCCAGGGACTGGTACCTCCAAGTTCTTTAGGGACTTAGACGACACTAGGACCCTCAGTTTGAGACTAATGTCAGAAAACTCTGACCAAGCCCTGAAACTGACTTTCATGCTGAGAAAATCTAGACAGGATTGAGCAAATCCACATAATCTGGTTAAAATATGCTTAAGCCGCTTTCCGCCATCTCTGAAAATCTCCATTTTTAATATTCTAATCCAGTGCTCAATAGTGAAACAGACAGTGCTCAATAGGGAAACCCATTTGCAGGATCAATAGACCACTGCCTACTTGTCCAGCTCTGTGCAAACAAAGGCAGTTCTGTGATTGAGAAGGAGGAGGATCAGAAGGTGATTCATGATGAAGTGAAAAGATCAGAAATGAAAGCACTGCAGCTCTGCACAAAGAAATCCTGATGATGGATAATGGGCTGCTTAATTGCATACATTTTCAAACCATCAGTCATAACCTGATAAAGCTTTTACTTCTACTTAACAGTGGAGAGGGGAGAGAAGTTTTCTACACCCTTGTTTTTGTATAAGTGCATCATGGAAACACTCAAAGGCTACAAACACTTAACACAAAAAGGCTGGTGGTCAGTGAACTTCTTAAACCTCCCCTTTGTGATATACTGCATATTGAAATATTAACAAAGCAAAGCCTTTTTTATTGATTTGCTGACCTGGTTCCCCTCAGGGTCACATCAGGGTCAGCTCTCGCTTTACATACAATAAGACCTCTGACAGGTCGCCAGCTCATCACAAGGCAAATGTGGGAATATTTTAGCACAGCATAGAAAAACCTCACATTTATCATTAAACTGAACTACCTTTTTTTGTTACTCTATTCGTGTTTTCTAAATCGCTTAAGAAATCAGAGATGTGGGTGGCCACACACAGCTGCCCTACATACTATTCTTACCTAAGATACGCAGCAGATAAATAACTGGAATAATAAGATTTTGTTTGAAAGCATCTCGCAGGGACCCTGCATAGTGACCTGTTGTACAAAAAAAGAAAAAGAAAAATCACTTTTATTCCCCAGGAAACAAAAAGAGAGTTGTTCTTGGCAGCCTAGTGTGTGACAGCTGTGTTATACAACCATTTCAGCACCCTGGACAGCACCAGCAGTGAAAATACAGACCTGTGGGGAGGATGTTTGATGGAAGTATTACAGGGATACTCAAGACACATGAAAGTAGCCACAGGTGCCCCGCTTATTTCCTCGACCTACTTCCAGTCCTCTTAAAGCGCAAGTAGCCAGAGGACCACCAGGTCTTTAAATATAACATTAACTTTGTTTCTAAGTGCTGCTGAGATGAACATTACTGTTGGTTCACCTATTTGACCTGCCATGTCACTATTTTTAATCTTCATTGTAATTCATCCCACTTTAGCTGAATTATCTTTTATTTTGTTTACCTATGTATTTTTTAACATGATTTATAATTTGACCTAAATTGCAGGGAGATTGGAAAATTAGCTCATTTAGAGAGTGTGTGTAAGAAGTGTAAATGTCAACGTTTGTTGTTTTGAGTTCTTTGATTGGAGCTGAAAAAAAGTTGAATCATTTAACAGTCAGTGGGGGTTCAGAGTAGAGGAACAAGCCCAGCAAAAAAGGCTAAAAAGGAAGTAAAAATGGCGTCACCAGTGTGTATCTTTTTCCTTGAGTTTTATCACAAGTCTTTACCTGGAAATTTGTCGAATAATAATAATAATAATAAAGGCCCACTGAAGGAATATGAAACTCCAGTAGCACCTAAAGAGCAGTTAGAGCAAATGAAGATTCAATGAGCGTTTGAGAATTCTAGAGAGTTTAGTGAAGATAATCCCAAAGCTATCCCATCAGCGACATTTACTGAAGGTATATGGACTTCTGACATTAGTCCAGCAGTAAAGACGCTTAGTTTGATAGCCAGGTGGCTGGATGATGGCTTAGACATGAAAGAGGCAGTGGTGAGCAAGGGTCGGAACACTCCCATGTTTTTTGTGTGTGAATGAAAGTGATTCCAGTCAGACCAGCTAAGTATCATATCCTCAAGTGTGCACAAACAGCTCATTTTCAAATGCTGATATTCGGCTGGGGCGATATACATTTCTTCAGATTCCTTACCACTACGATTTTTTTTTATGCTGTTTCAATTTAAATTGCGATACTACGATATTGTTGATTTTATCGATTTTTAGTCTGTGTTTTAAACACCAGTGAAACAGTTGAATGATAATGATCGTCTACTGACTATTCCAGGAACCATATTTCCCCAAAAAATAAACATCACATGTTAGTCAGCTTTTAAGATTTATTCCTAAATTTGAAAAAAAAAAAAGATTTTTGAACATAAAAAAATCGATTTAAAAATTGTAAAACAAAAAAATTGCGATACTTTTCGATTCGATATTTTTCTCCCACCCCTAGCTGGTATTATGGTGGCGATGTCATCTATTATCATATCAGCTCAAAAAGTGCATACTTTGCATTTCTAATTTTTGTTCAAGTAGAAAATTAAATCTAAATACATGGATGTGTGAAAACACACCTGTCTATTCAGTAGTATCAATAATGAATGGACCCATTTCAAACAGAGTCACTACTGAGTAATCTCTGTGCCACTGTTTATAATGAGAAACGTTTCACATTATATTAATTCGTGCAGCCCCCACACATCAGCTTCTTCTAGGACAACAGACTGAGGAGCCTGTGTGGTCACAGCAAAGAGCAGACCGTATAAAGTGTCTCTGGGCTTTTACTAATCCTGAAAAAGCTATTATTTGTCATCTTCTGTGATTTGAACTGCGAGCACATCTCCCCTATTTAGTTTTCAATTTCCAAGAATTAGCACAGAGCGTTAAAGTGAGAAACTGGGTCAAAATGTGTGTGTGCAGGGAGAAAGAGCGACCCGGAGAGAGGGAGTGTGCGTGTCGCTTTCCAAAAGTCACTTCTGATAACTTTTGTTTCATTTTTCATCACAGACACAACACAAACACAGATTAAAAAGCTTTATTCAAACTAGTATGATCAGGCAGAACATTGAAGCCAAATAAGCAACATCAAAATCCGACAATTAACTAGACTTTAAAAAAAATAGCAAGACCATTCTCTCCCATACTGTCTTTGATCCACTAAGTGGGATGAAACTGGATTACGGTTTTGATGCAACTCTGGAGGCATACTGTACAATCTGACTGGCAAATGAGCTGAGGAAAAAACTGAGCCGTGTACACAAATGAGAGAAAACACACTTTTTACGATGCTGAGCACAAGCACCTCCTGTGCCATCTGATCACAGTGAATACAGATGATATCAAAAAAGTCTACGGTATAAAAAACACAAAGTATAAAGCAGTTTGATTTACAGTAAAAGCATCGAATGGTTCTTCTGCTCTGAGACCAAAAGGCTGAGCTCCTAATAACAACTCTTTAGCAATTCAAGGTGTTTAAACATTGGGGTAACTGTAATTTGTAATACTGTGTCACATGCCTTTACTTCATTCATAAACAGTCGCAAACATCTTTTACAATGCAGAAGGCACGCAAGGAGCTCATTATATGTGCAATTTTTATAAATTCTTTGTTGGAATTGGTGGGTTCAGACGTTGATTGCACACAAAGTGACATCTTCAGTCTAACCAACAGACTGTGTTTATGTCGTGTCACCCGGCAACAGCAAGAGAGGATACGAGAGGTTTGATTTCCCTGACTCAGATTATGTAGCTCGATACAAGTAGAAATATTCTCTCTGGCTGCAATACTGAGCGGGCGCAGCGCTCGTGTTTAGATCCAGTGCATATTTTTCAAAGTGCTATCATCGGCGTAATACTCGCTAAGCACTGTCTATGTATTTCTTTTATACTGCAAAGTCAGCACCAAAATACCAAAACTATAATTAACACCATGTTCTCCTTCTCACTGTCCAAACTCCGTACCTCACCCAATTACATTTGATCATTTAGCACCCTAGTGAGCAGTCCTAATAAGCTCCTTGTTTCAGAGAAAATTAAAAGTCCTGGGCTTCACAGCAGCACTTCAGTGCTACCTCTGAGGTCATGAAAAGTACTCTGTTTCTATTTTTGACTTATGTACACTATCAAAACAACATCATACACACCAAACTACAAATATGCAACACAAAATGCCCTTAGAGAAGCTCACAGAAGCAGCATAAGAAGTTAATACAGAAGATATCTATAAAAACATGAAGTTTCATAAAACACCACCTTGCCTGGGCCTTATATTTCCTTATACCGTGGCAAAGATAAATTCATTTTAATAGTCTTATTCTTTTCAATAAACAGAATATTTATCATTACAAAATATTTTTAAAATTTCCATTTTAAGTGTTTTTTTTTTCTTAACTGATTAACAAGATTTGCACTGAGTGCGTTGATCAAATAAGAATCGATGGTAAAACGTCAGTCAGGATTAGCTTGTAAAGTTAATAGCTTATAAATATAACAAGATATTCTTGTTGCAAATTAAGAGAAACTTAAATTTGTACCTGATTTTGAAAAATATCTTCATTAAGTTTCAATGATTTACTCGAAGCCCACGCTAGACCTGCTCCAATCGGTGATGTGCGCTTGCCTCTGAATAAAGATTTGATCTAGAAACACACCTCCCCCCTGTAAGAGGAGACAGGCTGAAAAAAGCTGATGGACTACATTTTCAACATGATCATGTTCCAGATAATTTCATATTGCTGTGTAATTTGTGCCTCCCCAATGCAGCCAGAAAGCTGCCTGCCCATTCAGATGCTTTGTAAGAGCACAGATGTCTAAAAGATAAAACCTGATATAAGCCAAGGTGTCAAAAGTCTTTTTGCTTTTCTGACTTCTTAATCGTTGTTATCGAACTACAGTATCTACAATCAACTAAAAAGAGGAACAATGTATCTCCTGTTTTTTTTGTTTTACGCTTTTCTTTCATTCTTTTTTTTATGTTTTTCACACATTCATCACCGCTGAGTACAACAAACATTATAAAAAAAGAGAATATTAAATCAGATCATTGGTTTTTTCATCAGCGAGTAACAGTAGAGAGTAAAAATTATTATTCCAAGAGGAAAAAAACACCAAGTGCAAAGCCTGAATCGGTGACAGAACCAGCTACAGCTCAGTATTTATCAGAGTTATGGAAGAATCTTATTCACCCTGATTCATGTGACAATTTTTCAATAGGCGTGTCTTGAACTTTTGCTTAAGAAACATTGCATGACTTACTTATCTTGAGCTACTGATGATTTCTAGAACTACAGCACACCGTGTAAACCCTGGAGAAAAGGCAGATTTGTCCTTTAAGATGATTCAAAGCATTAAAGAGAGGATCATTTAATACATGAGGCAACTCTAGAGGAATGTCCAAATATCCTGCCATAAATGATTTGTTATTCTATGTCCAAATATGATGTAGAATCATGCAGATTCATGCTTTAAAGAGAAAAGAAGGCAGAAAGCTGAGGTGATTCCTGGTCGATGTTTGTACGGAGGATGAAAGGAGCAGGGGAACTGAGGGAGGAGAGTCGTTTTACATCTTCTTTTGTGAGTCACAGGGAAAAACACTTCATCCAGAGACTCCCATGAAGAGATGATTATATCATGGCAGTTCTCTTCTTGGTCCCTGCAGGGGGGCAGAATATGGAATTAGCCGAAACAGAAGGGCGACCTGGATATAGAAAGTCCTCACTCATGCAACAGTGGATCGTGACTGGTTACTGCCACCATGTCATTGGGTTTCAGGGACACTTAGAGGAGCATTTTTTGTATTTTTGTCAAATAAAAGTTGTCAGCAGTTCTGAATTTTCACCAAATCATTCACAGAAACTAGAGAAACACAGCTAACGCAAAATATAACAGAGGTTTTAACTCAAATAGGGAAGCATCAAGGGTAGTTAAAGCATGCACAAGCAGGCATCACAGAGGGCTATTTGGTATTTGGTGGGCCGATATTAAAAAAGAAGAGGTTCTATGTATTATTTCAGGACAAATTTCAACATGCCCAAACAGAGTTCATGTGCAAGGATGTGGAGATAGTTGACTCAGTCTCTGCTCTCAGGTATGTTACACGCTGAGAACCGATTTGGGACAATTCATTCCCTAATCCTCTTTTTCCGGTCTGTGCCATCACTCTGCCCTGAATCACCGCCAAGCCGGCCAGATGTGCACAACACAAGCTTGACCGACAGCCAATTTTTATTCTAATCTCAGCTCTCAGGAAGCTGATAGGTTTTCTCACTTGAAAGACTGGCCAATTTATATTTGAGCGCTCACAACAGCATTGCACCGGAAAACAAGAGTATTGTATTTGTGAGGCTGACCCAGGACGAATGGAAAATATTTGATTGTGCTCTATTTAATCAGGAGAAGACCAATAGAAAACCCCAACACTGAAACTGTGACAGTTATCAAAGCAGTAGTTTTGAGCCAAACCAATAGTGTATACCAAATAGAAAAGGATAAAAATGTCTATAAATTATAGTGGCTCTACAGAATGTAGTTAGCAACCAGCATACCTCCAGTTGTAGAATGGACTTCCTTTCATTTTGAGTACTTAAGAACAGAAAAAAGAGACAAGTTCAGAGGTACGTGTGAAATTCAGACACACTTACAAACACATCATAGGCAGATCTTTCTCTTCATGCACCTGTGCATCAATGCATACTCGTGTTTAATCTTTCAGGGGATCACTTGTTTCAGTTTAGTCTGCAGGTCCAGATGCACAAAAGCAAACAACATCTGGATCACTTTCAGCCGTTCTGCATTGATTACAGTCTGCTTAGTGCCGACCCCCAGCATGATGTATCACACTCAGCACAGCCATATATCTCTTGTCCTTGAAGAGAACCCCCTCCTCTACTCCCCTCCCCTCCCCTCTCCTCCTCCCCCCATGTCTGCGCCTCTTTGAAGTATCCCCCCCTTCTTCTTACGCCCACTAGTTATGCTCTGATTGTGCGTTATGCATCTGCAATAAATGACCTACATACGACATAAGATATGAAATACTGGCACATTTCCAGTTTGGGGGTATTTGTTTGGCCTAATTATGCAATAGAAGTGCAGGAAGTTCACTCAAGTAATACACCAATGATGAATTTCATCATTACCATGTCATGATGCATCAATCTGTGGAAGTATGATAGGATGGATCTTAAAAAGGGGACAAATGCAAAAATCACAGCTAGCTTACTTTTAAATTTGCAAGTTTTTAAGGTTTTTTTCTTTTGTACAGATCAACCAGAGAAGAATTTAAAATGTGCACACTGAGGTATCTGAACTGACCCTGAAGGTCAACAAAACAAACATTTCATAAGTGCAAAAACATTTCACTGGATGGCAAAACATTTGACCAGATGCAAAAAAATTTAACCAGCCCAAAAAAGGTTTTTACAAGTTTTTAAAATATTACATGACACCCTGAGTTGTTGGGCTGATTTTTTTCTCAGAGAATATTCATAAATTTTGCAAAATTTTTTTGCATTCTGTTAAATATTTTTAATTTTCATGCATGGATGGAATTTATTTGTGTGTTTTAATGATTTTTTTCATGTTTGATAAAATATTTTTGAGTGCAGTGTGATGTGTTTTGCTGTTTAGTCATAGTTTTTGAGGTTGTGAAATATTTTAAAAGTTGACCTTCGGGGCTACTGTAAGTATCTGCTGAAGACCTACAACTACACCACCCTTGAGCGACTCTTATTCTAATATACCTATAAGATGTGTATATCTGAAAAACAGGAGAGAATTTTAAGGGCTTCAGACTCAACTTAAAGAAATTAGTCTTTTGCATTTTTGACATACTCGGATTTCAGAGCACTATAGACATAATACAACAAAGATTTATAAACCTTCGAGGGGGGGTTTCCTCATAACATGAAAGGACCTTTTGATCGTAACATTAGCCCCTGAAAACACTCTGTCTTATCCCTTAACAGCTCCCCCCCCCCCCCCAAAAAAAAAAAAAAAAAAAAAAATGTGTTGTCTTTCGTCACTCTTATCAGCAGCTACCACCTCATACATACGTACCTCCAGCGTAGATGCTCTGGAGTCTGTGGTCTCACTTGGCCCTATGCTCCTGGGTATACTGGACACAAAGTACCCAGCTCCTTTGGGGATGATAGGCTGTCTCACCACCACCTTGCCCTTCCTGGTCTCTGCGAGGAACAAACTGTACCAGTAGGCATCGCTGGAGATCAAGGTGGAATCTGCGATGGTGGAGCTCCTCTGGCTGATCATGCTGTTTCTGCTGATGACGCTGTTCCTGTTGGCTGGAGGGATCTTGATGGCCTTTGGTTTTGGTTTCTGACACTTCAGCACGATGATCACCAGGATGGTTATCAGCAGAAGAAACGACACAGCCCCCAAACCGATCACCAGGTACAGGTTGAGGTCTGTGAAGTAGTCATACTCAATGGGCAACTCTGTGGTTTCTGAGAAGGATAAGACATGCTCTACTGTTGATATCTTGATGGTGACGGTGGCCGAGAGAGAGGGTTGACCGTTGTCTTTGGCCACAATCACCAGCCGCTGTACTCTTGGGTCTCTGTAGCTGAACATCCTGGTTGTCCGTATTTCTCCGTTGTACTGATCCAAGCTGAAGAGGGTGGAATCGGTGATCTGTAGGAGCTGATACGTGACTCTAGAGTTCTGCTCTGAATCTGCATCAATCGCGATCACTTTGGCGACCAGGTGCCCCTTATCCGTCGACCTGGGTATCACCTCTTCCACAACAGAGCCCTGCGCTCGCCAAGGGGACACGATGAGGGGAGTGTTGTCATTTTGGTCCAGAATAATGATGTGAACTGTCACATTGCTGCTCAGGGGGGGAACTCCAGAGTCTCTCGCCTCGATGTGGAAGAGGAACTCCCTCTCTCTCTCATAGTCGAAGGTCTTCAGGGCATAGAGGTCGCCGTTCTCAGGGTTGATGGAGAACAGCATTGACATGGATGTGTTAACAATTTCTTTCTCCATGATGAAGTAAACCAAGTACTGGTTCTCATTGAGATCTGGGTCATGTGCACTCAGAGATGTCAGTAATGCCCCTGGTAGATTATTCTCAACCACATGGATAGTATAGAAGGACTGGGGGAACATCGGTGCATTATCATTGATGTCTAGGATCTCCAAGGAGATGGTTTCGTTTTCGGATAAGGGTGGCGAGCCTTTGTCTGTCACCCTTAAAGTGATGTCATACTTGCTGATTAACTCCCTGTCCAGTGGCTTTGACACCAGCAGCTCAAAGTAACCCTCTGATGATTTATTTAGGAGGAAAGGTAAAGATTTCTCTTGATTCAAAATGAGCTCGACCTCCCCGTTCCCTCCAGAGTCCCTATCTCTGACACTGATCACTGCAATCAGCGTTCCTACAGCGACATCCTCCCTCAGGGAACTTTTCACAGACTTGATGGTTACTTCTGGGTAGTTATCATTCAGATCTGTGATATTCACCAAGACTTTACAGTGTCCAGAAAGTGGGTTCGCCCCTCTATCTTGAGCCTGGATGTGCATCTCAAAACTCTGACTCTCTTCATAATCAATCACCCCCTTCACCTTGATCTCTCCTGAGTTTGGATCAAGAGAGAAGAGCTCCTGAGTCTTCTCTGAGGTGTACAGAGTGTATGAATACACTAACTGGGCGTTTGTGCCCTCATCTAAGTCTGTTGCGTTTAAGGTCATGACCACTGTCCCTGCTGCCGAGTTCTCTGAGACGTTCACTGCATAAACCGGCTGACTGAACAGGGGGGCGTTGTCATTGATATCCAACACATTAATAACGATGCTGGCTGTGCCTGAGCGGGGAGGAACCCCTCCATCCACAGCGGTCAGAATCAAATTATGGACTGAATGCTCCTCCCGATCCAAATTACCGCTCAGCACTAAATCGACATATTTGGAGCCATCGCTTCCAGTTTGAATATCAATGTTAAAGTATTTGCTCTCACTCAGATAGTAGGTTTTGATTGAATTCGCCCCCACATCCGCATCCACCGCGTTTGTCAATGAAAACCTCTCACCGGGAGGGGTTGCCTCAGAAATGTCCAAATGCATTGTCTTCCTACGGAACAGAGGCGCGTTGTCGTTAATGTCCATGATTTCTAATTCGATATTAAAAATACGAATGGGGTTTTCTAGTATGACATCCATTTTCAGAAAGCACGAGGTGGTTTTAGTCATGCATATGCTCTCCCGGTCTATCTTCTCGCGGATTATCAGCTCCCCCGTTTCTTTGTTGATGTCAAGGTAATTTTTGCTGTGAATGACATCGAGTTTCGCGCTGCGCTGCACCAAACTGCGAACATCCAGACCCAGATCTGTGGCCAGATTGGCAACAAAGGAGCCCTCTTCCATCTCCTCCGGAATAGAGTAGCGAGTGATGGAAAGCGCGCATCCCCACAGTGCAATGAATGCAAGAACCGGCACGATCAACCGTGTCCGTAAACGTGCAACAAAGAGCTCCGTCATTGTGGTATTTTATCAATGTTGAAATGAAAAAGATCCTTCCTTACGCTCAGGTTGTCTTCGTGTAGGGAAGCGCCGCTGTCATTCTCGCCTCCACGAGTTGTAGCTGCAGCTGCAGTAGGCCATACACGGTACAGTACCGCTGGAGGAGCGGGGCTCACACACCACTGCTCTGCAGGGGCGTAGCCAGCTTCTGCGTAGGCTGGTTGGGTGGCCTTACTGACAGGGTGTACATGTGGAAAATCTCATGTAAGAATATCCAAAATGAAAGAAACACTTCAAATGAGTGATTTGTTCAGTTCCCTCTTTATTAAAGACACATAGAACATAAAGAGAGAAAGTTTGTAGATGATATATAAGATAAGATAAGATGTTCCTTTAAAGGTGGGGTAGGAAGGAATCCGTTAAAGAAGCATCTTATTTTGTGATGTATATACAAAAAAGCTTTTAATATCAGTCAATAGCTATTAGTTATTGATGACATTTGGTAATATAATGATATCGCTGTGTTTTGTTATGTCTGTGTAGTCAATATTTTAAAATTCCCTGCCTCACCAAACCTGATTGGTTGTGAGGCAGACGCTGCTCCCCGGTGTCGTTCAGGAACCCAAACAAAGTTAGCGTGCTACAATATCGGACAGTAGAAACCAACCAGAAAGTACAGAAAATTGTCTGAATCCTCCTTTAGCCACGACTGCCAACACAAGCAAGAAAACGAAGTAAATACCAGAGACTCTGGTGGGATAACGGGCGCTTAAAAAGGAGGTAGACCAGACAAGAGCTAAAAAGCCGGTTCAACATCAGCATAAACGATGGGGGATGCTTCGGGATCTTACGGACCCTGTAACCTTTCTACTTGACAGGTAAACCACTTTAACAAAGTAAGCCAAGTGTAACAGAAGAGTTTCTTGTAAAATGGGACCTGTTGCATGCTGTAATGCCGCTAAACTGTTTACCTCGGGTCCTGGACTATGTCACTTTATCCTAGTTGTAGAAGTCCTGCAAACTTGGTGTTTGCTGGTAGTCTGTTGGTATCTACAGTAACACCAATGCTTTTTACTTTCACGTTGACTACACGAAGTATTTATCTGCATTATATCTGAATTTAATTGGAACGTTACGAGTGAGCAGGAGCGGCTGTTTGTGGGTGGGGCTTGCTGGAGCAGAGAGGCAGGGGCGAGGAGAAGCTGAGGGGAAAACAGGTTGGGAGAGGTAGTGTTTACATTTAATATTTCTCCAAAAAACTGGCACTTCCTCAGATCCTGCCTACTCTACCTTTAATAGTCCCACTGGGGGAAATTCCAAACTTCCAGCAGCATAGTATGGATACAGAAAGAGACAAATTATAAGCTAAAGAAACTTTGAGTTAAAAAAAGATATGTACATGAGTCATATTTACGTACAGGATTTACATAACACTATGATTAATTTTATAAAGTTAGTTGTGTATAAATATTGCATTTTTCAAATAAAAAAAAATATTAGGTGACTTATTAACTAATTTGCTCTGATCATTATAAGACAAAAAGTTATACAGAAATTTGAGTGTTGATGATTTGACTGACAAGAGGGCATATTGTAGCCTTCACTGTAGCCCTTCATTGCCTTTTGTATCATATTTGATACATACTTTTATATACTACTATGAAATCACTATAATAAAAAAATTCTAGAAAAACTCCTTAATACAGTCAGATAAATGATAAAAATGTCCTCTTGTGGTTTATCAGTTTCCAAAAACATCTAATGTAACAAACAAGATAATAAATATATTTGTTAAATTTCAAAAACATTTTAAATTTTTTGGTCTTCAGTAGTAAGTGAAATAAACATTTCAGCTCCAAAATATTTGAAATTTCTGGCCATAATTTGTGGTTTCAGGCATTAAAGGTTTAATTCTTAGCAGTTTTTAGCTTAGCAGAGTTTAAAGTCAACATTTCTTACAATGTCACCGCTACTTTCACACATCATAATTATTTTTCAATACCTGGAGAGACATTAGTCCATGATTTATATAGTCCACGGTACAGAGACACTAACATTAAATCATCATTTAAGTGAGGTTTAACTACTTTTAACACATCATTTACTACATTAAGTGATATAGACATACAGTATGTTAAAACTGAATGATAACAGCTCAAGACAGTCAGACACTGAGACTTTCCGCAGCAGAGAGGAGAGCAGAAAATGCTTGGATAAATATGACAACATGTTGGTGAATTATATGGCCATATCTGAGGTATATGGATATGATCAAAATCACACAGTCTGTACAGTTTGCATTGGTTTGCATAGATGCATTTATTGTACAAAATCAGGTAAAATAACCCAAAATAGAGTTAAAACTTGCACATTGGGTTTTAGCGTGAGATATTTGTTGCATCTTTTTTTAATTGATACAATATTATTTGAGGACATGTTACATAAATACAGCACTGCTTGTCTCAAATTTGTCAGGGGTTTTTCTGTAGGTATATGAGTAACACGTAACTTACAATACAAAATCATTTACCGGTGAGCTTTCATTCATCACACCCCTCATTCTCCATCTGTAAAGAGGAAGTTTACCCACAAAACAGCTTTCATAGTAATTAGTAACTGGTTGTTGTGAGTAAATAAGTCCAAAACCTTGTTTGATGCTAAATGATACTTCAGGCAGTACAAAAGTCTGTTTTTTCTGTTTTTAAATGGTTTTAGTTCTTCCAAAATTCTTGTAACAATAAAGCAAAATATTGAATGACAACTTCAGAGGATACAATACAAAAATGTCAGGAAATGGGAGATAGAAAAAAAAGACATGGATTTTTTTGAGGCTAAGTTTTCATATCTTTCTCTTCTTCTGGCAATAATTTGATGAAAGACTATAACTTTGTCACTCCAAAAGACTCTTATTTTATTCCAAATGAAGACATCCCAGAATGCTTTGCAACAAGTTATTGTTTGTTGTAGGGTCTCCAAAATAACACTTTTTTTTTAATCTATAAAACAGGAGAAATGTATAACAGATGAGTTTTTGTTGACGATTGGATCCTTATAGTCTAAGCAGGACCTCAACATGAAGCTGTGGGGCCGTGTATACCCTGAAGGGGTTCCTTCAACCTCCACTGATAACAATCAGCCCATTGTACATTATCCTGCTTATTACACCGCAACTTACTGAATCAATCAACAATTTCCCTCCAAATATTGATTTAGAAGGATTTATTGATTGAAATTTAAAGCCGCTGCCATGGTAATACTCGACTCTGCCGCCCTCTTGAAATGAGCAGACTTTGATGTTCTTACTCATAGTAGAAAAAAACAACATTAATAGATTTTTAAATTGTATGGTAGATTTAAAATGCTGTTTTTATCATATCCACAAATGTAATATGGGCTATTATGTCATATTATACTTCATAGTGACCTACAGTGAAGCTCTGAGTGTAACAGTTAGTGTCCCCGCGGTGTAACACCTAAAGCAGCTTTGACTCCCTGTCTTTGTCTGTGCTGCCATATTTAATGTGATTGGTTTTCCAGACTGAGGGGATTGTAACTGATATGCGGGGTGGCGAGATGAAGATGGTCCTTTTCATTCCTGTCCTTCAGCCCCATCTAGTGACAATTAAAAATGTTACAGAAGGATCTGCACCTTTAACAACACACTGGTGCACCCACTTTATATTACATTAAACAAAGCTTTGTTGGGGAGTAGGCAAGGTCCCCAGTTCTCTGTTGTACCTTGTTATCATATTTTGACAGAAAGCAAAACATTTTTTATGAATATATAATATCCACAGTAATTTATAAATTAACATTTTGTAATGACAGGACCACTATCAAAACACATGAGCATGATTCAGCACCACAAGGTTCTGAAACAGCTTCTTTTTTTCAGCTTCACCTTGCTGTCTCTCATCACTTCTTCTTGACTGTTATGCTATCACTGCAGTAGAACATATAAATGTATCCTCTTTATGATAACAGTATATAGTTATTGAACATTGGTGTCAGCCAATATTGTGACAGCCATAAGTCCATCAATGACATTAGTGCCGTTAACTGACTGCAGTAACCAGTGTGTGTCTGCTGGGTTGAATTTCATACCTAACTGCTGATGAAGAGAGGAGGATTTTTATCAGGCAGAGGAAGTAACCTGGTTTGTTTTCATGGTCAGATTTGAAAGAAAATGCTGCCAGTGTGGGAGTATCTGAAAAGATCAGTGACATGCACTTTGAAAACATGTTTCAGTAACTCTTTGAGAAGAGACTAAGAAGGGACTAGAGGGACTTCTTGGTACGTTTTAAAGATATCAAATTTAATGACACATTCAGAAAGCAGACAGAGAATTACTCAGACGTAGTACAAAAAACATCAAACTTGTTTTTCTGGTAAATCCTTGCATATGTAATGGATCAGCCTTGGTTTTCACAGTTGGTGCATCTTCAACATTAATATTATAACCACATTATATTCATGACAATATTCAACTTTAGTAAGTAATCAGAAAGCCATGACATTCTGCTATTGTTTATGTTTCGGCTTTGGACTTTAAATGCGGAGTAAAGTTTTGATATTCAGAGATTTTAATGGTTTTACAAAAAAATCTAAACTATTTCATTACACATGTTGAAATTGAAAATTCATATTGTTTTTGTATTTTAAAAAAGTATACTTCTTTTGATTTCAAGTCATTGTTTTTTTTTTTGTTTGTTTGTTTGTTTTAAGTTGAGACAGAAAAATAATGTAATGCTAAAAAAACACTGGAGAAACATCTCCCAACTATGTAGGTTAATCTGCAAAAGGTCAGAGATATGACTTGTTATAAAAAGGACATTCAAGAGGGGCAGAGTCTCTCAGAAAAAAAGAGATTTGCTACTCTATAAAAGACTGCACGAGAAATGCAGTTTCAGAGTAATACTGATGAGCATAAAATTTCAAAATGTTTTGGGATCTCATCATCTGCAGTACATAATATAGGCTATAGAAAAATATGTATAAAAGAGACCAAGACTGAAAAGCAAAGGTGGATGTCTATCATCTGCAGGGCCTCAGGCAGTGCTGCGTTTAAAACAGACATGACTCTGTGAAAGACAAAACTGCATGGGCTCAAAATCACTTCCAAAAACACTCTCTATGAATCCAGCTGGTTGCTGGGTCTGCAAAAGCAGGTTAAAACAGCACAAGAGGAAACTACATTTAAACATGACCTAGAAACACCCACGACTTCTCTGGGCCAGCATCAGTATAGGGTCAATTAGACGACTGTCCTGTGGTTCAACAACCAAAATCTTGTTTTTTGGGTTTTCATGGATGTTACATTAAGAGACCACGACAACAACAGCATGGCTCCTTGGTAGAAGAGTCCAGGTGCCAAACTGGCCTGCCTGCAGTTTCATCTTGTCACCCACTAGAAAATATTTGCATTAGTGAATGAAAAATATGACAAAGGCAGCTCTAAACTGTCGAGCAACTGAAATCATACATCAGGCAAGAATGGGACAGAAACTGGTCTCCTTGGTAACCAAACCTTTACAGTGTTGTTGAAAGGTCATGCAAAACAACGTCCCTGACACGCTTACTTTTGTGAAACATGTTGTTGGCACCAAATTTATGATGAGCACTTAAAAAGTTTTTTTTTTAAAGAGCTTTTGTGCTAAATGCAGTGTTAAACTATTTGCAAACCATCTTATTCAGCTGATTTGCCATTAACATCTTGTATTGTTTGAACTTATTTGAAATCAGAGTAAAAAATGGGGTCATCATCACCCATCTGCCTATAAATTCAGAGATGGAGGCGTCACAGCTAAAGTAGGTGCTACATTATGAAGCCTGATTTAACAGTATTTACAGCAGAAGACAAAGAGAGAGAGAGAGAAAGAAAGAGAGAGAGAGCGCCCTGATCATATGAGACATGACAAAAGAATTAGCGTTTACTACCTTGGGAGGGTTTGTCAAAGAGATAATGAATGTTTTTTTTATATCAGTCCACATAATTCAATGTATTTAAAATCTTAAAAATACATTGACATGTCTTTCCAGCAAAATCCTTTGTAATTAAATGCTTATATAAGATTAAGTGTTGTGTTTCAACCTTCAGACAGACAGGTTTAGTGTCCTCAGATGAGGTATCTGTGGAGGAAAGGCTCCCTCTAGTGGACAAATCAAGGAACATAACTCTGCTCAAACTGAGATGAAGAAGCCATAGGATTGTTGAGAGAGATAAGAAGAAAAAAGAAAAAAAAAACAGCCCACTATTGGAAAATGAGCAGATTTGAAATGGCACAGAAGACAGACATATGCTGAGTGTCTCTGTTTTTAGCTCGAGGGACTTATTATGACTGCTGAGCCTGGCTGGTTTTTAGTTCCGTTTGTGACACAGTCAAAGATAAATCTTGGCTTGATTATCTCTACTTATTGGCAGGATATGGCTGTGAGTCTATCTGGATTTGAATTTTAATGCCTGTCTCTTAATGACAGAAAAATATATTAATTTTTTCCTCAAAGGTTTCATCCCTCTGGCTCTGTCTTTAAAGACTTTAAAATACATCTGAAAGCTGCCCTCAGCACTCAGCTTTTTGAACATGGAGCAGTTCACTGAGGCAGTCAGGCTCTGGACCAAGATTAACTCCCCAGACAGCAATAGATCAGTCAAAGGTGGAGGATCTGAAGGATTATCCCCAGAGAAGTACCTGAAACCCTGACTTTACAGACCAGAATAGTTTAAGAGAAAGGGTTAAATAACGCTCAGAGCCATAAACCAAAACACCACAAACAGCAGCTCCTCCATCCAGAGGTGAACATCAAAGCGTGAGGATCCTCCTGTCTGCAACTTTTCTTATCATCGTACACCAACTTGGCATGATAATAGACATGATAGACTTCATTTGTTAATAGCTCTTTATGAGTATTTCTATGTGTATTTTTTCAGTGCAGAGATTGAAATACAATCTCATGGCATTGACAGAACATAACAAAACACTCATCTTTAGGCCACTCACTATGCATGGTGACTGTAAGTGTTAAACAACTTCACACTAACAGGTTTTCTTTTCTTTTTCAATTTAATGATTCATTTATTGGTTCATAGTGACACCGACGCCTTTATACTCCGCTTGCAATTACTTTCATGACTCTAATACTGTATAAATCAATAACATCACAGTCTCTCTGAGGAGTGTGTTTACATTTTAGAATAATGTTATTCTTTGATTTTCTGACTTTGTTTTTGTGTCGTATTTACAGTTACTTAGTATATTTACATTTTAGGTATATCTTAGTTTCATGTATTACTTTTTTTCTACACTATGTCTACATTTTAGGTTTAGTTTTACTCATTATGTTGCCTTTTTTAGTTATTTTATATCATCATCAATTATCATCCTATCCAGGAAGACATCCAGCAACCACTACAATGATGCAGCTTCTATGTGGGTGCTTTAACCCCTGTAAGGATGCCTAGCTCATGTTCACACTCTGAAGACTGGAATGATCATTTTGACAAGCTTTACTGGTTGCAGATCTGGGTTACAGCTTCATCATGCCACAAGTGTAACACAAGTGTAACAATGATTGTTCTGAGACTGTTCAAGTAGATATAGTCGTCCACGTTTCCAAACATTCCGCTTGCATCTTGTTGACCTAAAGGAGAGTCCATGTAGGGTAATAACAGAGCACAACGTATTTTGGGAGCCTGAGTGATGTTAAACATGGGTACAAGGTCCTTCTTGAGGATGGTTGTCGGAGGCCCATGGCTCCAGAAATGTAGCACCAAAGTATCTGAGGTATTTGAGTGACACAGCTCCACCACCCTAAAGGCTGACATGACTGGCTAAAGAAAATCACCCTAACAACCACTTTCAAACTACCACCTCTGTGCCTAATTTAAATGTCTCTATTTTACTGTTTCTTCGCTCTAGTTTTTAGGTGTGTGCCCAGAGTAGTAGCCAGGGGTGGCATGGGTCTCCCTTAAAACCAAATGGTCACCTTATCCCAAAATCCCATTAGGGGTTTAACAGTTCACCAACTAAATCAATTTGAAGTCCCACAGTCCACCTGTGCGTGGCACTCCTCTGTAACAGATATCCATTCATAATCTTCTTACAAAGCAAAACATCAATTGTATTGATACTGAGAAACTGTGTGCTGTTTTCAGCATGACTAATGTTGGCCATGTGGATGTATTTCTGCACTTTTAATGAGAAGGAAATCTATCTGTACATCTGGGTCATTCTCCCATTCTGGGCATGGACCAGCAGTGCTTAGTGGTGGACAGAGATTATCAAGTCCTGTGGTTTCAAGCCTAAAGTATGGACACATTTTGACCTTTGTGAAACAGCATAAATCATTAGCTGTTTGCACAGCATGCTTAGTGTTAGGCAGCCCTCCCATTACAACAGCAGAGCCAGCAGCCTTGTGAAAAGTCTCTGGAATCATGAGTGTTTTTACTCACACTCAGCAAAGGCTAAAGCTAGCATGGCATTTATCGCCAGATTTATCTTCAAAGATGTGCAACAATACTCTGTGGTTAAATATCCTAGTTTCTGTGAAATGATCCAAACCTTAAAGCCAATATACAGTACACCAAACTGTTCACACTTCTTAAAACAATGCAGGTATGCATTGAAGTGAAGAAGTGAAGATAGATGGAAAGCTGTCACTTGCAAGCTGAATAATTTGCCGCTCTGATGGATGGATGGACGTCATGTTCAACAGAGGAGTATTTGGCTATTACCTCTTATTGCACTGATCCAGCAAACCAAAGCTTTGAATATTGCACATGATACATGCACAGACTGGAAAATTAATGACAAAACCCCTCTCTAATAAAAATAGATAGTGCTAATAACCCCTAACCTTTAACAGCACTATTCAGTATATCCTGTTTTTTATTTAACACATGATAAAATGTTGACTAACAAGTACTAATGTATTGATTATTAGTCATTGGATCATATCACATTCTCTTGTTCTAAATGAACTAATGTGGTCCCTGTAGTATATTGCCAACCTCATATAATAGCAATTGTATTGTGATTGAAATGTATCATTATGCCCCCATTCACAGTGGATGGCGGTTTGCCTGACAGAAATGGGATTCATTCAAAGCCACCTTTTTGGGCTGTGTCGCAAAATTCTGCTAGTTGAAACATGTCTTTATGCATAAGAAATAATGTCTGAATGTTGATATCTTGTTCTATATATTCATTTTTAAAATAGATACGATCTACAAGAAAAAGAAAGGGTAGATAAATGTCCCCCATTCACAAACTTGATGCTGTTTCTGAGTAATTCAGTGCCCTGGCAGGGCCACCCCAGCCAGAAATTCTCAACATGCCCCTGCTAGTGTCAAAGTTTATTTATTGTGTATTGTATACTTATTTCATTTGAACTGAAAACATGCTGCTGACAGAACACAGTTTTATACAGTATGTTAAGCTCAGATATCCATCCGCCCATCCCCCTACTAAGTTGATCTGTCAGTTCATAAACATATCAACACACCAGTTCAGCATCAGCAAACTGACACATTACAACTATTGAGATGAGAACAGATTTCTTATCATCAGTACATACTGTACATAGAATTTATATATATGTTTATTTATATATATACAGTTTCATGATGGAGATACAAATCACATCCAATAATGACAACAGATCAGAGATTCATACAACATCTGAAACAGCAGTGACCTTAAAAACAGAGGGTTACTGCAGTGGCATTGTAGCTGTTATTGCCCTCATGTGTCAACATTTTAATGCGATGTGTCATTATTACGGTGTTTTACCCAATCCAAATTAAAACCATTACATCTGTGCTGCTGTTCCTTGTACCATAATCGTTCAGTGAACCCTGCTCTTTTAAATCTTGATCGTTACTCTTAACATTTTGAAGTCATATTTCTAAAATCATATGCACCTCTTCTAAAGTCCTTTTCCCTTTTCAATGAACATGTGCTGCTTGAAATGTTAAAATCACCTCCACTCATTGTTTGCATTGTATGTGCATTGTAATTGGACTGTTTTCACACTTAATGACCTGTTACTAAAATTCAACATGCATAATTAGATGACACTTCTCAACTCCATGAGCAACTACTGTGGTAGCTGCGTTGTGTTATCCTTCAGCATTTGTAAAAAAAAATAATGCCCACAATGATTAAGTCAATTTTTTTTTTCTTCAACACACATTGAATTTATAACAAAAATAAATGAGTACTCGAAGTTACAGTTAGATGGTCCACAGCTTTGACACACAATATTGCACCTAACTGTCCCTGTTAAGACAATAAAGTGCATGTACATACAGTATATTTGATTGGTACATGGACATTTCATGTATTATTAGTATGTTAAAATTAAGAAATAACTTTTTTTTTTTTAAGTAGAACATTCACTTTGATTTTACAGAGCACTGGTAACTTCAAAACAGAGCAAATCCTGAGCTCACAGGTGGCTGCAGAGTATGCAGCTTTGATACTGGACTTTTTGATAGCACTTTATTTGACGCCTATCTCTATAATGCATTATGAATATATGTATATTGCATTATAATCATATTATAGCACTGTATAACTATAGTTACAACACTCATAAATGACCATAATGCTTTATAGCAAAAATCATAACACATTATAAAGCATTTTATCATGACTTACAAGGTCAGATATTATAATGTGCTATAACTGTTAATAACTTACTGACAATGCCCACATAGATAATGCAGTGCAACAGCTATAGCACATTATAATACCTGACCTTGTAAGTCATGATAAAATGCTTTTTAATGTGTTATGATTATTGCTATAAAGCATTATGATCATTTATAAGTGTTTATAACTATAGTTATTCAGTGCTATAACGTGATTATAACGCATTATACATATATTTATAATGTGTTATAGAGATAGGCGTCAAAGTGTTACCGACTTTTTCATACTTATTTAAGTATTTACAAAAATATAAATATTTTCTGGTTAATGAATAACCTCACAAAAGAAGAAACAGTCTCGTAGCCTCCAAAAACAATACTCACACAGCAGAAGAAATGTAAAGTTTTAAAGTGAAACCATTTCATAGCATTTACATTACACAGAATACACAGGATGTTAAATCATTTGAAGATGTCGTTGCTTATGATACCATCATCCCTGTCAAAAGTTTGTTCATAGTGTGAGATGTATTTCTTTTTCTTTCCAAATGTAGAGAAAGTGTTGTAGACATCCAGCTCTCCTCTGGGAGCCAGCTTCAGGGTGCTGTAGTCAGACGGGGTGCCAGGTATATAGACATTGTGCTGGTAATCTGGAGGCTCAGAATGAGGCTGAGTGTACTTTGGAACCCATGAGTAGTTAGGAACTGCTCCCTCTTGAAGAGACATCTTGCAGTCTATAAAAATGTGCATAAATTAGTGTTTGTATCGGCAGATAATTCCTGCAAAGAGCTCATATTTACATACAGTATACTTGATCTGAATAAGGTGGCTTTAAAGGCATCTTCTTAAATTTTTCCAGCAAAAAAAGGCTAAACACTTCTTGCAGGGACTTAAGTAATCCTCGTGTTGATGTATTAAAATCCCCCTACAGTTTGTGGGCTGGGTATTATCTGCTTTCAGTTTACTGTTTTATAATTCAGGATAAATCCCCAGGCTCAGACAGAGGAGAGCCCCCGTGCCATCGCCCACTTTCAAGTATGTAATAAAGAGCCAAAATACAGAGTTACCACCTACCTTTCATGTGGTTCCCCCACGTCCAGTACTGTGGAGCTACAGGGCAGGAAAAGCCATCAGCGTCGTACTTTTGTTGACGAGACAGAGTACCCTCCATGTTTGCCGTACTATACCTGAAGAGACAGCACCGTAGAAGCATGGTTGAGTGATCGTGTTGTCATGTATGCATATTGTAATTGGTTAAACTGTGCGCTCACCTCTTGTAGGCTGAGTTGCGTTGGTTCTTGGTCAAGGTCCAATCCCTATTTGAGTATTTTAGCTGCACAGTTGAAACAGAAAAAAACTTAGTTATATCAGTTATCAGTTATATCTGAATAAAAATGTATATGTAAAGGCTATATCAGGTTCAAAAAGTTTTACGGTTAAAGGCAACTTGGTTGTTGATGGTTCAGATTCATGTCAAGAGTATCTAACAAAGTCAAATATAATTAAGAAAAGTTGGATAACAAAAAGAACTTTTTATTTATTTTACCCTCCAAGGAATAAACTGATATATAATTATCTAATTATATGCATTTTTCACATTGCCAGATGATAGAAAAGATGTTATCGTCTCATAAAGATGGAGCAAAATTAACTCTCCAAACCAGTTAGTAGCTAATCTGCTTATGTAGCTAATTTGAGGTTGGATATATGGAAGTACTGACACTGTTGACTACAGCAAGATCAAAAGACAGCTTCAAGTCTGTGATAAAAATATGCATCTCTTTTATCTCTGCAACACCTTTTATGCGGGTGTCATGCACCTTGACACACTGTGGTAATTTACCCAGACTGCAGGGTATGCTGTCATAACATGTGGGTTGTTGGAGGCTATATATTCTAATGGATTTCTTGCATAAATCCTTGCAGAGTAGGCATACATTTTATGCTATTTTTAACCCCTAGATAACATTCAAGGCTTTAAGTATAGCCTAGCTGTACTTATTTATAAAGACTGTTGACTTGATTATATTCCAAACATGGATATAGTCTAAGTGACTTCACTAAGTGGTTTCTGAGGAGGTTTTATACTGGGGGGTGTCCAGACAGGTGTCCAAAGGGTGACACCACAAAACCTGAAATTAATATTGTCCATTTGTCTCTTCACAAGTGGGACTTAGGTTGAAATGTAGAGTGGTTTTATAAAAAAAATGCACATCTATTTCACAAGACAAGTCTAAGAGAAAAACCAGTGCATTAAAAATGCCAAAGTAATCTTCTGCATCCTGCTGAACTATCAAATTAAATCTTGATTGAATTTATTTACTATATCTAAGTATGGAACCATGCAGTTAAATGTATGCTACAGGAAGTGTGCAGGAGTTTGCTTAAGACTGTGAACATGGACAAACACTCCCTGTCTTAAAACCATGCTCATGCTGCCCTTTTGATATGGAAAAAAAGTTTTGGAGAAAGAAAGGTCAAGGAAATGTCATTCATTGAAACAGATGTTCTGATTCCCTTATACAAATCAGTGCTTCAATTGAGCCACAAATATTTGGCTTTTGAAGACTACTAATGGGGCATGCCATATTGGGAATGCTGACTTTGACTCAGTCCAAGCACAAGCAATGAGGCAGACCTGAGTCAGGCCTTTACTCCATGCAAACAGCAACACTGTACCTACTTATCAGTCAATTTAGCTGCACCCCTAATTTATACAAAACCCTTAATACCCTTAAAATGTATGAGTGATGAAAAAAACACGTGTAAAAATAAAGAATTGAGCTATGCAGACCAAAATTAATTACTTTGCATCAGACTTTAAATGTGTTTGATTTTGCTCTAGAACTGAACATTTTTAGCATGGTGTCAATGGGGAATCCTTGGCTTTTGAAGCTGTCCTGAAGCGAACACTCGGGTGCAGTTTTGGATTAACAGAATTTTTCAGCACTAGAAGATGCGTCTTGTAATGAACTTACTTTCATTTAAACACTTTTGAACACAATTTAAAGTTCTTTTGAGGAACTTTTTGGTTTGACTTAGGTGCTCCTGTGGACAGTGGCAGTTTCATAACTGTCTTGACTTCGTACACAAGTAAGAAGTGTTTTTTAGATGAAGTGAAGTCAGATTAACATTTGTTGTGAATACTAGCTAGTAAAATTATTAAAAAGGACATTTCTTCAGTATGCTGTAGATAATCTGTGGTTACAAACCTTTAACAATACTTAGATTATCATTCCATTCGCTGGCATTTGTAGTTTTAAACCAGTGAAAACCTCCTCACAGGAGCTTTAATAAAAGTTAAGAGCGTCCTTTAGTGTGTCAGATTCATTGTAATTTGCCCCTGCAGTCAACCAGGCTGTCATGTCTGATTAATGTGAGACAGAGGGATGACTAGTGCTCTAGTTTTGGTATAAGTGGGAGACTTAAGTGATATGATGAGAGAAAGAACCCCCTAATATCTTTTTTATTTGGGAATATATGTTTGGGTATATTTCAGTGGGCCATATTACCTCATTTGGGGTCGTTGCTCTGTTGTTGGCCAGCTCATTCCGGTCCAGCGCGCTCCAGCCAGAGGTCAGATAATCTGTGCTCTTGGCATTATTCTGCTGTACTGACATCACCGGGCTGCAGGGTTTGAGGAACATGAAGTCACTTTTGGACGATTCCGGGGTCAGACACATTTTATAGCAGTAGACCTGCGGGACTGCACCATTGCTGGTTGCCTCTGCACAGACGGGCGCGCCTGCGGACATCCGGACGTTTAGATTCGACTTTTTGAACACTTCTGTTGTGGTGGATGCTTCTGAGCGCGTGCAGGAGCTACCACAGCAGCACGCGCCGATGGAGGGAAAGTTGGACTCTCTGTTGGACGGTCTGCCCTTCAGTCTGCGCACTGTAACAAGGACGATTATGGCCACCAGAAACGTGAAGGAGATTGCGCCCAGAGACACGATTAAGTAGAGGGTGAAGTTGGAGCTGTGATGCGGGCTTAGTGACAGGTCACCCAGATCGGGCTGTAGATCTGGCAGGCTGTCAACCACTGACAGGATGATGGAAACTGTGGCCGAGAGGGGCGGCTGACCATTGTCCTTCACGAGAATGACCAGTCTATGCCTCGTGGGGTCTTTCTCCACCAACTGGCGGATTGTCCTGATTTCCCCCGTGTACAGGGCCACGCTGAACAAGCTCGGATCAGTTGCTTGGAGCATCTGATAAAAGAGACGCGAGTTCTGACCCGCGTCTGCGTCCACTGCGCTGATTTTGGTGACAAGGTGACCGGCATCTGCAGATCGGGGCAATGCTTCGATTGGTGCCGTGCCATTTTTCGTGACTGGTGACACGATGATAGGTGCATTATCGTTCTGATCCAGAATGAAGATATTCACTGTAACATTGCTGATCAGAGGTGGAAAACCGGCGTCTTGCGCCTGAACTGTGATCTGAAAGTTTTTAAGTTGCTCATGGTCAAACGACCGCAGTGCGTAAATGTTCCCATTATCCGAGTTGATGGACACGTATGTAGACATGGCCATACCTTGAATGTCCGCGTCCATTATAGAGTAAGAGAGGTACGCGTTTTGTCCAGAATCTGGATCCTGCGCAGTCACAGAGCAGATGGATGCACCCGGCGCGTTATTCTCAGTCAGATACACAGTATATGAGGGCTGCTTGAAACGAGGCGCGTTATCATTAACATCAGACACTTGGACTAGAATAGTTTTCCGCGTGAATAAAGGTGGGGAGCCCATATCCCTGGCAGTGAGGGTGATGTTATACTCGGCGACTGCCTCTCTGTCCAGAAAATCAGAAGTTACTAATGTGTAATAGTTCTTAAAAGATGAGTGGAGCTGAAATGGGACGTGATGGGGGATCTCACAGTCCACATTTCCATTCTCACCTGAGTCTTTGTCCATGACGCTGATGACAGCAATCACTGTCCCAGGGGGCGCGTCCTCCTGTACAGGTGTGGACACGGATGTGAGGATCACCTCTGGGAGGTTGTCATTTTTATCCAAAACATTTACGAGGACTTTACAGTGAACTGCCACGGCTGATGGGCCTTTGTCTTTAGCCTGGACATATATTTCATGCATCCTCGCTTTTTCATAATCTATCACGCCTTTTACTTTGATTTCCCCGGTGCGCGCGTCAACGGTGAAGAGCTGGCGCACTTTGAGGGGAGCGTGGCCGCTGAATGAGTAGGTTATGTCAGCATTGGGACCCTCATCTAGATCGGACGCATTAAGTTTTATGACAACTGTACCCTTTGGTGCGTTTTCGGCGAGTCTCACCCTGTAAAAAGACTGATCAAACACAGGTGCGTTGTCATTTGCATCCAAAACGGTGATATCAATTTGCGCAGTGCCGGATCTCTCCGGCGCGCCCCCATCCACCGCAGTTAGGACCATTTGATGCGCACTTTGCTGCTCCCTGTCCAGTGGGCTTTGCAGGACTAGCTCTGCAAATTTACTGCCATCACTGCGAGTCTGTATATCCAAGAGAAAATGCTCATTTACGCTCAGCAAATAGGTGCGCAACGAGTTGGAACCGACATCCAAATCCTGTGCGCTCTCAAGTGGGAAACGGGATCCTGGCACTGCCGACTCTGATATGTCCAGATTGAACTCAGTCCATGGAAAGCTGGGAGAGTTATCATTAACGTCCAAGATTTCCATCTCCACCCTGTAAAGCTCCAGAGGGTTTTCTATGACCACTTGCAGGTGAAAGGAACAGGACAAACTCTGCTCGCATAGTTCTTCACGGTCAATTCTTTCATTGACAAACAAAACTCCGTTTTCCAAATTCACCTCCACATACTGCTTCCTGGCGCCTGAGACTATCCGGAATCTGCGCGCTGAGAGCTTGTTCAGATCCAAGCCCAGGTCCTCTGCAATATTGCCAATAAAAGCTCCATGCTCCAACTCCTCAGGGATGGAGTACCGAATCTGTCCCCAGGCTGCATCCAAGACCCAAGTGAGCAACGCTAAACGGCACACGGCGTGCCATTTCCCAAACACTCTCTTCTCCGCGCCTGGTGTGTCCATCTGTGGGCTGAAGTAAAGCCGCATCTCACTCCCAAGTCTCAGTCTGAAGTGTGCTCATTCGAGAGGAAATGTGCAAAATACAGTCTGGTATAAACTTGACATTGGCGGGACTGGCACAGCGTCTGTCTGCCTGAGAGAAAGAGAGGAGAGAGAAAGGGATGCGCAAGGGCTACTCGCCTATCTCAGATTAGTGTGCGCTTTGTGTGTCTGTGTGTGCGTTTGTTTATTATTGGCCCTACTGTTCCAATAGGAGGGAAACGACATCTGCTCGGATAATCTTTCCTGCCTACTAGCCTGATCAAATTCATGTCACAGTCTCCAGGCTCTGACCGCGGGTCAAACACTTGATTCAATTTCTTATAAGACTGTTTCATCATTTTGAAGAGATACAGTTTAGCATAATCGGATCTAAACCAATCTTCCTGCAGCAAATTTACTGTGACTCACATAACTTGTTAAAAGTGACAGTTTTGGTTTCTTTAGCTGCATTAATTCTCGAAGGATTTTTTTAATTTTATTTTATTTTAAATGCAAAATTCTCATCACAGCACAGCACTGTAAAAGAAGTTGAAATTGTGGCTTCAGAGATTTTGGGTTTACTGATTAAATAAGAAACTTTTAAGGACACCATTGCTGCCACCCTGAACCCGAACGGCTAAATAATATAAATAACATCACTGTGAAGATACAATATTTTATTTTTTAGTTGTTTTGTCGAAAAAGGAAGAAAAGGAAGAAAGTAAGACCATCTTACAAGACTCTTCTTCATAAAAAAAGGCGTAAAAGCAATCTCTCAAAAGACTAAAGCGACTGTCATTTCTAAACAAATGAAAAATACACACCCTTTTTTTATAGCAGAAGTTAATACTTCTTCTATACAATGGCTCTAAGGAGTTTTTTTTTTCTTTTTTTGGGTTACTCAGTATTGGTTTGATGTCTGCAAGTTGAAAAATTGGGCTCAGGAAGCAGCTCATATTCCCAGTTGTCATTGCAGAACCCTGGCAGCAATTCCTCTTGTTTAAAACAGATTTTTTTTTCTTTCCCCAGCATATTTCAGCGCATTAATACTCAAACAGAGCAGTTGTATCTGTTTACTATCTACCTCAATGTATGCTCCACCCGATTGCTCTAAAAAACCCAGTTCCCCTGGTTAAAAACTGAAAACACAATCTGTCTGCAGGAATGAAGCTGCAGCAGATGGTGAGGTTTTCCACGGGCTCATGCTCTTTTTAATTAATGGAATGGAGATTAGAGGGCATTTTCCCTGGATCATTAGTGAACAGAGGAATTAAGACATTTTGTGAGGAATAATCCCAGGGCTATCCATGTGATGCACATGTGGTTTTCTCTCTGTGGTCATACTGACCTGCTTTTCACAGCCTAAGTGCATGGCATCACTTACTCATTGCAGAGACTAAGTAGCTGGGATAAGGGGACACAACCACCACATTTAGGGATCAAAAATACAAAAGAGATTATCTCTCATGTCCCTGTCTCCCTCGCACACACAATCTCTCCCACTCGTCCCTCTCTCCCTCCCTCTTGTTTCACTCAAGGGCAAAAGTAGAATATCAATCCCTTTGTCTTTAACTACTTTCCAGCTTTAAACTGTGGGATTAGAGTAGGTTAGCCTATATTCTGCAGCTTTTAACACTTAAGCGGTTTTAGTTGCATGGAAACTATGTTGTGCGTTCCGCCTAAATGGAAAAATGTCTCTCATGTAACATGTTCTGAGTGCAACTAATTATTTCTGAATTCTACTTAACCTCCTGAGAAACATTACAGATGCTGTACACCACCTGGTATAAGAGCCAACAGCAAATTGACCGTGAGGACTTCTTACACGATGATTGACTGCTGTGGTTATGAGTGGAAATTCAACCATCTACGCTCCTGTTAGCTTTGACACACATTACAAATATAACAGCCGTGCAATGGGAATAAGGTGCTAAACAGAGACATGAAATAATGCAGGAACTGCTGCACACAACTGCATAGTTTTAGTGTGCTTAACAGAAAGGTTATAGCTATATCGTCCTATAGTGTGAGAATTTTATGCATAAATTCAAATGTTGGTCGGTCAGGAAGAAAGTGTGGGTGTGAGTTTATCGAGTGCACTCAACAGAACAAATAATATTACCAAAGTAGAGGATTCTGGCTCCAATTCCATCTGTAAACATAGTTTTTCATTAATAAATTAAGCAATTCAATAGTCTGCAAAAATCCATTTGGATATTGCTTCATGCGCATGGTTGATTGTGTTTATTATTAAAGACTTTGTTGCACCACGAAAAATGTTGTTCTCTCCTTCTCTCTGGGATCAGAAAATTAGATAGTGAAGAAATTAAAGGAGATGGAATCAAAGTCCCCTCTTTTCATTTGAGTGCGATTCAAATGGTTTGACAGTCAGTATTTTGATATTATCCTAGCAGTACTGTGCTCCCAGGTAACAACATGCATCTACCTCCAGTCCATGTACACTGAATAAGGAGCTTTTATAGATATGTAGGATTTACTCCTCTACTCGGGTCCTACAAATTCAGGGGCACAATAGCTTTCTTGAAATCATATTAAGGCAGGCTCAGTGAGGTTATTCTGAAACTCAACATGAATGTCAGAGAAAAGAGTGAAAGCTCTGAAAGCCTCTGAAATCATCAACACTAAATTCTTGCCCAGGCAACCCACAATCCCTGAAAAGTGAGAGGGCAGAGCCAGAAAAAGCTGTTTTTTTGCTCCTTTTTCCCACTTCATGTGTGCACAAGGCAATCACCACTTCACTGAACAGTGACATTATGACACCTTGTTGCCATGGCACCAAGTGTAAACAGCGGATCCATGCATGCAGGGAGCTGAAAGTGACTTGTTTAGATGTTTTTTTGGCACATGAGTCCCTCATTCAAATAAAAAGCGGCACCAAAACCACATTTTAATCGCTTAATGATGTCCTCTTTATGAAAAGGTGCATGAGCTGGAGTTAAGGGTTTTATTTGTTACCTTTCTCCACAACCTTGAAGGTTTTAGTAGAAAATGTTCCTTCAGCATAACACTTGTTTTGCCATTAAGCTGGTCTACTTAATCCATCAGCAAAACCTCCACAAAATCAACTGTTTATCATGTTAAACTTTCACATCTTTATGAGGCAGTTCATCATATTCAGTCCAAACGCTGGTTACTTCTGCAAAGATCCCATCGGATAAATGGCTGCAATGAGCACTATTTTGCAAATGAGGAAGAAAATGTCTCAGACTCGGAGATTACAGAGCAATTCAGGTCACCGCCGGATGCAGAGAGGCTAAACAATTACCCCACCAAGCAGATGTCTCCAAGCTACAACACAGCAACACCACGCATCAATAGAGAGACTGCTCAGTCTGCGTAACATGGACTTGTTCCCCAAGAGGATGCAGTGTTAGACAGCCAATTTGAGAGCCTTCTCCTCTGTTGCTATGATCATTAGTTTAGGAGAAGGAGAAGGAGAGGCAGACTGCAGGCAGGAGAGGAGTTTGACCTGCTCATTTGACCTATCATAAGGCTTGGTGTTTGCATTGTAAGGCTTTCAGCTCTCCTCAGTGTTGCAGTTTTAAGCAATAATCACAGATGTTTCTCCTTTGCTTGCTTATTCTGAAAGCGTTTTTTTCTTTTTTTTAATAATTGAAAAATCTTTTTATTTTTGTTTATGAACTTCTTACTTCATCATTAAAAACCTGAGATGAAAGCTTTAAAGACAATCACACAGAATTTAACTCAATAGCAAAGTCTGTGCTCAGAGGGAGAGCTCAGTCTATCTTACACTTGCAAGTAGCACAAACTGAAGTCATATGCAGTTCCAATTTTGTATGATATACTAAATTTTTTAGTATATTGTCTTGCCAGCTAAAACAGACCATCTGGACAGTACTCTGATGTGACAGTTGGGCCTTTAAATCAGAGCTGCTGATTCACAATCTTTTTGTAGCATATGCAACTTTTCTTCAGAGTCCTTGCAGCTTGCAGAGGCTGCAGGACACTCTCATTTGGATTCAGACATGACAGCACCAACAACTAATTAATGTTTACAACTTAAAAATAAATCATCTACATATTTTTTTTAAAAACAGATGCCGATTTAGTTTGATCAGTTATCAAAAACCCCAGAATAACTTCAAAATCTTAAAAACAAAGGAAAAAATCAATCTAACATGATTGAAAACCTGAAATGAACATTTTTTTTTTGACATGATGCTTGAAAAATAACATTATTGCCTCTTAAAACTGTAATTAGTTCCTGTCAGTTGACAAACAGTGTCTGCATTAAATTCACCACTTGTCTGGGAAGCCTTTGTTTTAAGGCTTTGCACACCCACAGCAAGCCCACTGCGGTGATTTAAGTGTTTTGGCTGATTAGACCATTTATCAGGACTGACTGCTCTTGTACAGACAGTCTTCATCCACACCCTACTCACTCTCCTGTTATTGTTGTTGTTGCACCTTTTGTGTGGGACAAGTTACACCTCTATCACACATGAGGTTGTGTGACATCGAGTTAATTACACCCACATTAAACGTGAGCAGAGGTCTGATCAGCCAGAGAAACCCCATGTGTTTGCGGACAAGAGCTGAAAGTTACAGAAGCAACAGACTATTTTCACCAATGTCATTTCTTTCCTTGTCTCAGCATGAAAATAAATATCATTTCAAAATATAAAATTAGCAGTATATAAATTCTATCAAGCTGCTGCATTAAGGGATCATTAGTTATGTTAAATGTCACTGTTATACTGTCATAGCTTACAGAGCCATCATTATAGTTATTAGTCACACCGGGGCTTTCTTCCACTCCTACAATTCAGTATATTCTCTGGCAGACAGCCTTTAATTCAATGTAACAGCATTACATTATACTGTACAAGAAAAGAATCTATGTTTGAGTTTGTAATCACCTGAACTAAATATTAAAAATTAAGATTGAAAGAGAGTCATTGCACAAAATTACAAATTGTATTATCAAAATCAAATGTATGGATTATCTCTTACACTTGGTGAAGCTACTGCTGTGTTTAATGTTGAGATAGCAATGCAGTTTATTTTGTTTGTGACTGTTGAGCTACAATAAACTACAAATTAAACTGATTGTAAAATTATGTTTGCAGGCTACGTTAAGTAGTAGAGTCACATTCCTCTTTATTTAAAGATTTATTTTGAAGCTTTTTGTCTCTATTTGGAGAAGACAGCACACTGGACAGTACAGAAAACAGGGTGAGAAACCAGGGAGTGACATGCAGGAAAGGAGCCACAGGCTGGAGGTGAACCTAGTCCAAATTGCTTGAGGCAGAGCCTTCGTATGTGGGGCACGCAGAGACCACCAGGCCAGCTGCTCTCAAGGCCTTGTTACATCTAAAGAGGGTTTAGCTACCATATTGGTGGCATACTTTTTTACTGTTTTTTTATTAGACAATATAAAACTATCTGTCCCTCTTTGGTTTTTCAATCAATCTTTATATAGTGCGAATTTACATCAAAGACTTGTACACAAAGAGCAGGTCTGGACCATACTCTCTGTTTTGTAAAGCCCACCCTCCAGGCTGGTTTAACCTCATCTTAATCCATCAAGAGTAGAGGACTTTGCAGTATTCAGTAAGCTACAGCAGCAAGGAAAAACTTCTTCTCAATAGGTAGAGTCCTTGAGCAGGACCAGGATTATTTAAGACAGTCATTTGCTGCAACTATGTTTCGATTGGACTTTACATCTACTGTTACAGCAAGTAATTAAAAGCAATAGATCCCTTTGACTAATTGCTCTAAAAATTTATAGCTGTTAAATTTACCACAAAATATTGTCGTTTTCTTCCGCTTCATCTGGGTCCGGGTCGCAGGGACAGCAGCTTCAGGAGGGAAGCCCAGACGGCCCTCACCCCAGCCACTTCCTCGCTCCCAGGCCAGGCGAGAGATATAATCCCTCCACTTGGTCCTGGGCCGGCCATAAGGTCTCCTCCCGGTGGGACATGTCTGGAACACCTCTAACAGGAGGCGTCCGGAAGGCATCCTAACCAGATGCCTGAGCCACCTCAGCTGACTCCTCTCGACATGGAGGAGCAGCGGTTCTATTCTGAGCGCCTCCCGAGCCACAAAATTTTGATAGAGGCTAAAAGTCTGTGCTAACATGGCACAGAGGTGTAGCAGTGGTAGGTTTTCGCCATGGCCACTTAGGACATCTGATTGGCCTCCCTAGTAGCCACCCTGAATCCTAAATAATAATTGGCTATTTTGAAAAAAAAAAAAAAAATTGAGGGCTACCCATATTAAAATGATTTTTTTGGTTTGTGATTCAATAGGCTCCTGGAAGTTTATTTGTGTTTCTGTGTGGAGCATTTTATTTTGTTGGTAAATAAAGACTTTGGCAAACAAAGCAAAATATAAATGAATTTAAAAAACTATATATATTTTTTTACTACATTTTTAAAAATTTTCTTTTGTATGTTAAAGAAAACTTGATTAGTGGAGATAACCCTCCAAAATCTTGGTAACCTTTCCAATACTTGCTGTGTCTGGCCACCCCTACAAGAGTCTGTGTCCCAGTTTGGCCACCTCAGTCAGAAAACTCTTGCTCCGCCCCTGCAAATCTTGACCCAACTTTACCCTGTAACTCATCACTGCTTCCTCTTGTAATTCTAACAATTTTGCTATCTACACCTCTTGTATGAATTTATGTGAAACTTTGCTGTAATCTTTGTATATTCATGACTTGTGAGCAATGCTGCAGGTGTCTCCAGACGGGATAGCTGCGCTCAGCATGCGTCTTTAACTGAAGCCACGCCTCTTTACGCAAATTTGTAGTCGTCGAGAGGCTACCTGCACGTGAGTGAACACTTAGCCTAGTTCAAACAAAATTAGCCTGAGTCGTAAATGGTCGCCAAATATGACAATTTCAAACCAGAAATTTGAAGTCAAGATGCAACTGTACCTGAGGACGATGTTAGGACGAGGACATGCGTCGAAAATCTCAAGGAAAATGTGCCAACTTGCTCGAATCAGGTGAGGATACACACCTGAGGCAGAGCAGTAGATTAAAATGTTTTAATCTACTGCTCTGACCTGAGGTTGACTCTCTCCACGCGTTTGTTTCTGCGTCTTCACCAAACTCATGTCAGTCAGCGAGGAAGTTTGACAAACCAGGCCAACTATCTTTTTAGTGAGGACAGAAACTGCCTGTAAACATTCTCTAAAGTCGTCACTGTCACCATGTTTCAGCAGCAGCAGCTGTTTCCATCTTTGATTTGTAACTCACTCAAAATGTCTCATTCATAATCTGCGTCATACTTTGTGAGAACATTGACCATCATTTCTCCACATTTGCAGTGAAATTGGACCACTCAAACATGGAAGATCAGTTTTACACTCCTGCCTGGAGACAGACCCTACCCTCAGGTGAACCCCAGACTGGAGGGATAATAAGATATTATCAGGAGACTTCCCACAATGACAGTGTGACTGTCACATATGATAATGGTGAGCAGCTCTTTACCTTTTGTACGTGCTTGTATTTCTGTCCTTCTGGCGGGCTTTATAGTGCTTGACATTGTGGCTGTCCGTGGTGTGAGATGTTGAACGCTGTGTTCAGTGTTAGTTCTTGATTCTTGTATTCTGCTGTAGTTTCATTGCCCTTCAAAGAGGAGCGGTCTCGTTATTCCTCCTTGTTCAACAGCCTTAAATATTGCATATAAATCTTGGTGAAACTTTTATCACTTACCCTTTGTGAATTTCATTCAGGCCCCACTTTAATAGATACGTCCAGGATAACCCATTGCAGCCTGGCTCAGCAGCCATCAAAATTATATACTTTACTAAAATAAAAAGTATTTAGGGTACCTTTAGTGATATAAATGAGGTTGGTCAAAATATAAAAAAGCACTTAACAGTAAAGAGAGATATGATTCAACAGCTCCATTAAGAAGATTCTGAAATGTCCACACAGTTAATGAAACCTCCCTAAAGTTTGACTGCACACTGAATATTATAACTTTAACTGTCATATTTATGGCAGAGCCAGTTTTATTAGACTTCATACACTTTACTTTGGTGTTTGTAATAAACCAAGAACTGAATGCAAATATTATACAAGCTCTGGCTCAGACAGTGGGAAGGGCGCCCCTTACTGTAAGTATTGAAAACTGGCTTTGAGTTTTGATGCTGATTGTTCATTTCTCAGGATCAGCAAAGTTAGCACATGATATTTTATTTACTTAATTATTACTTCTGTATTGATAAATGTACTTGCCTGGTTGCTGCTTCTCCTTGTATTCTCCATCAACTATAATCATGTCAGTTTGTGCACTCTTTGTATTGGATTATAATTTACTGGCAATTATCAATCAACCTCTTCTAGCTGAGTTTTGTTTCTTAAGTGTCATTATCTCTGCAGCATTATAGCTTTCAGGCTTCTGATTTAAGACTTTTCCACCTGGACTTGCCTCTTACTGCTGGTGCCTCATAGTTAATGAACGAGACCCTGACAGTCAACTTGGAGAATTGTCTGCTAGAACTGCTGACAGAAAGAAAGAAAGGCATACATATCTATTTATGAAACAAATCACATGCAGTACACTAATCAAGGAGTATGATAGTCATTATAAAGTACATTTAAACCCAGTGGATATTGATTATAGACTCTAACAAAAGAGATCTTGGATTGTTTTAAGGGTAGGCTATTCACACAAACAAAAATTAAAAAAACAAGTTATTTACATTTGAATTGATATGCTGTTGGTATCATAGAAGTTTTGGATAACAATAAAGCTCCAACAAGTAATGCTGCGTTCAAGTTACCTCGGAAGTCAGATTTCCGAGATGGTTATGACATCACACCCAAGTTACCACCGTTTCAGTCACCAAGTTGGAAAAAAGCAAAATCGGAGGTGGGAACAAGATACTGCAGAAGGACCGCATATTTATCCAGAAGTTGCTTATATTAGGACAAGGCAAACGCTAAAATAACTTTCGTAGATGTAGCCATCTCGTTTCCGCCTCCCAGTGCTGACATCTGACGTCCGAGGTACCTCGAACGCAGCATAATTCATAAACAAATTTATCAGTGAATATCAAAATAATCATCTGCTGTATTATGAATGTATTAAATAGTTAAATGTTAATGTAAAAGACATAAGAGGCAATGTAAAGATGTCTGTTTGGGTTTCTTTCAAACTCTTTTGACATTTAATAGACTAAAATGTGTCTATATTAATCCAAAACTACCGGTATGTCAGTAAACAAAAACAAGAAAAATACTCCTAACCTTTTGGTTACTTATATTGTTATTTATAAGGTATATCTTTGCAGTGTTAGGGTATTACACAGATACTCCAAGGGTCTAAAACTAATAGTTAATATGCATGTCTTACGACTCGTGAGACAAACGGATGAAAAAAAAAAAAGAGTAAAACATCCCTGCATTGTACTCCATGTTTGCCCATCTATCTTGAGCAGAGCCTCGGATAACTTATCTAAAATGATCTCCAAAACAATGTGTTTTGACCCCTGCTAACATCAATGTATCACTTAGCACAGGGGTGATAAGAGAAAAAACACCTGTGGGCTTTGAAGAAAATTACATTTCGTAAGATCAGATGCTCTTGCTGTGATAAAAATGCTGTATTCATATTCCGCAGAATAACAAGCTGATAAACCCTGTCGTAAAAACATTACAAGAGTAGTTCATGCTGAAGTTTGCAGGAAAGCTTGGCAATAAAAAATCACGCTAGGCTGTATACACACTGCATGTTTATTGCAAATCAAACAAGAGATAGTACATAAAAATGTAAAAAAAGAAAAAAAATGCTGCAATACACGTCAAAAATCACATCGAGAACTCTATTACAGGTTTTATTACTCTAATTACCCCCACACTGCTTGTGCTATATTTTAATCCATATATTCATTTAATAAAAAAGCAGAGGAGAATTCATTTGTTGTGCTTAATTAATTGCATCAGAACTCCTTCTTATGATGTTCTGTTAGACAATAGGAGGTGCACATGTAATTTTGGCCCTGTTTTGTGTTGGTGCAACACAAGCAGAGCTCTGTTTCGGGTATTTTCCTGATCTTAAAATTTGCGTTTCCCAGCTGAGGAGCTGCAACAAATTGGAGCCTCATTCAATTAAGCCAGTGCAAAACAACTTTTTTTTTTGTTATTTTGGGTAGAAGTGGGTCTTAGACTGAGCTCTGAGAATAGTCTGTCTGCCACTCTGCTGCTAATCTGATGATTTTGTAAACAGCTGCAAACAACATGGGATCAATTACACAGTTCTTCCTTTAATGTAAATAAATCAATTTATACAATCCCCAGCCTGTGGTTGAGTTTAAATCACCAGAAAACTAAATCTGACGTGGCTAAAACACAAACAAAGCTAAATCAATCTACAATGACCCAAAATGAATGTGAGTGCTTCTTACAGTATCTGTTGTCCACAGCTGCTTCATACCGTGAAAAGCTTATCCTTAAATTCCCTAAATCCCTGCAGCCATCTGAAGACAGCAGGACAGATATTATGATAAATCTACAGCCTTGCACCAGAGCACAGAGCCATTATGCACTATAGGCCACAATGTTTTATTTTAAATTACATACAAATGACACCAGGCCACTACAAAATATCCACACAAACCACACAACAGACGTGGCTGTTATATCTCACTAATCCGGACTACCACAGCTTATTCATTTTGTACGTTACAGCCTTTTTTCAAACATTTTCCACACAAAATCAACTTACTTTTTTTTCTGATTGTACTGCACATCACAGAGACGCCGCTGTAATATATGATACATTTCAACATATGATATAATGATGTAGGTGAGACTATAGAAGAACTATGGCACAGATAGCTTTCAAATGATACAATCTGGCTTGCCCAAACATTTTTTTTTTATGTCATCACACTCACTAACTGATGAAAAAATACACCATCTGCCTCCGGCTGCAAATTGCTGTGTGTCTACATAGTGCAGCTTTGCACCATCCAGACAACAATATGATATCCTGCAGAAACAGTTTTTTTTGTTATTTAATTGTTATGTATTCCTGTGATTGGCACAGCTGTTTTTGAGCAGTGAGGCTGGTGTTGTGACTGGCGAGAAGCATTTTAATCACCACATGCCCATGTGTTTTTTTTTCCACCCAGCTCTTTTGCACTTTGCCCCACTGCACTGACACTAACAGAAACAGCAACTGTGCCTAAACATGCTCATGCCCACACAGTCTGAGGACTTAAAGCCCACTGTTGCATTAATGTGTTTGAAAGAGAAATGTGAGTAGATGACCTGCCATTACTGAACAATACTAACTGATGCGGTCATTACCTTGCTGCCCAGTGAATGACTGTTGTGTATGTTTTGAAAAACACAGAGAGCAGCAGATCAGTGTAGAAATTGTTAATGTAGCCGATATGTACTACGAGAGTTGTAATTTGTTGTTACAACAAAAAAATGTTTAGTTTGGTGAGGTATTGTATCTGTTCAGATTCAGCACAGAAAACAAATACAACAAATATGATGGATTTTCCTTTATTAGGAACTTAAACTTTTAAACATGGTCTTAAGTGCAGCAGCAGTTTAAGTATATAGGCCGACCTGGATTTATTTTTTATAACATTTTAAATGAAACTGAATAAGAAAATCAGTATTTAAAAAAAATGAAAAAGAATCAAAATTAGATTAATGCGGAGTGTGAAACTAACCCTCACCAAGGTTCTCAGTTTGGCGAATAGAGTTCAAATGGACTTCACTCAGAATAGGTTAGGTTAATGAAACAGTCACCCACATTTAATAACTGAGTTTTCACCACTTTTTGGTCAAAAGCAGGTCCTCATTCTCCTGCTCCCCTGCTGTTCGAATGTTGGAGCTTTACAGGGTTGAGCTAACACACAAATTTATGCATACGAACGCACACACTCACCTGCTTAGTACATTGGATGTAAGCTACTCCACTCACAGAAACATGCCGCCTGATACTTGGGATTGAGACTTCTTGACTTCTCTGAGTCACTGTCCTGAAACAGATGTTTTAGTTGCCTACACATGCTTTGTGAGTGGTGTGCTTCCTCTTTTACCAGTCCATGTGGGATTGCTGGATTTAAATTACTTCCAATTTTGGGTGTAATCAGATCAGCACTTGACTGTGAATTAAAAATGACCAACTCAAACAGTTTGGTACAAATCTTTGTACCTTTACAACCTCATGCACTACAGATGCAATACTGAGGGCTAAACATTGATAGTGGCTAATGGCCAGCAGACTGCTATACGTGAGTGAGTGAGTGAGTGAGTGAGTTTATCTGTTTTATTGAATTGATTTAATGCTGCTGATTCAGAGAAAATTGTTTTTGATTGGACAGAAAGAAACACTCAGATAAAATGATCTTCTCCTTGGTCGAATCTGGAAGAAAATGTTAGCAGTGTGGAAGTATTATGCTGTCTGCCTGGGAAAGATCAGGGAGTTTGGAGACATGTCCCACTTACACTTTGAGAAAGTTTGAAAAAGAGGCGCTGGGACTTACCGAGATCTGAATACATCATCGTAACCCAATGACGAGGGATACAAAGATGAAGTTGTAGCTAATTGGATATTCAAAGCTTCTTTTATGGTATCAGATCTGATTTGTACAATTAATGAATCTGTAATTTGCACTTTGAAATACTCGTTATTGGCATTGCACTTTGTTATCTCACATATTTGTCTCTGATGGAGCAGGCCTAATAACAACACATAGTTTTAAAACAGGAGCTGGCTCTCTTGGCTCAGAAGATCCTCTGTTACCACCTTTCCAAGTCCTCTGGATTTATTATCTAATTTCCCATCGAGTGGGGGAATGTGTAACCATTTTTATTCATAAAGTCAAGACAGTGTGACAGGTTGGTCATTTCTGTCTGAGACCCATATGTCTTTCAATATGAGGTCATACACTCTTGAGCTGTTCTCTTCTAAAAATAGACTGAGTGAACGGTGGACAAAAGCCATAAAACAAGAGGATGTTTGAGAAATTGATGTGGCATGCCAAGTAGCTTATTTTAGAAAACAACTTTTGTATATCAGACATAATAATTTCTGACTACTGACTTGGTAAAGATGCCATTGACCTCTATATAACCCATACTGCTGCGGTGGACCTTTAAGTTTAGAGCGGAGGGCTTCACAGTGGTGAAAGAGAACAAGTTAACTCTGTCAACTCCCCGCTGAATAAATAAAGTTTAGAAATCTGCAGTGAAACATCATTATGTACTCCTCAGCTGACCACTGGGCAGCAAGTTGCAGCCTGAGAGGGACTTGTGGTAGAGACCCCTATGTCTGTCTTTAGCTCATGTGCCAGTCACCATTAATGCTTGTTGCACCAGCATGGCTTTTCCCTCAGCCTGACACTCACTTGTACTCAGTCTACCCTCAATTGCTGTCACTTGTGTCCTAAAGGCTGTCATCTCCACTTTGTGCTCCATTGCCACCATGTCTCCTCCACTGCTCTATTTTCCCCAGTTCACTCAGGCTTGTGGCTGTTTGTCAGTAGAGGCTGATAGCCCAGTTATTTGGTTTAGCTGTCTGCCTCCCTGTTGCTCTGCCACTACATTTTGGCTCCAGTGAGACATTTCATTATCTATCAGTGCCTCAGCAAGACTGGATTTCCTACAGTATCTGATGCTCTTCATTTTGATAAACGAAGCTGTGTCGCACTATCTGGAACTATCCATACAGTTCATAAAGGAATGCATGCTTACATATATCCCTGAGTGAGATTTGATGTGTGTTGGTTGTTAATATTGATTTTTCAGCCTCTGATTTCGATAAAAGCTCCTGAGAGTGCTTCATAATGTGAAGTGATGTCTGTCAAAAATGCAAGGCAGCATCACACCTGTAGAGGTCAGTATCTGTCTAATCTTTTCCTAATGGAATATGGATATTTTGTGGAGGTAGTCTCCTCAGCCTCCCTTTTCACAGCCTAAACTGCATTTTATGACAAAATACAGCAAACATTTCTCAACAATTATCACAAAAAAGGCACATAAAATTAACAGACTGTGTAAAGTAAATGGTGTTTCCTGTTTTTTGCTTACAGGGATTGTTCATTTACGCGCTGAATTGTAGATTCCTCTCTCAGCAAATGATTTTATTAATGATCAGGGACAAAAAACAGCAATTAGCTGATTCAGCTTTCATCCCAACTATCCACCAAAGCTGTAATACTCCGCTGCTTTCTCAGCAGGATTTGACACACAACCCTCACGGTGGTAAATAATTCTTACGCAACATATCAGACACTTGCTGTTATGACCCAGAATTTCATTTTGACTAATAGACGAAGCTGTTTCCTTTTTTCTTATACACAAAAAAGTCTTGATTAACAAGCATTCTTCTCTCCATGAGAAACAAATAGATCATAACAGACAACAACATTGTTAATAGGTTATTCAGACAACACTTGCACATGTGACCAGCTCAAGAAAATAGTCATAAATCTGCAAAACAACATGTTCAAATACACTTTTTTTTTTTTTGGAGCAGCATGCCAAAATAAATATTCCTGTCACTTCTCGTTAGTTTTCATGCCATACCAGTGCCATTTCACAACGTAATGATTCAAAGGCTTGACAGTCATTAGGCAGAACTCGTCAAAACTAAAATGCCCTCTGGCTACTGGCATTTGTCTCTGTAACAGTCCTGATTAGTCACTAAATGTGTGTCATTTAGATATTGGAAACAGTGTTTGTGGACAAGGCCTACCAATCCATATTACTTCCTTCTACCGAAGCTTCCCATTTTCCACCCTATGTTTGGAGCACTTATTGGAGTGCTTCATCTCCCCAATTATAATTAGCAGAAATCTATCACTGTCACAACATGCCAAGATGGATTAATATCTAAATTTGTAAATGTTTAAAGCCTCAGGTAAAGCCTGTAACATACAAATTAATTAACACTCTTGCAAATTAATTTGCAAATTAATTTGCTCCAAAAAAAAAGTTGCACATTTTCCTGGCTGATTGCCAAAACTAATATGTTTTTCAGTTGAAGGCTCAAATGAACATTATATCCACTAATCTACTCAGAGTAATCAGAACATCCCTCGCTGATAGACACAAATAGCTTGCTTGACACGTGTGTTTAATTAGAAAGGTCAGAAAACAGTATTATCACTGGTGCAGCTCTGTGTGAGCAGTTTAGGCTCCATTGTCAAATGGATCTCACGACGCTCCTTCCTGATGTAGATGTGATACCAGTCATTCTCTAGGTACCAGTGTCATACACTAAGAGGTTGCTACGACCACAAATCAGAATAGAAGCATTTCACTCATCAGTAGATATCCATATCTGTCAGCCAACCTGCTGCACCAGGAGAGTTTTAATTGCCAACTGTCAGCAGGGCTTTGAATTTGTAGCATCGATGAACACAATGTAAACTCCTCTTCCACTGTGAAGTGCATAGGTATTGCGTGAACTTCCAGTAAAAGCTGACACAAGCATTTTATCCCCCTTTAAATAAATCACATAGAAGTGTACAAACAAACGCACAGGACAGCCCCCTCCCCGACTCTGCTGAGCCAGAATGTCCATTTTTTAAAGAAAGCTCCGCTTCACATTGATGTACAATATTTACTCTGAGGAGGCACACAGTTTAACAATAGTGTTGCATTGTTGCAAACTGTGGAGCCTCAGTGGAGCAGTTGGCGACGCTCCAGAGCAACTCAGTATTTATAGAGGAGAGAAAAGCATTTATCTTTCCCCTTTTCCATCCAATTTCCTATCCAGGAATTGATTTAAAACATTTTATAACCCTTCTGTCTACAGTTGCTGATGTGATGTAGTTCTGGCATTATGTAAGGAGTTTATTTTTAAAGTACAGGAATGGGGACATTGCTATATTTCCCTTTTACCATTAGCATGCAGCATACCGGTAATTCCTAACAATGCTATCCTGACTTAAGCTAGTTGTGTTTAGGGGGGAACAAACTCACATGAAGGAGTAGATATCGAAGTAAAGTTGTGAGGAGTTACAGTTATTTTCTGAATTACCAGTGATAAGTTAACTGCAGAGGACATGGCTCCAACCATTCAGAGGTTGCATACTGTATATTTGAAAACAAAAGATAACAGAAGCAGAAAAGTAAAAAAAAAAAAAGAACTAGCTATAGTGTACAGTTCCTAAATAAGTGGCCAAATTGTTTGCTGCTTGTTTGTGGTGTACAATCTCTATTCTGACCTCCACTAGCAAAACAAATCAATGCCAGGCCGAGGCATGGCACATGATAGGGACCTTTTAATCCATTAAGAGTCATGATATTATCACTTTACAGCATACACATGTCCACAACAGCGAGGCTTACAAGCATTAATATGTTTTTTTACACATGGTTATGTCATTTTGAAGTCAATCAAATGGACATGAAGTCAGACAATCCAAGAGAACAACAAAAATATGAGGCTACCTGGCCTCTAATAATAACAGAACACAAATTCACAGCAATTCAGCACCATGGATACCAACTCGATATCCGTGGTGTTGACCTGACTCAGGTTCATCTCCAGAAGGACAAACAAAATATGTGTCCAGTTTTAATTCGTCTTTTCCTTGCTCTTTCTTTTTTTGCTCCACCTTCATGCTGCTTTGAACTGCCTCTCATGTTAAGCTTAGTACATAAAAAATTACCTTGCTTGCATTCTGTTGACAAGTGACTCATAATGACGTTGGTGGATGGGTGATGATGACTATTTTACCCTTAAATACACTTGGACACAATATCAGAGATCAACTTGTAAAATTGCGCGTCGTAAAGTTAACTGTGAGAGTGAAAATAAAGCCAGTCATGCAGCACAGAATTTTATTTGATATTTTACACCCAACTACAGACCTCAGTTTTACAAAGTTTTTACCAACCATGACTCATCCTGACTGGGGAAACCACACATTTCCAGTGCTCCCTGAGATGGTGAGTAGAAAGTTACCTAGATCCACCTGTGGAACATACTGGTTCCAAGCCTGTCTCCCCTGACCCCTCTGGAGGCTCCGCCTCAGCTTACTTTTTTAACAATGTCCACTCTTGCGAATATTGGCTGGAGAAGGTCAGACTGAAAAGACTGAGAACTACTGGGGTAGGTGTTAATGAATCATGCAGGGCAGCAAAGATGCAGGATAGAGACAGGGTTTATGCTGCCTTTAGGTGGATTCAGACAGAGGCCAGATCGATGACATCATTTGAGGAGCCAGAGAAGAACTGGAAAGAGATGTCCTCACAACATTTCCATACACACATGACTGTGTATTGAAATGTTGTGGTGTTACACTCTAAAAAAAAAAAAGAAGAAGCAAACTTTAACTTTATGTTAAACTTCCTCCAAAACTTAACGTCATAAACTCACTGCCAGCCTGAGTTGTTGTTAAAGGTGTGACCTTTGTTTATGTTAAGCTAAAAAAGTTCAGCGCAAGAATTTTCTCCAGGCTTACCGGCATCTCAATTTTATTACACAAACCACTATAAAATGTATCACAGGGAATAAAAAGTTCAACAATTTCCTTTTGGATGGTTATTCTATCTACTTTTGCCATTTTTTTATTTTTTTTTTACCAGCTCCAACCCATTTTTCCCTCTCATCCTCTAAAATAATATCCACTTTCCTGTTTAGGGTTTGCTCAAAGACTGTGCATGCAGCATTAGGCAAGAGACTTAATATGAAAATAAAGACATATGATAAGTTTAAGTCCCTAATCTCTGTGAAACTTTGAAAAGGTCAGCTGGGAGGCCTTTTCTTTCAGGGAAAAAGACAGCACTGTGAAGCAAAATGTGCTAGTGTAACCGGTTTGGGTGGATAAACAGAAAGGACATTGAGCATGTAGGGTTGTATGGAGGCAGTCAGCTGAGAGATGTGTTTCAGGTTGGAGGGCTAGCTGAGTAGGCGGACAGGTACCGAGGAAGAGGCTGCAGAAGCGGCAGGCAGAGCCAGTGGAGATGGACTAATTCCACCTCCCACAAATCCTCCAACAGTTGATTGCCTGGGTGGGCAGTGTCGGAGGCAATCCTCCCTGCCCTCCTCTTTGCTCTGGCATTAGGCGACTGCTCAGCGGAGAGCAACTGGCAAGCAATGACCCTCTCAGCTGGATGACACACTGCAGTTTTCTCCCTGGAGCAAGAAGAAATGGAGCTGTGGCAGACTGCAGAGGATATCAGGACTGTGCTGATTGTCGATCTTTATCTCTGGACAGGATATATTTTGATATGTCTATTTGTCTTTTTTGGTACAGAAAAAAAGCACATTTACCTCTTTCTTTTTAAACTGCAGATATTTTTTTTGTACGGGCAAGCTTGAGGGATTTGTTGGTCATAAATATGTTAGGTTTTGTGCTGCAGGTTTCTAGGATGGTAATGCTAAGTGGGTGAAAAAGCCAGCCGTTGTTTCTGCTGTTTGATGTACTGACTGTAAATTAGTTTTCAGGACACAATGATGCTTATTAGTGTTGCTAATGCTAATTAAGATTCAAAATACAAGCTTTGTTCTGCTTGTGAGCTGTAACCCTTTTTCGGATTGGACTTGAGGTGAAGTTTTTGGTGATTTGAATTTTGTATTCAGTGTGAGGGTAAATGATTGATAACATTATGTGCTGGCAAATAAACATAGTTCCAGGGCGTTTATGTACAATACAGCAGTCACATTAATATCCAGGACTAGTAGGCTACCACTAGCTGTCCTAGTTATGGCTGCTTTCTGTACATTTGATGAAATAGTGTTTTGGGAGATTTACAAGTATAGATTAAAAAAAAAAATAAAGTCACTAAAAGATACTTGAAGTTGTCAGTGAAAGACCCGTATTAAACTTTTCTAGTGTAATTGCAGAAAGTGAGCGTCCATGATTTGACAGAAGCTCAAAATCCAGGGCCTTCGATTTTTCCTGAACTGACGTATAGAGGATTATCTACAGGCTCTTGATGAGATTATAATTCAACTTCTTCGTAACAGCTCTCATTCCAAATTACTCACTCTTATTTCCCTTTCCTTTTTAGCACTTAGAGACTTAATACTTAATATCAGAGACGGATGAGCGCGACTCATAAATCTCAAACATCGGGAGCACATGTAAATGTCACACACTTTGAGGGACTGAATTAAGCCCTCTCTCCCCTTTTTTTTTCTTTTTTACACGCACACACACACACACGATCCGGTGAGGGAGCAACTTATATCAACCAGAAAAACAAATTGTAGTTATCAAGATGAAGCATGCTGATAATAGGTTCACCTACTCTGTTGACCTAATGGGGGAAATCAAAAGCAGGGGCTGAAACAGACTGCTGAATCAATAGAAAGCACTTATCCTGATTGGGCACAACTACAGGGACAAAAGTGTTAAAGCTAGTAAGCACTTCAATTCCACGCCTCTTTGTTGACTCCATTTCAAGCAAGGAGCTATCTCTGATAAAAGCAGGGCTTTTTTGCACAGTCAAACTACAAGCACACTAAATGGAAGAGGTTTTTTAAGGGGACCATACACGTTATCTAGTGTATAAATCTAAAAAACACACACAAACACGCACACATACTCATCATATGGTAATGTACAACACTTCAGACCCCAAATTATGGTTGATGCATCTGGTGAGTAGGGTAGCAACACATACACTCCTCTCCCTCAGCTGTGCGAATGGAACATGGCCGCTAGCCGCGAACATGTTATCAAGTACAAGTGTCCATCTGCCGAGTGCTGAGCATTTGACAGTTCATCAATAGTGATGCTATTAATAACTTGGTTCCTGCACAACAGCCCAGGGACCAGGTTTGATAAGACAACATTCATCTCCTCAACAAGTCAATCCATTGTGCAGCATAAAAGGACTCAATAGCAATTAACAGCAAAGGTACTCAATCACCTACCATCCGAGCTGTCATTGCACAGTTAGCACATAAAACAAAGTGCACCAAATGAGGTAATGTCTAAGTATAGACCATCATTAAATTAATTATCTTTTTTGATACCTACACAAAAGAATGAGCCTTTTTTCAGTAATTGCTTAAAAAATGATAAATTATTTGACAAATTGATATTAATGTGACCCTCGCTGTCTTTGTAGATGATTGTATAATGGAATCTTCTCACTTTTTATATTAAAGTGTAATTAAGGTACAGTAGGCACCATTATCTCATAACTTTAGTTAGGGCAACAGTTTGGCCTAGCTCTATCCAATGTCCCTTTTTCTATAAAGTATAAAAGCATGACAACTCATCCGGTCTTAATCGAACAATCAGAGTGAGTTTGTATGTAACTGGTCAACCATAGAACTCTGTGCAAGTTCACATCAAGCGGTGGATCCAAAGCAACAGATTTCCAAGTCATTTAAACAGGAATTTAAATTCTGTTTGACTCGAGCGAAAACATCCAGAAAACTGTAAAAATGGAGCACAATTCATTTAACACAGTTAAACGTGTAATTTTCAAGTCTGCAAGTAAACAGTACCATGATGGTTTTGCTGAATGTAGCTAATGTTAGCAGAGTTAGCATTACCAGCCTTCCATCATCCTTGTAGGTCTGTTCTGGTTACACTTCTTTTACTGTAGCACCATATCGGTTCTTTTAAATTAACTATGTTACATTGTCTTTTGACGTTTGTCAACAATTTAGCATACTTACTAAAATACATAGTCTGTTTTTTTTTCTCTCTCCTTTATTTCACGGCATCTTTTAGACTGTTTCTCTCATTCTCTCTTTTACCCTGATGCGAAGAGAAATGTAGAGCCCAACTGCTGACTCACACAAGTCCTAGTGATGTCGGCCATCTACTAAGGTGTTGGAAAGCCCAAAAAGTAATAGTTTACATTTTGGTAATTCCGATTTAGCTCTGCCACAAATAAAGCAACAAGGTATTGAGAATAAAGGAACTTCATTATTTTTTGTATTCATGCATTTACTTCATTTTCAAACACCATTGGCTGCCAATTTGACACACACTGGTACCTATTTTCTTTTTTTTTTCTTTCTTTTTTAAAAATTACATATTGATCAACAGTCAGCGTTCATTAAATTTCGCCGGAAATGTTCCTTACAATATTGTTATTTATGCTGTGATTTAGCACTCACACTTACGGGCAAAACCCACAGGAACCAGAACAGCTCCACTCCGCTCCAGCATGGCCAGCAGATCAAATACGCAAGCATTATAATCAATGTGTGTCATTCCACAGAATCTGTCCGGCGTCCGGCTCCACTGTGGATCAGCTCCGGCTGGATCAGATACGCAAGGCTTCTATTTTTGCCGGACGCCGGAGCACAGCGCATCAATTCAGTGCAGCGCAGCACGAGCAGCAGTGGAAGTTGTATGCAGTTACAGAGTAAAATATCTGGTTGATTTTCAAAATAAAATAAAGTCGATAAATTTAACTGTTCTTTACTTGATAATAAGAGATGGGATGTGGGTGTTTATATACTCCGGGAAACACGCAAGAGCTCCTCAGATCTTGTCCAGTCTTGTGGAAAATATCTGTAATCTCCTCCGATGGCGGCGGTGGATTGGATCCAGTGGGTGCTGTATGCTTTGCGGATCCTGCCGGTCCGGAGCGGAGTGGAGCCGTTCCGGACCAAGTGGGATTCCTGGGTTATAACTAACTTGCTTCCCAACTCTGCGTCCAACACATCTTGCTGTGCAGATCTCCCCAGTTCAGGCCAAGCAAACTGTGTATGCAGAGTTGGTGTTCCATTTTGAGGGAGGAATTAGCTACGGTGGCCAGGAAGTGTCAGGCAATATGCATTTTCAGAATGTTTTGCAAAAGAAAAGAACACAAACTCAAACAGTCACAACACAAACGCAAATAATGCAGGGACTAATCTTTGCAGAGTGATACAAGTTTTTTTTTTTTTTTTTTTTCCATTGAAATGTTACTCACTTAACTCCACTTCAGATCGATGATGTAGCTACCTTAAAATATGTGTCGGCACATGACCATGTCAAGCCTGTGGCCTTCATTACTGTGTTGCAGTCAACTATCCAACAGTATTCTTCTTTCCTGTAACTTTTCATTTTTATATCCTCAGTAAAGACGCTGAAATCAGTCAGTGAAGTTATGGCTTGTGGTAGCTGTCCTTTTAACAGCTGATATATATTCATGGTGTGACACCAGGTGCAAACAAATAAAATCAACAAGCTTTTTTTTTTTATAGCTGCAGGTCACTTTGTCCAATAGAATTATTTTAGTCTCATAAAGTAAGTCAAGGCTCTGAAAGCCAGGCAACATTCACACTCTAGTACTCATGATAACTCATCAACTGCCAAACAAAATGAAAGAAAACACACACAAATTGATGTATACTCTCCTTTTAACACCAGTATCAGTGTATGTGCCAATGCACCAATCCAACTAAATTCCAAGCTGCCTGCAGAGCAATGAATCGTTCATTGAATTATTTAATGGCTAGAGAAGATGGCCTGTTTTGGAGCCAGTTCATTACACTTGTTTGGGAAATGGCTGCAGCAGCTAATTTTCAGGCATTTCGAATAGTCATAGGAATTAATTTCATTTCCAGGTGAACCTAAGGTTAGATGATTTGTCAAAGAGTCATTTCACTGAACAGTTAATAATCGTGCACATAAAGGATTGAGTCATAAATGACAGTGCGAAAAAAAAAGACACCTCCCGTTCTCTCTGAAACAGTTTAGCAAACACACTTTAAACTATCAGACAGCGTGTGTAATGCTGTATTATTTGTCCTTTTTCGGGCTAACACTGTGCATTTATCACACTGAGGGAAAGTCCTGAGGGGAGAAACAAACTGCACACATGCTTTTCTGTTGTCTATCAAAGACCTTGACCTGATGTGTTCAGCATAGTTCATTGAGACAAATTTGCCCTTTTATCAGGCATTTTGTACTTCCTCTTTCATTTGTGCACCTGGAGTAGAAAATAACAATAATAAAAAAAGAGCATTGAAGTTCCCTGCTACCTATGTGCTGATGACATGTCTCAGTAACACAAGCTGCCTTCATCCCTACTGTTTTAATAGTGCCTCTTCATGCCAACTTATCTGATGACATCACCCAGTAATGCAGCTCTCTCTCTTGTTTAGCCTCAGTGTTAGAATTGAATACTCATGTGATGCAACTCATAGCAATAACTTTCGCACTATTGAAAAATAAGACAATTAGAAGAATCCCAAAATTATGTCAGCTTTACACTACTTTGTAGTGTAAAAGCTGATTTATATTCACCTTTGAAGCAAATCAAAGCCATTCGGTACTTTTCACAGGGAGAAGTCAGGGCTCATAAACTGCACAGCGCATTTTGTGTAACACTTGCAGATTTTCCACCAGCACTATTGAACACAACGCATGAAACAAATTTGAATATAAAAGACAAGAAAGAGTTCATCCTCTTGTATGTCTTAGATCTAGTTCAGAAAGAGAGGAGGCTGTGTCCCTGCAAACCACCAGCTAATATAATTTCTGAACATATGGTACTTCTCTCTGCACTGAACCTCTCATCCTTTATTTTGGTTTGTTTCATCTTAAACAATACATCACAGTATCTGATTAACTCCAGAATCAAAAATGCCCTTAAAGGCTAAGTGCTGGATGAATGTATTATATTTACTGCACTTTCCTTTGGTTTTTTAGTCTATAAAACAAATTTACAGAACTAAAAATAAATCACTGTAAAGTCAGTGTAACAACTGCACTCTCTTCATCAAGAAAAGGCACATTTAGAAGTCAACATACATTTTATTACCAGACAGGCATAACCAAGTTGTGTGTATAAAACTGCTCACAGCTTATGCCTGACCTGTGGTTTTATATCAACCTGTTGGACTGTACCCGTAACAGCTTCAGTCACATTTGCTGTGACATAAGTAACTGCAGCTGGTGTTTGAGGCTCGACATGACAATAATAACAGCCCAGTAAGACTTTAAATGAAAACACTCTCCTGTAAAGAAAATGTCAAATAACAGACAGCAGGAGGGACTTTCAACCGCTTTTATCATAAACTGTGATGACAACTGCAACAAACTGTGACAGACCAACAATTTGTAGGCAATCCAAGCAGTCCGGAGACTTTTTGTTTGATATTATTTCCCAGAAGTACAAGCTGGTCAACTTGATCAGGATCAGGTTCAGCTCTCTCTTGATTTATTTCACCTGCTGACATTACACTGTCCGACTGTGGCGCCTCCTCTGCTGCCTCTCAGGTGAGCCTGCAGATTTGTCATTATTCATGACAGCTGCTTTGTACAAGGTCAAGACAAAGCCCTATCTTTGTCCTTTATTCCGCCGTGTATGGAGTGAAATGCATAAAACTTAAACAAGTTTGTTCATTGTGATTTCACATTTGTAGATGTAACATCCCCGCATTCATTTACTGAGGTCAAGAGGGCATGCAATGGTCAGGCAGCGATGAGAGCGTCCTTTGCTGGATCAGAGGACAAACCACTTCAGATGCCTTGATGCACTGATTTACCGTGTGTTTTGAATCCAAAAGGCTCATTATAGTCAAAATTGACCCCTCTCTCCAAGTTTGAATAAAGTTGGATGAAGGTTAAAGTTGTGGATGAAAAGGCTATAGAGCGTCCTCCACCTTTTCCTCTTGTCTCAGCATAAAGAGCTGGAATAGCCTCATATTTCTTTCTTTTTACTTAAGAAAATGGCTGGCACATCTTATAACTTCTTTTACTGCTGTCCTTTGTCATCCCGCCGACTTCATCTGCTGTGCACTTGTTTTTTAAGATGAAGCAGATTGCTGGGGAATCTATGCAGAGAACTAAATTTGCATTTAAGATTTTAATATTTGGCATCTACATATCAATGACTGTACCACACTAGTCATAACAGTATATTCCAGTATCTACATTTCTGCACTTGTGACATAATCTTGGGTGATTTCTGTAGCAGTTTTTGGGAAATCCCATCTCTAAGTGCGTCCTCGGCCTGTTGCTATTGATTATTTTCCATTATGGATTAATCTGGCCATTACTTCAAAATAAATCAATCAATTTCAAAGTCTATAAAAAGTGATATAACTGCAGAGAAGCCCCTCTTAATATTGTTAAGCCTACAACAATTTCTTCAGATAAGCCATTTGGTCCAAACTGCAGTACAAAAGCAAAAAAACTTCAATTTTTGTCATCAGTCCAAAACAAAAGACTCAAAAATCCAACATTTGTGCCGGTGAAACAACTTCAAAATTCCAAAAATTACTGAAATTGATAAATTACGGAGTTGATTCATTTTCTTCTAATCAAGAAATCGACATTGCAGCTTTAATCTCTAGCCAAAGTATTTGTAAACTAGAAATCAAACAACTGAGAACATTAAGACGAAACGTACAGACAAAAAAAAAGGCATTGCACTCGTATTGTGAAAAATGCAAGACTGATCACAGGCACTTGACAGCCTGGAGGCTAAATCAAAATAGATTGCCGTTTTCATTTATCACATGCTACACACAACTATTCTGGGCTATCCATCTGCTGCCTTAACTTCCCTAGGCATTAAATGTACGGCTCTTTGCATTTTTCCATTTCAGTGTCTTCAGTTTGCATCTGTGTTTATGTGCAGTGATGTATGCCTTGATAGACTAATGGGTGACATTTGGGTTCAAGTCCTGAGGTGCTGAAGGAAATATGAAGCAGCACCCTCCACTCACAGTATGTAAAAATACAGACAGTGCATTTTTTTTTTTTTTTTTTAGCTCATTTTTCTTTTTGCCTCTCACTGTGTTAGAGACTTTTAATGCACAGGGATCCCTTGTGCGAACAGACGGTATGTGTGCCATTACAATTACAATGAATATACGTTGAAGCGATGGCTAAAGATAATTACTGAGTTCAGACTTTAAATGGCAATGACTGATAAAGGCTGGGCACCAAGGAATAGAGTGGGGTAGTTCAATCTTAAATTTGGCTTTGGGCGCTCAGTGAACCAGCTTAATGTACCTGACTTCCATGTTGAAATTGCACCAGAGCACATTTATAGCGACAGAGGGGTGATGATTTATGTTTTTCTTTGGAGCCCCTAGGAAATGGACTCTAATGTCATCTATATACAGATGAATCACCTTCTCTTCATTGCGCTTTGAGCATTCAGAAACACTATTGCATAGATTTCAAACAGCCTGTGCAGTGTGACGGATACCTGATGTTAGATTTGTTACCTAAAGGGACAAAAGTTGGGACAATTATGCAAGGACGATATTGTTGACAATCAGTAATTGACTATGAAGATCTCAGGGAATGTTTACCGGTGCGGCAACATGGCCCCATGAAACACAGAAGTGAACGCTTTAATTAACAGCTTTTTTAGATTTACAACTTGACAGCACTTTCGGGGACCGATTGTCCCTCAGAGTCTTTTATGCAGGTGTTGAGTGTTGTTTTTTTTTTTT